TCCCACTTGTTGGTGATTCTTCACATAAAATAAAAAATTTATATCTTTATGTTTGAAGCCTGAAATGTGGCAAAAGGTTGAAAAGTTCAAGGGGGCCAAATACTTTCGCAAGGCACTGTATAGTGCATATAAATTGATCGGCACTGCTGCCACTATAAACTAAATCACTACTCAATAAAATTGTATCCAAGAAATAATTGCTGCTATAATTGCAGATTTAGCAGCTTCTGTTATCATGTAATGTTTGGGTTATGTAAACAAATGAACAAATCCATGAGTTCTGTAGACTAATAACGGTGTGTAAAAATAGACATTCTGGATTATGATGTCAGTAATAGGCTTTTTGTTTGTATTATTATAACAGGGAGTGGACTAAGCTTCGTATTGATGGATGAAACACACTGAGCTTTTCAATGTTTCTGTTTAAGTTGTCTGAGAAGACATCTCTTTTTCCACAGCAGGAGACACTCTTTATCATCTTTTACTTATTATGATTAGACTTACAATGTCGCCACCTTGTGTCTGAGGATACTAGTCACCCTTTCCAAAGCTGAAATTTCAGTCATGTCCATACAGACCTGTGTATCTCCACAGCCATTGTATGAGTAGATGAGTCAGACATTAGTGTGTCTCTGCTAACATTGGCTTCATTCTAGCAAAGAGCTTGTTTGTTGATGTTAGAGTAAGCAGAAGGTGTAAGGGCTGATCCAGTTTACCCATTGAGACAGATATTTGCATTCTAATATTAATTTTAGTAATAAACCTTTGCAAATTTAAAAAATGTCAAATATACTTGTGCAGACATATCCCGTAGGTACCTATGAGGCAGAGGCATTACTGCATGACTGCTTACTAAACACAACAACAGAAACTCATGGGGGTGCCAGAAGAAAATAATTACTACTATGAAGAACAGAAACATGAGGACTTGAAAGCAAAAAATATCATTCTTTGACAGTAATGACTCCAAACTTGTTGCTCTATGACATTGGTGTAGCAGTAAATATTGTTTTTTTGCTTCAAATTACCTCAGAATTCTATGCGTTACTGAGCTCCTTTTAACAAATATACTTACTGTAGATCCACAGACAGGTATTGAGTTTTTAATCAGCAATTGTCACGTGGTTAGATTTTTGAATAACCCAGGCTTTATGTTTCTCTTAACCTTTTGAATGTTTCATTCCACCCCAGGTGCACCTATGTGAAGCTGAGGACATGCAGGAGTTCATGGATAAGGATTTTTCTTATGACAATACTGCCAACCAACCAGTTCTTGTGGCAGTAAAAATGCTAAGAGCAGATGCCAACAAGAATGCAAGGTGAAGGCATTCATTATTTTTGTGCACTTTAAAATATTTACATGATTTACCTTTAAGAAATCAACTGTTATGCAGTATTGTTTCCTATAGTGCCAAAAAAGTACATTTGGATCAAAGTTTATTTAAATTAATTAAAAATTAACCTACTTTCAGCTGTATATTGTTCCATATTATTCAGCATTGTAAAAATATTCATGACAACTGCCTTGGTCCTCCTTTTGATAAATAAGATAGAATGCTATGAAAATGTTTTTATTTGGATTTCCATAAGTGCATCATGTACATGGTGTGAAAAACACAGTCTTTGCAGTTATGTTCATCTATGACTGCCTTAAAAGTCAACAGAATATATAGACACAGAATGTTTAACAGGGGTCATTCAGTACTTGAGCCTATTATAGTGACATTATTGCCACTCAAAATTTGATAGCATTCAATTTTCCTGTAACAGAGGGCTGGCCTTTTGGTATGTTGCATGACTAAAGGCTGGGACATGCTTGACAAACAGCAATTGAATCTCAGTTTCTGAGGTTGTAAATTTTGGAGGATGTATTTAGAGGGGAAGAGTGTAACGGGATGCATTCTGTACTTCAGCCAGCAGGGGTGACGAATTCGCCTAGAAACAAAAGACAAATTTGAATGTGACTGTGACAAGAGGCTTTTTTTGAGTAGTGAATGTTTGAAGAAGACACTGATTCGCTTAGCACTGGGTGTTGTCTATGAGATAATAATCAAATTACAGCAAGTCAAACTTCCCACATACTATATATGACTGATAATTATACTTATAATAATTATATAATTATTAATTAATTATATAATTATAATAATTATAGGTATAATTATAGGGGTGGAGCGGTGGCTAAGGATCTGCGTCTGTGGCTGGAAAGTTGCCAGTTCAAATCCTGCGGCTGGCAGAGAAATCCTGGTCTGTTGGGCCCCTGAGCAAGGCCCTTAACCCCAACTGCTCCAGGGGTGCTGTATAAATGGCTGACCCTGTGCTCTGACCCCAAGTTTCTCTCCCTGTCTGGGTGTCTGTCTCATGGGGAGCAAGTAACTAATTACATGATGAGCTTTACAACTTAAAGGTCATTTTATCCTGAAGTATAAAAGTTATTCATACATCCAATCATACAAAGTTAAGAGATCTGAATTATTGGATTTAAATAACACCCATCTTTTGGCTGCTGCCATAGCTGTATTAAAAAACAGCGATTCTTGGGGTGTGGAAACTCCGAGCCCTAGCTCACCCCCCAGAACCATGGACAAACAGCAGTTCTTACATGTGCTTTCTTTTTCTTTGTAGAAATGATTTTTTGAAGGAAATTAAGATCATGTCCCGATTGAAGGACCCAAACATTATCCGCCTTTTGGGAGTATGTATCTGTAGCGACCCACTCTGCATGATCACAGAGTACATGGAGAACGGGGACCTGAATCAGTTCTTATCACGCCATGAGCCCGAAGGAGAGCTGGCTTTGGTTAGCAATGCAGCAACCGTAAGGTAAGCTTCTGGCTCATCACGTGCCAATAGTGTGAACACCAGGATTAATGAGATCTAATGTCCTATTTCATATTTATTTATCATATCATATCATATTTCATATTTAAATAGGTAATCGATTACCTATTTTCACAAAACCTTGCATTGGCTCCAAATGTGATTTTACATGGAAAACCAAATGAAATGCCAAAAGCTTTTGATATCAAATGTTGTCCTCACTCTTCAGGACAACATTTGATATCAATAAACACAATAAAAATGAACTAATTCTATTGATCTGGAATATCATGATGTGGACTTAGAAGTTGCTGAATAATAAACATGATCTCACAATTTAATTGCAATCCAGTCATAATTATTGGAGTTTTAAATTGGAATTAATTAAAGATTTTCAAACGACTATTGCCAGAGAACTGCAGTATTATTTTATACATATACTAATGTCGGAAAGAGCCTGTATTCCACTTATTCTCTTTTATTTCAGCAATAGCAATCTGCATTACATGGCCACACAGATTGCCTCAGGCATGAAGTACCTTTCCTCCCTCAACTTTGTTCATCGTGACCTAGCAACCCGGAACTGCCTTGTAGGCAAGAACTACACCATCAAGATCGCTGACTTTGGGATGAGCAGGAACCTATACAGTGGAGACTACTACCGCATCCAAGGCCGTGCTGTCTTACCCATTCGATGGATGTCATGGGAAAGTATACTGCTGGTGAGAAAGGACACAGGCCTGAGATACAGTATCTCCCTTCAGCCATGTGGTTATAAAACAATGTTTTTTTCAGAATACATTTTCCATAATTATTCTTGTCCTATGTACCATAGCCTTTATTCTTGGCATGGCAGCTGATATGAATATCTTTCGATGTAGGTAGAATACAGCTACTTTCATCCTTGTTTAGTTGAATATACACATTCCTCCTCCTGAGCCGCAGGTATCTTTAATTCCTTCTTTGTGTGAGGAGGATGTTCCTCTCATTTCACAAAGGCGCAATAAAAACAACCAAAACACTTACCAGCAAAGTGTTACCAACTAGTTTGTTTTAAATCTTCTCATTCTCTGAATTGTTCTTAGTACACCTCTCACTCAGATATAAATTGTACAAGAAGCATCTTCATCAAATTTAAATAGTAAAATCTGTAAAAACTGTAAATTCTGTGTGTAATTAAATTTGATATACAAATAACTAATATGATGATTTTGTGGACTTTCATGTGGAGTGGAGTAATTAGCAGATATGGTAGTACCTTGCTTATTTCCCTAGGGTAAGTTCACCACGGCCAGTGATGTATGGGCATTTGGTGTGACACTCTGGGAGACCTTCACCTTCTGTAAGGAGCAGCCATATTCCCAGCTGTCAGATGAGCAAGTCATTGAAAACACTGGGGAGTTTTTCAGGGACCAAAAACGACAGGTAAAAAAGAAAAGAGCTAACACCTTGATTGCAGAGAAATATGGTGCAGTCATAAAGCATACGTTTTAGAACTAAAATAATTGCGGTTTCTCATTTTTCTTTTAAATTCAATGAATATGGTTATGAAAATGTCTCAAATAATAGTAAGTACCGCTCGTATCACAAATCTTAGTAATTTCCAAAAGCTTCTTCAGAAATAATCTTTATTTAAAAGTTCTGTTCTCCAATCTATTCCCAGATCTATTTGCCCCAGCCTGACATTTGTCCAGACTCTGTCTACAAGCTGATGCTAAGCTGCTGGAGGAGAGACACAAAGGATCGTCCGTCGTTTCAGGAAATCCATCACACACTTCTAGAGAATCAAGTTTAGGAAGCGTTGTACTTATAGAGACATTTTATACCTAATGGACTCGTTGCAGCCCTCTGGCTGTATTATTTTATTGAGACCTAATTTGTTTGTGTAGGAATGGAGAAAGAGGTCATTGTAGAATGATGATTGAAGGCGAAAAATATGTAATTTTCTATGAGTGTTGTTTTATTTGTGTAAATATTTCTTTGTTGAGCTTTCACACTCTCTTTTGTGATGGTTCACAGAGCAAACAAGGTAAAATGACTCAGAATTACTTGTCAACTGAAGAAAAAAGCTAAAGGGATATGTAGCAGAGAATCTCAGAGCACTATTTTTTATATTTTTAAAGTGTTGTTCACTTTAAAACTTGTTTTAGACATAAAGTGTATTGTAAAGATATTTAGAGAGTCCATTTTAAAGCATTCCCAAACAGTATAATGTTATCCCAAAATTTATAACCAATCTTATCAACCATTACACACGATCATTAAAATATGTTGTTTTAAAAAAATGACATAGTTTTTTTCTAGTTATAATAGCTATAAAGCAAAGTCTTTTAATCTAAAACTGGCACGTTCTGATTATTTTAGAAAATTGCTTGAATGTAAAACTTGTGACAGTGCAATTTAGCCAAACAATTAACAGTATAGGTCATACAAAATAAGTAGACAAATGCTAATATTTTTAGTTTTTAAATAACAAAATGCATGTTTCTCTCCAGACTGAGACCAAGCAATCAAAATGCTGGTGACACTGATGTATGAAATGCTTTTTAAAAATTATGTGTGTGACCATATACTGTATTTAGGTATTTATATACAGTAGATATTAAATGCAATCACAAATACCAACATGTATTATATAAATATTTATATGCATTACGGTTTTCATTTTATGTTTTGCTTTTTTGTATTTTGCCACATAATTCCCCTCAAGAGTAAACAGCAAGTTTAGATATACAGCATATTTTCCTGAAGGGTAACTGTGCTCTGTGTTTCTAGTGTGCAGTATATTTATTTGGCATATTCATACAATCGTACCAAATACTCATATTATTCCATGGAACCAGTACAGAAAGTGCTTTTCTCATAAAGTTCAGGTTTTAAAGTTGTAGCTGTTGTTATTTTTGTGGGAGAAAGTTGTGAGAGTAGGGAAATAGTGTTTTTACTTGTATATATGACATTAATTTGTTCAGAATTACATTTCTGACCTCATCATCCTGTGGGTCCAAATTGAACAAACACTAATCTGATCATATTATCAATTATGCACAGATTGCAGCTGTGTGTGACTGGAAAATATTTTTTTATGCTGAAGTTGACATAAGTGATGAGGATGGAACTTTTACTGACTTTTGACATTGGTGTATCAATAGCATACTTATAGTGCCTTTCATTTAAGCTATTTAATTTCAGAACTGGAATTCAGTATTCTTTGTAAAATATATTATAATTATAGTAGAGTGCATACTGCCCTGACAGCCGTTGTCTTCAATGTTGGTAGTATGAAATTTGACATATTTTCATTTCAAGAATGTCATATTAAAAGTACGTAAAGTACATTTAATAAGACTGGATAATATACTCTTTTACATCTCAATTTTCTTTTGTTTTCTTTTTGTCTGATTAAACAGTGTTCATCATTGCAATATTTGTAGTGAGCTGTAAATAATATGCTGCAAATGAGAAGTATGTTTGTATCTTATGTTGTTAATGTCTTCCTAGTATTGTTCAAATTGTATTGTATTCTTCACATAAGAAATTGTGTTCTATTACCATTATGGTGAATCGCATTGATTATATGACATGCTCTCCCAAAATCATGCTCTTCCAGCTATCGTGTAAAGATTAGTTTTTTGCTTCTAACAAATTTCATCTTGCAAATAGTTTGGACTTTCTGAGGGTATATTTTTTAAATATATAAAGATATGGATTGTTTGCTGATACTCTTTTAAATTTCTTTTGTTGAGATTATCTATATCCCTGGAGAGCCTGGTTTGGGGGAAACAGGTCATGGATTAATTTCAATCACTGCTACCAGCATTGCTTTTGAAATGCTGCAGCTTGAAGTTACTATTACTTGATGCTAATTATAGGTAATATTAACAAGTGTTCAACTGAGGATGAGAATCTTTGTATTTCCAAACAGTTGCTGGTTTGTTACTATATAAAATCCCACAACTGATGTAAAAAAACCCTTTTTTTAAAGTTTCCTATCCAAAATATTCCCCTTAGAAATAAAAAGAGCACTCAGCACATGAGACTCAACAATCCTTTCATGAAAAGCATTATTGATTAATGTCAGTCTGAAGATTTGCTGTGGTTGAGGGAACAGGATTTGTTGAAAGAGGAAATGTAAGTTAAAATACACTGCAATGAGTATTGTGGAAAATTAACTCAAACGTTGTAGAGAGTCTAAAAGAGAACGTGAATGTGAGAGTTAACCCTTCTGTATGTGTACCTTCTCCCTTTAAAAGGAAAGTACCATTTAAGCTATAGAGTGTTTCTGGTTCACTGGAAAAATTACTTTCTTTAATTAAAGATATTTTAAATATTAACTGTGGCCCTAAATGTCTACGCACAGTAAATTTCTGTGTATATACTGTATAATGCACTTAAAAAGTGCACACAGCATACAGCACTTAATATGTTGAATTATCAAAGTTCACCCAAATCCTATTTTGCAGTTATTCAAGATCAGTTTTTATTTACTCGGTAGAGATATCCTTAATGTGTTTCATGTTAAATGACATTTTTCATTTCTTTTTGAATAATGTAATATGTTATTGCTAATTGGAGGAATAAAATATACATACAAAAAAGCCTAAAGAAATGTTAGAATTGATGTGTATTAGAAAATAGGTTTAAAATATCAGTGTTTGAGCAACATACAGAGATTAAATTACTACCTTTAGTAAAATAGACACCTTTGTGTCCTATCTATTATCTTATTATCTATTATATGGTTGTTGTTTTTATGTAAATTGATTATTTATGCATTGTTTCAAATATATATGATTTCAGTTGGTTACAGTATGTATTGATGGAGTATCGCTGTACAGTGGGTATTAGGAGCATTAATATGCCTTTGTTGAATATGTGTTTTCTGAAGGTCTTTATGTTAGTTTCCACTGTTGATTTCTCTTTTTCATTACTTAAAAATATACATAATTTGGTTTATTTTGTATCAATCCAAATTTGCCATTTTTAAAAATAAAATGAAATACCAAAATCCATATGTTGTTGGATTGTATTGTTATATGTGTTCAATTGCCTGCCAACTGTATAAAAAAGGAAAGGGCAAACTATTTGAGGTCCATCTTTGAAATGTGGCCTAATTTCCTACAAATCACCACTTTACTACCACTTTAAGAAAATGCTCTAAGCAATATTCTGGATTTCTAAGGCCATTTCTGCAAAGTCTGAAAAAATTAGATTGTTGATTATTGCTTATACCTTTTTAGAGCCTGTCAGTAAGATTAATACCTTCTCATTGAGACTAGTCCTCTAAAACAAATACTAATAATCTAACAGAGGGCAATCAGCCTAAAAAAAAACACTTCTGAGAGCACTGTAATCCTCAGAGCATTTAGGCATATCGATATGACAAATATTAATTCAACCACAATGCACAATGTAAGGACCAAGATATATTTTATTTGTCTGCAAAGTAAACTTATTAAATATACAGTATAGTTATTATTCATCCATTCATTTTCAAACCACTTTATCCAATACAGGAGCTGGAGACTATCCCAGCAACAACAGGTTTAACCCTGGATGGCAGGCTAGTCTATTGCAGTGTATAGGTATTGAAAATAATCACTTAATGCTAATAATTCCCTAACATATTTATGCAGTCTCACAAATACAAAGAGAAAATCTGGTAAACCTGCAAATAAAGTATCAAGTTTACATTTTTTGTATCAATCATCTTAACTGTAGTACTGTTAAAAACTTGTAAAGTTTGCGTGTGACACCAATATGGGAGATGGACACCACATAATCAGTAAAGGATGTACAGAATGACTTGACTCTACTATTTTTACGCATGGCATGTGAAAATTAATGTAGATGTAGTTACCAGGTTACCATATTATGTAGTTACCATAGTGTAGAGCCATGTTTTCTTCATACGCATGTTAAGAAGGAATTCTTGAACTTGAAGGAAGCAAGGAAGCAATGTTGACACATCATTGAACCCTTTACACAATGTGGGGAAGAAATAAAAAGCAAACACAATACAGTGAAACGTGTAGAATCAATTCAGACAAAGTAGAGTAATGCAATTCATGAGATAGCTGTCACTTAGAATATTGTAGTTTTCCCTGCAATAAAACTACTCAATGAAGGTACGTAAATGTATGCCCTCCTGTACCTACTGTGTTTATTTATCTATTTATTTATCACATACTGTTGTTGAGATTTCATGTGATTTTGTGTGACACTTCTGTGGGAGAAGCCAAAGACAAATTTCCAAAGCAGTGGACAATAAAGTATTATAAAAGCGACATTGTTGAACCACAGAAAGTCTTAACAAGTAGAACTAATAATCATTCCAGATATCTGAAATGTCCATCACAGACAGGATAAAGGAAATTAATTGTGCCCTCAAGAACTCTAAATTCCTGAATGGTACTGTAACGCTTACGGCCGACAGGCACTGTGTAATAGCCGGCTTACCAGAGCGGTGACGTTGCCGCCCTTCCCTGTGATAGCAGGACTACAGCTACTAGGCTGTAAAGAGATCTCTCTTTGACTCACCGGGCTGGGTTCCTGCTGAGTGACACGGGAGTCCCGGGTTCGAGTCCCCGGCAGTGGGGGGCCGACCTAATGCGGCAAGGGCGCCCGCCTGAGCCCCCGTTGCGTTATTGTACTAACAAAAAGAACCCAATAAATTACGTCATGCTCATCAGCGTAAGAAGGACATAAGGAACCGAATGTTACATTTAGGAATGAGCAGACAGACTTGCGTTCAGGAGTCATAGCAGAAGACACGTGTTTAAACAAAAAAACCGTGGTGCTTCTCTTTTCCGTTTACTCAAGAACAATATTTTCCAACATAACAGATACACTTTAAAAACAAAATGTTATTTCTACGCGGAAGATCGATTGGTTTCAATTAACCCATTTTTATCATTGTCTTTATGTATTGCTTAATTTCCCTGGGAAATCATTTCTGTAAAAAGCTGTGGAAGCGGTGCATTCCTAAACAATACAAAATTGAATAGAAGCACCGAGGTGAATTATTTTCCATGCACTTATACGTTAAGAATATCATGTCAAATTCAATAAAATGTTTTTATTTTATTTCTCTACTATTACTAAATTTGAGTTTAGCGCTGTACACTAATTTTGGTCCTCTGGGCTGACTGTAGTTGGAATCTAATTGGTTTAGTGCTCCATGACATACGATCACGCCATAGAGATAGGGCGACAGGCGATCTGGAGGTGGAGTTAATCATTCTGAGACACCTATGTTATTCTGTTTTAGAGGTTGTGAGTTTCCAATGAGCAAGATGGAGAAAGTCGTGTTGGTGACAGGTGCCAATAGGTAACTAACCGTAATGTATTTCAATTAATCTGACTAGTTAAAAAATAGACGAGGAAGAAGTCCCTTATTACGTAAAGCACATTTATTTATATAAAGCCATCGATGTCGCGTTAAATTCTAGTGATTTATCTTTACGTTTGATGTAAACAGGGAATTTAGAGATTACGGATTTGCATCGATAGACACATTCTCCTCCTACCTTTAGAAATCGTGTAATTATTGGACACATGATAATCCTAACCTGACGTTTTGTTTGCAGTGTGACATATAAAAGTAAATGCTTTCTCTGATATCTATGACAAGCGACAGGAACATGCATATTTAAAAAAAAAGATTTTGGAACTATTTGAATAGTTTAACAGAACTGTTTATTTGTTTTCAAACTCAAATTACGTTGGCCGTAGCAGATTACAAAATGTAAAAATCAAAAGAATGACTATGTGTTCGTTATTAATTACTCAGTTTGCAATGAAATGTCTACACCTGAAATGCAGTTGTACCTTGCTGAACTACTACCTTGACCCTCATTCATCTGAATTGTACAGTTTGGAATTACTGTATGATGCATATAAACATAATAACAGCAATGTTTTGGTGTTGGGCGTTTTTTAAAATCAGGAATACAAAACTATGGATTCCCTCAAGTCTAAACTAAAAGCATGGCTTTTGGGGAATGCGTGTATATGATACCGTAAAGAAGCTTGTTAAACGTTTGATTTTTTTCTAGTGGCATTGGTTTGGCTCTTTGTGAGCGCGTCCTCCTGCACAGCAGCCGGATCCGCCTGTGTCTGGCTTGTAGAAATATGCGGCGAGCTGAAGCAGCACGGGCCGGTTTGCTCGTCGCTCACCCTGGCGCCGACATCTCTATCCTCCGGCTCGATGTGAGCAGCGTCAAGTCTGTCCTTGAAGCAGCTAAGGAGATCAAAAAGAGGTCCAGGACATCCATTGTTTCTGTTCTTACTGCTTATTAAAAATAGCAAAAAAATACATAAAAGTAATGAGACAGATTAGGGTTTCCTCATATGTGCTGGGAATTCAACATTTATTAAAGAATATCAATTATGAGTAGGTTTCCGGAGAACAGGAAAAGGTTTATAACCATGCTGAAAAGAAAAGAGACACAATGTTTCGACTGTGGAGCCTTCTTCATGTGTCTCCTTCTTCTTTACCTGTTCCTATTCAACATTTCTGTGCTTTTTCAGATATCAAAGACTCGACTACCTCTACTTGAATGCTGGGATAATGCCCAATCCTCAGATTAGCTTCAAGGCTTTTTTCAACGGCTTATTCTCAAGGTAGAGTATGTGATCATTTGGTAAGAGATAAGATAAGATCACTTTATTGGCCATATGCAATTTCCCTGTATTAGAAATTTGTCTTTTCACATACCCAGCTTGCTGTCCATGAGACACACAGACGGGGAGAGAGAAGCTTGGGCTCGGAGCACAGGGTCAGCCATTTATACGGCACCCCTGGAGCAGGTGGAGTTAAGGGCCTTGCTCAGGGGCCCACCGTCATAGGATTCCTCTGGTAGCCGCGGTATACAAACTGGCAACCTTCCAGCCACAGGTGCAGATCCTTAGCCATAGAGCATCCGCACTGCCCTACTAATTCTATTAGAAGGTGTCAAATGGTTCACTTGGATTTGTTTGCAGTCCACTGTGCAGCTCTGGGAACCTAGAAGGAGTCTGTGAGATGGCTGCTCAAATCCTCACCTGGGACAAATCATGTCTGCAACATGTCTGACACTATTTCCATTTTCCACCCTAGGCAATAACCCCTAAAGTTTTTTTAGTACTGTGCCGGCCAAATCTAAAAATTAAATTAAACGCCGTCTGTACTTCATAATTTCATGTTTCACAAACTATCATTTGATTTCGAAATCCAAAATTATATTCATGAAGCGATTGTGACATACTTAAAATGTCCTCAACAGCAGCCATTTTGCATGAGGGGCTGAGTGTCACAAGTGTGGATATTTCACTTCTAATTGAATTTGTCTCTGCTGTGACATCTTTCAGGAAGGCGATTAGCATGTTTGCGACAGGAGAAGGTCTCCTGACACAGCAGGACTGTGTTACTTCAGATGGATTGCAGGAGGTTTTTGTCACCAATCTCTTTGGCCATTTCTTACTGGTAGGAGTCTTGCAGAGGTGCTTTCGTGACATTGTCGGAGGGTGTTAAAACAAGAATGGCTATTTCTTTCCAAGTTTAGGACCAATTTCAGTTTCCATCTAGCTGAGGAAAAGAAGAGTAATTGGAAACATATGGATTTGTGGACAGAGCCTTCTAAGTAAAAATTTTATTTGAAATGCACTTATGTTTAATCAAATACGTTATGATCAGTTTTATACACAGGTATGATATAGACAGTGTTTTTCTAAAATCTTCAGTATCCAAAGTGTTTATGTATTTCTATTGCCTGAATTTAGTAGACCTATACAAAAAGTGAAAAAGTGCAGCGATGGTAGACTTTTTCTTATTAGACTAGAATTAATAAGACTTCCTGGAAAACTGAAAACTGTCAGTACTATGTATATAAAGGAAAACGGGAACACCTAGGTATTTTTAACCTGTTTAATCCTCTCTTGGTAATATTTATTATGACCGTCTTCAACAAAAAAAATGTGTTCGCACTCAGCCTTTTCTTTGAAAGCTATGTTTGGAACATTTTCCAGAATAGATAAGTCCTTTTTGTAAAGGTGAAGACATACATTGTGCATAATATTCTACATGAGATCTTAACAGTGCAGAGTATATTATCATGCAGTGTCTCTTTATTTAAATTATAGTCTTTTCACAATATACTCTAAAGACTTCTTGGCCTTTTTTATTGTTTTCTCACATGGATGTGACCACTTTAACTTCTAAATACTTTTCATAGCAGCTTCTTCAAAATCAATACCTTGCATCTTGTAATATACAGTAACTATAAGTAAATGTTGCTCACCAAGCAATATACTGCAGCCTATTTATTTGATGGCAAAATGTGAACACCTGTATAGTTCTTAACTTTAAATTAAAAAGTCTTAGCATTTACTTGCATCTAACTCCCTTACAACAACTCAATATTGATTGTGTTTTAAATGTGGCAAGTTCACTGAGCAGGAAAATTACATTTCAACTCACGGCCTTTAGCCAGCCTTTCATCTTTTCCTCATCTTTTTATGTCTTCCCAGTACAATATGCTGAAAGCTTTTCTAATGGATTCTGAAATCCTGAACTTAAATGCCATCAAAGAGAGGGAAAGGCAAGAGTTTCCCTACTTAAATCAACCTAACAGTTACTGACAGGTGTATTCTTTAATAGGTTTGCCATGGACTTTCAAGATAAATATTGATTCTCTTTCTCTATATGACTCCTGTATTTCTTTTGTAAATTGAGATCAGGGAGCTGGAGCCAATGTTATGCCAACCTGGTCGCACATCCCAGTTGATCTGGACATCATCTAGTAATGCCAGGAGGTCAGCTTTCAGCTTGGAAGACTATCAGCACAGCCAAGGAGTGGAACCTTACAGCTCTTCCAAGTATGCCTCTGATCTTCTCAGTGTGGCTTTGAACAGGCATTACAACAAACAGGTAAAGTCTGCTGAGCTGAGAGTTTAGCTCAGTGTTTGAAAGACCATCCAGTTTAGGGTGATGGACAACAATAATAACCTTGATTTCATACCTTTCATTTCCTGATGGTTTGCTCAAGGCACTCCACAAGAAAAACAACACAGAGACGTTCTAGTTAGTCAAGATAATAGTCTCCTCCATCATTTCTCTATCATATAAAAATATTATCTGACCTATCTTTCAGTACTTTAACATTTCAGGCTGCAGCCTGTAGTCTGAGTAAATTTGTTCAGTGTATCTTGTCTTTCACAACCTTGAGTAATTTGTCTGTAAGGCAACTTGAGCTCTTAGTACTTTTCTGCATTCTAAGCTGTATAGTATCACTGCCATTTCTCGAATGTTTTGTCTCTCGAGACTTTATGACTGTAGATCTTGAGGAAAAGTATGTGAAATCATGTTTATTTTGGTCAATTCTTATGGATTTAACTATTTTGGTATTAGTGTGTTTACATTAAGTTATTGCATTATTTTGCAGGGATTGTATTCCACAGTAATCTGCCCGGGACTTGTGATGACAAATTTAACCTATGGCATTCTACCTTCATTTTTCTGGACCCTAATCCTTCCCATTATGTGGCTAGTGAGCACAATATTCTTATTTAATTCTTTAGGAAATTATGATTACTGAAAAATAATCATAAACTGCATTATGAATCATGCTATCCTTGCATTTAAACTGTAAGAGTGGAATCACTATTGCTATTACTTTTTCTAGAAAGATGAATAAGTAATTTATGTTGTTCACAGTGTATATTAGTTTTATTTAATCCAGAAGGCTTGATTATTTTTTTACCCACATCTTGTTTTTTTACCCTGTTTTGTCATTATTTTGGTGTACCAAGTTCTGATTCAAAATAACTCTTGTCACCATCATCTGATTTTTATTTGTTGTTTTAATAAGATGATGCTGATTACATGCTGTAAATACTGCTGAAAACAGTACAGTCCCCTAACTTATCACACAGTCATGTCCTCCTCTTATTCTTTGTCCCACAGATCAGGATCTTCACCAACACTTTCACACTTACACCTTACAATGGAGCAGAAGCACTGGTATGTATTATTTAAGACATTATCTATATTTTTCTAACTGGTTCATCCAAATCAGAGTGGCAGAAGAGCCAGAGCCTATCTCAGCAAGCAACAGGTGCAAGGCAGGATACACTGGAGAGGACACCATTCCATTGCAGGGCAGACACAAACACAGATATGCACACACTCATACCAGGACCAATTTTCCTATTAGTATGTCTTTGCACTGAAGTCAGGAAGTCAGAACACTCAGAAAAAAAAAAAACATGTGAACACGGGGAGAACTTACAAACTCCAGATAGCACCCCAAGACCATAATTGAACCCAGGTCCCCAGCACTGCAAGGTAGCAATGATAACCACTGCACCACTGTGAAGACATTTTAGTTTTATTTAATGTGCACGCACTGTGTAGGAGATAAGGAATGGAAGAAGACATTCAGCCCATTTGTGCAGTTATTGACAAATATGCTTTCTAAAACCTCGCCAAGAGCTTTGGTTACAGGAGTTAGGAAACTTTGTAGCTGATCAGTATTATAAAAAGTGGTGGATCACTGTCTCTAGACTTTAAAAACCTTTCGATGTCTTGTGTTAAAGAACATCTTTCTTGTTTGTGTGATACTGACATCTAGAGACAGATTTGGGCATTGCCGGTGAGGTGGTTTGCTGGATTTTGTGAAGTCTTTGGCAAAGGCAAAAGAAAAATAATTCTAAGAGACAGCTTAGAGAGATAGCCGCATCAGCATGCATAGGCTGCAGAGGAAAAGGTAAAGGTTTAATCCAAGCTCAAAGGAAATGTTGTGTCTCTTTTCTTTTGTTGTGTCTCTTCTTCCTAAATTCTAAGAGATGCTACTCTTGTCTAAGGTTAATCCCCTGGTGGGATTTGTTAGATATGGAATATTGTATTTTCTGTACATGTAGTTTGGTGTGTTAGTTCTGTTATGTGTTTTTAAATTAAGGTTTAGTAACTGTGATTATTTTAAAAGGTGGTGATAAAATTGGGGGTAGGCCTTTTTAAAAGAATCAGTTGAAACAGTTTAGTAGCAGACAGAATAGAAGAAGCTCAGTAGGGAGTCTCGATCAGCAATATTTATTGCTGATCAAGACTTTTTGCAGGAACTGTTGTGTTGACCTCTGAACTATTTGTTATTTTAGTTTGACTTTATTAAGCCTTCAGCCTAATACTATCTGCTGTAAATATTCTACAGAAGAAAATCTCAAATTAACGAACATATTGTGTACTGAAAAGTGAGTGTATTGTTGTAACGGGGGAAGGTATTAGATTGTTGGGCCGTTAGTTGACAACTCAGAATAGTCCATCACCAGTATCAGTAAAATAACTTTGTATTTGGGCTTACTTCAAAAGATTCATGTAGTCCTGGCCTCTTTCTGTTTCCACTCCACTTTGGCTTTTATCCTAGCACTAAGGATTTATAATAATGAGGATTTATTATCACGTATGATAATTATTTAAAACTCTAATACCTAAATACTTGTTAAAGATAAACAACTTAAGTAAAAGGTTACATTTAATAAATGTTATATACATTTGTATATTTTTATGTAAAATTCAATTCTAAGTATCAAATTATATTCTTTCCACTATTTATTTTTAAATTGATGGTTACTTCAGTACCTTTCTTGCCTGTTCAACTTGTACAGAATTTCATACATTGCAAAGATCTATGGAATGATTTTTGTGTCTTGTTACGGCAAATATCTTTCTCGGTCTGTTCTGTTATTTCTTCTTGCAGTACTGGGTGTTTATTCAGAAACCTGAGGCCTTGGATCCCAGAGCAAAATACCACAGCTTAACCTCAGGGTTTGGAAACAGCTACACAGAGCCCAAAAAAGTGAGGCAATTGGTGTAGCCAGTCTCTGTAATGCTTTTCATTCCATTCATCTTATACGTAACAAGTGACAACAATATTTAATGCTACTGACATTCTTATATGAAAGCTCTTGCAAAACACTTGTAGTGAAATGGTTTCAGATAACTCAGCTTTTTTAAATTAGTCTTCTCGTTTGAAAAACGATATTTTAAGTAAAACACTGTTGTTCATTCCGTTGTTAGTAATGAGAGTAAATCATGATTCTGGTTCTTTCCTTTTAGTGTTGTTCGCTGCAGAAGGGGTTCATTATATAAGTACAAGGAAACGTTTTCTCTGCATAGCACACTATTAGTCATTTTCTTGCCTTTTTCTGTTTAGATGGATATTGATGAAGAAATGGCAGAAGCATTTTATGTGGAATTACTACGGCTGGAAAACCAGGTCCTGAGAAACATAACACAGGAGAAGAGGAACTCTTCAGTTCAGTGATTGAATCTTATTTAACATGATTCATTATTTTATAATTGGTGAAAATGTCATTTATCATATTTACACCCCTCTCTCTTTTGTTTATTCTGAAGATAAGACTACAAAAGGCTCAAAGAAATCAAGACTTTATTGCTTGAGGCATTGCTAAAACAGGATAAGAAGAGCACTTTTAGGGCCTTGCAATATTATGAAAAATAAAATGTACGCACTTCTAACATAATTCTGGCATAGTTTAAATAAAGAGTGTCAGTTGTTGAAAATTGGGGTTTGTTACTCATTTAATTGCTTTTACATTTGTGTAATGTAGGAGTTCCCTTCTCTGGTCCTTGAGAGCCCCAATACAGCCAGTTTTAATGGTTAAGTCACCAGTTTCTGAAGATACACAATAATTTCAGATGGTTCAGTTAGGTGGAGATTTGTTAAATCAAGTAATTTAGATTTGGAACCAAAATCTATGTACTCATCAGCCCTTAAGGACTAGAGGTCTCTTAACTCAAAAGATTACTTTGTAGATTGATAAGTAATTTACAGGTGTTGCCAATCTTTAGACACAGTTGACCTCTGTGTCTAATTTAATTGGGCATCTTTAGTACCACAGTTGGAGTTGTGTATTTAGGTTACAGTAGAAACATAGTTTTGGCCTTCATGCTGTCACAGACTAAGAAGGATGTGCATTAGTTCATTTTGATTGTGCATCTGAAGTAGTAAAGCCAGACAAACCATGTCTTTCAGAACAGAAATAATTCAGAACATCAGTCTCACACACACTGAACACAGTGAATCCTAGTATTAAGATATGGATAAAGATAAATTCATATATATTTTATAACCCTCTTTAAATGTGACAGTGGGATTTTAATTAAAAACAGTCATCAAAAGAAAATGAAAGGTCAAAATGAATATTGTGTGATGATTGTGTCGTCAGAAGAAAATGAAATTAAATTAAATGAAAGGAAATTAATAGGATCTAAAAAGAATGAGGAAATTAAGTGAAGATCTACAATATTTGCGATTTATCTTACAGCCCTGTAAAAATGTAAAAATATATATATATTTTAATTATGAAATAAAATAAATCAAGTTACACTTTGTGAAAAACGATCATTATGGTTTGGTTTTTGACTATGGTCTGTTTTTGATATGTATTATTTAAACAGACTTAAACCATGCACATTTTTTTCTAGAGGACTTGTTATTGATCCTTTATTAAAATGAAATTACAAATAAGAAGACTGTATTTTAGTTTTGAGATTTAAAATTAAAATAGTTGGGATAAAAAAGGGGTTAATGAATAACATATGCCATCTTCATCCAGCACAGACAGGCTTCTTTGTTTATCTGTGAAATACAGTTAACCACAAGTCCAAAGTAAGATAATATAAGTACATGGGGACCACTTTTAACTCTCATTGAGTAAAAGATAAGAGAAAAGAAAATATTTTTCATGACAACTTTCATTGCAGTATAGTGGCTCTGCAGTTCTTTGGATTTGGTGATAATGTTGCATAAAACATGTATGAAAACCCTATTTTCTCCGCCAAGATTTAACACCTATGCTCTTCATATTTCTTTAATTTGTTTTTCATTAACCGGAGTGCAGTTTAAAAAAATATTTTGAACTGCCATTTGTATGCTACAACCTTCCTTTCTGAAGGCAGTTCCAGGGTACAATGCATGGAGAACAGGACTGAGCAGGGTTTGGTAATGTACAACACAAATGCATGATACAGTTTGTGAAATAACTCAAGAGGAAGGCATTTTTTTACACAAACAGGGTTGTGGGATTAAGAAACAAGCTACACAGCTGTGTTGTCCAAGTTGCCACCCTTATTCCATTCTAGACACAGCTGGGTGAGAATTCTTGGGTCACGTGGTTTACTCATAACCAAACAAGCTAGCTGGGCTGAATGACCTCCTCTCATCTGTAACCATTTTTATGTTCTTATTATTTCAAACCTTGCTCAGCAGGTGAACTACCATCTCTTTAGTAGCTTCTGTCACTCTTTATCCTTGATGCAGCACTAATCCCCCTCAAAGGCAACTTAATTTTAAATGTTCTCAAGAGGGCTCACTGCATCTAAATACAAAAATGAGAATGTAGTCTGCATATTGTTTTATTAATCTCATATAGTACCATGATTGTTGTGATGACAATTAGTACAATAGTTACAATACAGATTAGCCACAAGTTATGGACATTACATACTGTAGTAATGGTGACAGCATGCTCTATCATGCCAAACCATACTTTATGAAATCTAAGAAGGGTTACATCATGCTTGTAAAAGCTAATTTGTCCAGAAAGCATGCTTGCTTGATTATGATTAAGGTATGTGAACCTCATCTTGACAGGTTGACTTGAAGCTGGGGAAAGCTGGGTGGAAACACAGCTGGCATGTCAGAGCAAAGATTCTGTGGAAGTCACTGTGTCAGGATGTCATTGTCAGCACATTACTGTGTCAGCACATCACTGCGTCAAGTGCGTCAGTGTGACAGCGAGTCATTGTGTCAGGAAACAGTGTGTCCCCTAGTCACTGTCTCAGTACATAAGTGTGTCATTGAGTCAGTGTGTCAGCGAGGTCATGCTAGTCCTGATACATTGATTTATCCCTCCAAATCATGTGTGGCCTAAAAGGGAACAAAAACTGTCAGAGAGTAAAATTAGCTCAGAATTAAACAATATTTAAGAGTTCATGAAGAATTATCTGCTAGCCTATGAAGATAAATTAGAACAGTTACCACAGTAGTATTATGGTTTATCACAGTTTTAGTTCTTTCTGTTTTGGAGACTGATATCTGAAAAGCATTCTTGACATTACTTAAAAACAGACAAATTCGGTTAAACTATGTCTGTAAAAATGCAATAAGGGATATTTTCATCGTAGCCATCACAGCATAACATAAAACAAAGAAAATGTATTTTTAAATGTAAAGCTGTTAATAGCTCGGCCCTCTGCCATATGAAATGTTGTTCACTAACGCTGAAACATTTTTGACATTAGTTGCCCAGTGAACTAAATGTAACGATTATGTACATTCCAACATATTGCTTGAAATGTAACATACAGTACAAGTAAAAGAAAAATAAGCTATCATAGTCATGCAACTTCTAGAAATGTTTTAAATTGGCTTATGGACTGTTTAAAAATGGCTGTCCAGTTCCTTTTTAATCTGTCCAGTCCTTTTCAATCACATAATAACCAGTATGAGCTGTGTTCTCTCCTCAGGGGCTGGCAATTTGATTGAAGCGGTTACATCACAAAGCCGCCTAAAGGAATACTTTAGCAAAATAAGTTTCTGACCTACATATTGCTTAAGACAGCACCATGCATAGTTTAATTCTTGGAAAGGAATGAGCGGACAATGTATAAACAGAAAGGCTTACTTGTCCAATCTCGATAACTGTGATGTGTTTTTCATATATGATATTAAACCTCAATTTGCCATTTCTTGGTTTCTTACCTTTCTAGTTGATAGTGGCTCATTTCTCTCTATCTTTTGACAGTGGTGCAAGTCTAGACAGAAAGACACAACATTATAACACAAAAAAAACTTGTAAGCTAAGGCATTTTTAAAAGCCCTTTCAGTCACTCCAGATAAGAAAAATACTTCTAGCCAGCACAGAGCTGTAGCTTATTAAATATATGTATCATGAGATCTTCAGAGATAAAATAATATCATTCAAAAAGCAGCAGTGTGTCTGTAACTAGATCTATTTTCATAAAAATACCTTATGGAAAATGAGATTAAAATGATGTAGATGGCACATAAACATGAATCATGAACCTTTACAGCCTTTGAGATTGGCAGACACAGTTTTTCCTGTTTATGACACAGAATTGGTTTTCTGCTCTCAGTGAAGACACCTTTAGAAATCAGTCATCCCCATAAAAAATGACTATTCTACTGAGCACTTTCTGTCTTGAGGAGGTCTCAAGGTGAAAAGTCACGGAGGAGATGTAAATTAAATTGAATTCTCATGCCTTAGCCTCCCAAAGTCATGGTGAAATGGTTAGAGACAATAAGATTTGTCAAACGTATTTGAAAATTTATGGAGGACTTCTGTTACCCATAATATCTGGCTAGGTCCATTTACATGCTAAAATACTATGGATTCACACTATGGATGGATCAGCACAATTCCAAAATGACTTTAGTATTACTAGAGATATCCTGGACTTATCTAAATTACAATCACTTTTCCCTATACAATAATTGACATTCATGCAATAATGTTCTTTTATGCTTGCAGATCTCTCACTTACCTTCATGCAGAAAAACCTTTTTGCCAAACAAATAACTGGAAATATGACATGAACTGTTTGGTACTTTGTTGCCATAGAATAACAACATGTAAAAGGTGCATCCCTGGAATCTAGTTCTTTTCCGATCCAGTTTACTTGAATCTGGACTTTGCCATGGCATTCCATAGCTAAGTGCTTCAGATGCACTTTGGAGCTGGCTGTGAAATTAACATCTGGTCTTGTTTGTACCCCTTCCTGATAATGGAAAAAAACTCACTGAGCCGCAGCCTCCCACAGACTTGACAGCCTCATTAGTGTTCTTGTAATTGAATGCCACAATCTGGCCCTTAAAGTGCTCACAAGGTTCCAAAGCTGTTATATCAAGGTTTTTTTCTCCATATCTCTTAAACAACTGTGATGATCTCCACTGTTTGTCGCCACATGCTGTGATCTTTTGTATTAGTGGTTCTAGGATCTGTCTTGAAATTCCAGAACTTCATAATAAAAGAATTCTTTAACACGTCTCATGCCGAAAAAGCTTAAAAAACAAGTTTTATGAAGCTTTCCTCACAAGAAGGTTTTGAAATTTTGTCATGTTTATTCATCTTGATTTATCCTTCTGTGGGGCGCAAGAATTGGGTTGTGAATGTAATAGCCTGATAAAGACTGTGACTCAATGTATAAAAAATGGTGTAGTCAAACTGTCAACTGCCCTTGCCAAATCAATAAAAAAATTAATGATTTTTGTTTTTTAGGACTTTGTGGGGACTGCATGTTGGAGAAACTGGACCACAGTGCCAACAAATAAAGCTGTAAATAAAATGAAGATAAAAATTGTTTGAAATTGTAGTTTGAAAATTATAGTCCAGGAAGTTGCATGTACAACGATTTCAATACTACCCACGCAGTATGAAGTCATTAAAGTAATCTTGCGATTAGTATGAAACATAGAACAAAGGAAAAGATTAATTCTGAGCAGACAGTTGACACAGTTATTAGAAACCACGGAGGACAATGAATTGTGTTTTCTTCCATTTCACTGCAGAGTGCAGATTAAAGAGGCTCTTATTTCACTTCTCTGCAGTGACATTGATAAAGGAGAAATAGTATAAACATGATACTGTATTACTGAACCATTTTTCTTATAAATAAGCAAATATCCTATGTTCTGCCAGAATACAAAAATTGACCCCCCGTTTAATAAATAAAAAACTCAAAAACTAAGAAGGAAAACGACTAATTTTTGACAGGGAGAAAATAAAATATTGGCGCACCTGGTTTACACAGTTGCTGTAGGTATTCTTCGCCACTTAAACATTTGAAGGTCAATAGCCACAGCTCAGTAGAAATTGTACAGTATATACTACTACTACGACTATCACTACTACTACTTCCACTACTACTAATAATAATAAATAGAAGACACAGCCAGAAATTTAAATCATTTTTTTTTCTTAAAGGCTATCATACTCACAACGCGACCAATATTGACCAATTCAATAGTGGGTTAAAAAAATACTGTAAGCTTTTTTATTTTATTTTTTTTTATAAAACGGATATCAGCATAAGGTCAGACCAATGTATATTTACATTTATGTAGCAATGAAGGAATTTAAATTTGCTGCAATTTTCGACTCAAAATGATCACACCTATTCGTAAGTTACTGAAGAATTATTATTATATTGGTTATTAAATCCAACTTAAAAAGGCTGGCTTTAACTTAAAATAATTATTGAAACAATTTCTACGAATACTACACATAATAAGATTTGCTGTTGGATGATATCCAGGTTTTATAAAGATGCTTATCTTTAGATTCCTCTTCATTCCAGTCACTTTCTTGCAAAACACCTTGTGTCATTTCTTGAGTATGCATGACGTGAATTTGTTCCATTGGAATTTCCGTGTATTTCACATTATTGGGCATTTTACATGTATAAGTTTCATTTGAATTCTTAGTCGTACTGTCTTCATCCTCGCTGCTAAGTTTTGGATTGCAAAAAGCCCAAACCATGACGCAGAAATAAATGAAGAATGTTGCCATCACGATGACCATTAACGTATACGATTCAATCATTGCTTCAGTCACGGCAGACGTCATCTTTCTCTTTTCTTCTTGATGTGCCCCACTAATATTTCCGATTTTAACTCCTGTCGTTGGATCGGATGTAGAAAACGTAATGCAACTTGCCGGTTTGAATCGTTAACTACATGGTTTCTGCTTTTGAATCACGGTTATTCTAATAGTAATAGAAGCAAATACAGCGAGAAAAAGAAAGCTTTGTACCTATAAACAGGTTTTCTAAACGCTATTTTGACGAAGTCGCGGATCAAATAGATTCCCAGTGTGTGTATCCGGCGTTTTTCAGCAGTCTGATGTTTGCCTGATCTTTCTCCGAGTCTGAATACTCTGGCAGGTAACTTCGAAATCGCTTATGATGACGTTGCCCTGTACCATCTGAACCTCAAACGCGACAGCAGCAGCCAGACAAGTTTCAGCTGCACCCAAGAATTCCGGTATAGAATATAGAAAAAAGAATATAATTATTTTCTTTAGGCGTGCAAAATATATTTGTTTTATCAAAAGTGTACCGAGCCGACTGGTTTAATTTGCATTAAAATCGTGTTTAAGTTGCTAGCTATATTAATGATCCTCCAGTAGTTTTAAGAGTATGTCATCTCAAAAATCCAAAACTTCCACTACATATTAATTTATATACAACTTTTAACAATGCATCTGCATGTATTTTTAATGAGTTTTTGGGTGGATTTTAATGCAAATAACAACAAATAATGTAAAATCAATGCAACTTTCTGAAATATATTTCTGAAATATTAGCAGATTTCCATGTTACTAGAGATTACTCCTGTCTGGAAAACAATGAATTAACATTTTTACGTACCATTTTATTAAAAATCACACATTTCAAAAAGTATTTTATTTTTCACTGCTTATCGGGATAAAGGGTAATTATCGGATAACATACAATGACTTTTTCTCTTGCCTTGTAGCTGTCACATGAATTGTTAGATTTCAGAATGTCTGAATATAACTATCCATTCACACAGAAAAGTACAATTTTGAACAAGACTGGAAAGGCAAGTATATCATCAACTTTCAGATAAACTAAAAATGCTAATATTAGCAAAAAATGAAATTAACACTGGCTTCTGGCCTTTCGCCATGTGAATGATCATTATTTCAACACACTTGGAAATTAAATATAATTTAATTTCAAATATCCTGGATATTTCTTGTGGATTTCCTACCATTGCCCAGTTTGCCCTTCTCATAGTCATAAGTTCCCATGAACCTTCTGTTCAGGCTATAGCTGCCTAAAGCTTTAAACTTGCATCTGTCTTTATTGTTGGCAATTGTGCACATATCATGTGAGTGAAATAGCCCATCTGAATCTAGGGGACTAAATATTTGCAAGTGTTATGTCTCTGCATGGCAGATATTTTCATTACCATGCTGTTCAGTATCAAGTGCTGAAACTGTAATGAAAACAATGCCTCCTTGGAATTTAGTTTTTAGATTAAAAAACAAACACATTAAAGGGTCTGTAGAGTATAGCTCATAGTCATAGTTTTTTTTCTCAGTGGTATTATAGCATTTCAAACTGCCTGTGTCCTTTAACAATTCAGAGATTATGCATTATAATAAAATGAATTGAAGGTAATTGGTTTAGAATGCTCTAGATAATTTTGCATTAATAAATAGTGCAGAAATCTACCCAACTTTACAGTATGTGAATCCCAGTCCTGAATTATATTTTGGTGAGTTAACTTCAGTTAATGTCTTACAGATTTTTGTTTCATAATGAAGAGAATTCTTCATCTTAGTATGTGCTTAATAGTGCCTTATAAAGACCACTAATGCTTAGGACTAAACAGGCACACCCTGTCTTTGATAATACTGGAAGCTTAGCTGACTTTTTCAGTTATGCAATAGCAAGGCTGTTATAGGTGGAGCCTCATAAATGTTCAACTTGTCTGACAGGAGTCCAAACAGCAAAATGGCATGTAGTGTTTTTTTTAGATGTTTCACTTATTAATTTGGACCTTCCAGTTTGGAGATATGGAAAATCTTTTATTAGGATACAAAAGCAATAGAATTTGCTGTAAGTAAAATAAAAAAAAATTGAATGAGGTTTAAACATGATGGGAGTGAAGTGTCAATCACCTTTAAGCCTTGAAAAAATGGTTTTGAAAAGTGAAATTGCTCCCTGATCTGGAATATGCATGTGAACTGTTTCTCAGTAACACTGAAATGAAATCCATTAGAAGAGAAAACATTTTGTGTAAGTATAAGTGTCCCACACTTTGTCACCAAGGTGCCAATTCATTCATCACCTCTGGTATAAGTATGTGTTAAACACTATTTAAAGATCACTCTGAACAAATACTTGATCATTTCTAATTTGGGTAACATCACAAGAAAGGTGGTTAAAGAAATCTAGTCAATTTACTGACCATCAAGTCATTTTTGGTTAAAAAAACCCAACATTTTATTAAGGTGTTTTTAAAGGCTTTGTTCTGTTTTGGAAAGCTAATCTGAATGGGGGATGGTTGATCAGATCAGATGTCAACAATTAGGTCACAGACAGCCACCTTACAAGATGGTTCTTTGCCATTTTGTTTTATTCAGATCCTCTTGTACTTAAAAAAACGATCATTTAATCAAATCAGCTGCTGTATTAGTTCATATAACCATAGCTAGAGGTAATGCAAATTCATAGGACTACTCGCTGTGTGTGCTTATTATGATACTGTTGGTACTGCATATACTGCAAAAGCCAGCATAATTGAAAATACAATTTCATTTAGAGATAAAGAGTAAAACAAAAAGCAAAATAGCGTTATTTTCAAATTTTGGAATTAGAAAAATTAGAGAAATCAGTCAATGGTAAATGCACTAGCTGACTAAATGCAGGCAGACTCAATTTAAATCAGGCACATAAATGCAAAAATTGTCACGCTGGATGGCTGTGCTATCAAAGAATGGCCTCATAGCACATTACTGTTATACTCCTTTTCTAACTTCACAATTTCAAAAAGCTTGGAAATAACAACCATAATCTCCCACTATATTCCATTCAAGACCCCTATTTAAAAATGCATTAGATGGTGCTTCAGGCAATTGTTATAAAGAGCAATTCTCGTTGAAACGCTAACGCTTTTAAATGCTTAAGTAAAATATTTTTATTAAATGTTACGGTGAGAAAATGTTAAAGCACACTGGTTGTGAACGAGAGGCCTGCGCCACCATGTTTTCAATAAAGCTTTCACTTGCTACAAAGCAACACTCCTTAGGCGCTGTTCAAAATGTGTACTCCACTGTTTGAAATGCATGATACCATTAAAATCAAATTACATAGCATCAGCCTCTAATGCTAGTATTGATCATGTGAATGAAATGAAAGTGAATGAAAGCTTTCAGTGATTAGACTGACAATTCTGAGCATCTGCAGACCAAGAAAAATTAAATGAAACCACACTGACACAAGCGTGCACGTTCCCTTTCAGTTTACCAACAGCATGCCATGCCGAGCGCTACTAGTTACAGTTCCCAAGCAGACGTTTTTCAAGAACAGAAACAAGCACTTTAGCTGCAGATGCTTTCCGGGACTTGTAGTCTTTCACTGCAGCTCCTGCAATATGTTTCTAGAGCCCTGCCTCTATTAAAAACTACATTCTCCATGTGGCAGCGAGCTTGAAGTCCCGGATGTCTATCGCGCCGGAAGAGAAGACGGTCTCTTTCCCGGCCATCTTGTGGCAGCATCAAGCGAGCTGTTCGCTTCAAGCCTCGTAGAATCGGAGGAGAATCCCGCTGAAGGGGCGCCATCATGCCCGGACACCTGCAAGAAGGCTTCGGCTGCGTCGTAACTAATCGGTTCGACCAGCTATTTGATGACGAGAGCGACCCCTTTGAGGTGTTAAAAGCGGCCGAGAACAAGAAGAAGGACGGGGCCGCCACTGCTACCGCCAAGACTGCTGCTCAAGCCGCTAAGCAGCCGAAAAAAGAGTCGCAGAAGGACAGAAAGAACCCGCTCCCTGACAAGAAGGAAGAGACACAGGCTCCTGTGCCTCTCAAAAAAGAAGGTGACTTTTTTCCCCCTTTCTCTGGTCAGTGGACTGCGTATTTCAGAACATGGAAGGGGGTTGTGTTAATGTTACTGCGTAAACCCCCCATGAGGTCAACAACATGGTTCCTATTCTAAGCCAGTCAGACAGTAGTTCAGTGCCTTATACACGCTCGGCCAAGCTAAAAATGTACGCCTTTGGGGACTCGAAAATGCATTCTTCCTGTAGTCTCCCGGTGGTACCTGCGCATGCTTTATCCGGTGCTGAAGGGGGTCTAGATACGGTTAATTCTTTAAAATGCGTTTCCTAGTACCAGGCCTGCAAGATACTGCAGAGCGGGGAGGTTGCTGTAGTGTTTCGGTCTGATTAAAGCAGTTCCAACGCCGGCTACAGCAAGGCTCTCTCGCAGAGGCCTGGCGCTGCAGCAGTCAGGTCGCCAACCTCGTGGTGGAAGTTTGGGGAAGGCTGTCGAGCTGTCACAGCACTCGGAAGTCGATCTTCGCGAGTCGTCGCTCGCCGTGGAAGGCGTGGTGCTGGGAGCTAGCGAGGGAATTTTTAAACAATCGTTTGACCCCCTCGGCGTCGTTGGGCTTCATCAGTTTTGTCCTCTGCATGTGACGCAAATGGGCTCGTTCGTTTGCATGCATTCCTTTTAGATTTTAGTCCAGCGGCATGTACATCTCGGAACAGCTCTCACGTGCTTTGTTTGCATGATGTCGACTTCACGCCTGTATCGGGCAAACAGGAACCGCGCTAGGGCTTTATTCTAGTACCTCGAAAATTGTTTTTTTTTCCCCCCCAAACACGAGCTTGCGGACCTTTCTTGGGATGCACCCAACAAAATTCAAAATGGACTCGTTTTTATTTCGACTAAACCTGGAACTGGGCGCTTGATTTTTTTTCTAAAAATAGACGCATCCTTTGTAATCGTTTTAAAACGAAAGTGGGCGTTTACCAATTCAGTAAAAGGGCTTAATTTAGATAAAAAGTCCAGTTTGGTCCCATACAGAAGAGGCGTCCCCAACAGGTGCACATCCAAATGTGCCAGCAGCTGTCGGGTTAGGCTATATGGAGGTGTTCTGCCTGAGGGCTGTTTTTTGGAGGGGGGTGGGGTACAGATGCACTGGCTCTTAGAATTGGGAACCTTTTGACCAAATGATTTCTCTTGGTATATTGAACTAGATCTCCATCTAGTAGCAAAAGTTGTAACTTACCTCTTGAGAACCCAATATTGTGGGTTTTTTTCACTTAGTGAAGTGGTTTCACACCTTTCCAGCTCCAGTCGCCACTCATGCTGTAAGTCAGCATTATCATTATTCAGTTCATACTACATACAGGAGTTAACACATGCTTTTTGATTTGGTATGTACAAACTCGCTTGTTAAACCTGGTTTCTGCTAATTAGCTTATGACGCATTCGAAAAATACTCAGGAGTGTAAAATACATAAATCACCTGCTGATTAAGTTGGGGGTGCATTATAAAAAAAAAACATTTTAAGTCTTCTAACATCTTTCTTAACTTCACAGCAAACTAGCATTATGTCCTTTAGGAATTAAAATTATAACAGGTTGAGTTAATTTCTTCGTTTTAGCGGTTGTCCAGTTTGAAATCCACGTATACTTTTATATTCCAAAGCTGTAATTGAGTTCAGTAATCTAATTTATTTCTTTTAAATTGGACAGGACCAATAACACGTTGCGAGTTGAATCTGAATCGTGCTTTCCTGTTCACGGATGAAGGATTAGATTTTTCAGGCCTAACTCACCAGCTGGCTTTCTATTTCAGGTATCAGGAGAGTTGGCCGTAGGCCTGACCAGCAGTCCCCACACCAGGGGCAGCAGTCCCAGCAGCAGGGCTCTCAGCAGCAGGGGGGTCAGGGAGAGGGCAGGCCCGGCGACAGGAGGCCAGACAGGAGGCCCCCACGCGACCGCCGCTTTGACAAGCCTGCTGAAGAAAAGCCCGAAGGTGGAGAGTTCTCTGTGGAGAAGTAAGCTTACGAACAGTATAAGGGTTAGGAAGCTGTGGAAGGGGATGTTTATGGGCTGAGTTGGGGGCTAGTGGTTTTTTTGGGGGGGAGAGAAATGATTTCAGTTTTCCCAGACTTTGCAGAAAAAATGTAGATATGCCAAGCCATCAGCCCCTACATTAAAAAAAAAGCACATCAGTTACAACACAAAAATGTGTTCCTCAATGTTCAAAAGCTCTTTGTTTTTTAGAAGAAATTGAGAATTCTATATTAAATGTCACAAAGAGAAGGTGCGTCATAATCTGAATTAATTTGTCCCAAAGACAAATTTTTAGTTTTTAATTTTATACTAGACAAAAGGCATAGGACACTGCCTATTTGGGCCTATTTTCTGTGGTCAGTTGTGTAAAACGACTGGTGAGCTGAAATCTTGAAATTTTAAGTTTTACACAGTAATTTCCAGGAAAGTTCCCCCCCCTGCATATTGCCCCTGTATTGCAGTTACTTTGGTCATGTCTAGTTTTTTTTAATCCTTGACCTTCATTTGCAAATGTTTGAAAATAAGGATGAAAATGAACTCCTGTTTAGGGAGCACTTGGAAACCAATGCCAAAAATTTGGTAGAAAAGGTTGTTTTAAATGTTGTATTCTTTTTCACAGGGGTATCCCAGTTTATATATGAGCTACCATTAATCCAGGTAAAAATATTTTGAAGATAAATCTCTGGATAAGATAAGGCACTAAAGTGGTAAAGAGACTCACTGCACTCTGTTCCTAAATAGGCACGGCTATGGTGGTGGCAGGTACTGTTTAAAAAAATTTAAAGTAGAAGAAACCAGGCTGTGTGGTCAGGTAAGATTAGTCATTAAAGAAATGACAGAATTCCAAAGTGGTATCACATTGTCACGTTGGGGCTAGTGAAAAAAAGAGGAAGGTTCATCCTTCAAAACTGAAGTCACTACAAGGTTTCTTTTTGTGGTGTTTCTTATCTAAGAGGTATTGTTTAGTTTTTTTTCTTGTTTTCTTGGCTTGGCTTCCAAAAGGTTTATGGATCAGCAGTTGGGGTTATCCCTGTTGAATATCTGATTGACGTGTATCTTCCTCCCCCAGGTCTGCAGGAGAGAGGCCTTTGCGAGGGCGTGGCGGCGGCAGAGGTGGGCGTGGCGGCCGTGGACGCGGTATGGGCAGGAGTGACGGCTTTGACTCGCGTGGAAAGCGGGAGTTTGACAGACACAGCGGAAGTGACCGATCGTAAGTGGCTCGTAATACTTTTTTTCTTTTTGAAAAGTGTACTTCATGGCTTTGTTGGCTTATTAATCACTGGCTTGTTGTGTCAAAGCTAAGTAGTGCTCCGCTTTTGTTTCAGCAGCCTGAAACCTGAAGAAAAGCGTGGCGGGAGTGGATCTCACAACTGGGGCACTGTCAAGGATGAGCTGAGGTACGTTAGCTAGATCAGGGTGGCCAGCTCTGGTCCTGAAGAGTCGCAGTGCAGCAGGTAACACTTAAATCTTCAATTTGCAAAGACTTGTACCTTGTTGGAGTTCTGGTCAATTGAATAAGTTAATCTTCATTTCAGTTAGAAACTGCCAGCTGTGATCCTTGAGAGCTACAGGGTGTTGACTTTTTCTTTTCTGATGAATGCAGCTCTAAATGCTGAACAGTTTAGTCAGTGTAAGTCAAAAGTTAATAACTTTTTTCCAGGTGCTAAGGAATTGACAGTTTGGAACACACTACGCACTCATGTTGGTTGAAGCCAGTAGTTTCAGTAAAATCTGGGATCAAGATTGAAAATGCTTGTTTCCACAAATCCGGATGCCATTTGACCTGTGTACTAGCAGATCGCATTTTGTTACACTGCATATTAACAGAACATCGATGTCTTTTCAGTTTGACATTATGTGCATTTGTATGGTTTGGCTTTCCAACCTTAATTTAAGAGGCCTTAAATTAGTCTTGTGAAGACCTTGATGCCACTCTCGAGCATTTCTTGAATAGTGTGGACATTTTGTTGATGTTTGTTTACTCTAATTTCTAGTGAACTTGATCAATCCAATGTGACTGAAGAAACTCCTGAAGGAGAGGAACACCCTGTGGCAGACTCTGAAAACAAGTGAGTATGGGAGACAAAGGTACACCGTCTTCAACATTGGTATATTCGCATTATGTTTTGTTCACTGTGGAGACATGCACAAAATGTATAGTTCAGTAACATGATTTTAATTGTGGTATTTGCATGCTTTTAAGCAAGATCAGTCTTATTTCTTAACCAAAATATTTTAAAGTTTGCCTAGGCGAACTGGGATTGAATGGATAATTTTGTGGGATGTCATGAGTATTGCCACCTAAATCCATTGGATTGGCATTACTGAGGGCAGCACATTGATGTGGGGGTTAGCTCTGCTGCCTCATAGATTCTGAGTTTGATTCTGGATTGAGATGCCTTCTGTGTGGGGTTTGCATTTTTTCTCTGTGTTACCGTGTGGTTTTACTCATATTTCTTCTCGTCTGTCTCAAGACGTGTTGGTTATGTTACTTGGTGTCTCTTAAGTCATTTTTGTCTTTGAAGACTGTTGAAGTCTTTGAAGGGTGCAGGCAAGCCTTGATTGAAGGATGAGGTGAAGCTGGTTCTCTGGATTTAAAAAAACAACTGCTGGATGAGATCCTTGTCAATTAACTACTACCTACCAAATGGGCTGGATGATCCAAATGACCTGCTCTCTTTTTTAGCCTTTATGTTCTTGGGCTCCTATGGTAGGCAGTGTTTCTGCGATGCATAAAGAATAATGTGTTCCTGATTATGAATAGGTGCTATGATAGAAATCTGTTCCACTACAGGAGATGACTAAAAATTCCAATATGGATTTCTTTCTTTCAGAGAGAATGAGGTGGAAGAGGTCAAAGAAGAAGGGCCTAAGCAAATGACACTGGATGAATGGAAGGCCATGCAGGACAAGGAACGAGCAAAGGTTGAGTTCAACATCCGCAAACCCAACGAGGGCACTGATGGGCAGTGGAAGAAAGGATATGTTTTGCACAAATCCAAGAGTGAAGATGTAAGTTTCAGGGGTATTTTCATATTAAAAATTAGACCATTTAAAATTTTCTGTTCAAGTTAAGAACAGCACCTATAAATGTTAGTCTTATAAAAGGCTGTTTATTGTTTCTTTGTTGAGGCATTTAATTAAAATCTGAAGACTGAAAGGAAACTGGTAGTCTAGCTGAAAATTTGTTTTAATGGGGCAGTAACAGAAATTAATATTTTGTACAGGGTTCTCCAACATAGGTTGGTAGACTAAATGTTAATGTTTTAAAGTCTTTAAGATCTGTGAGTAATGCAACACCATTGTATTTTCAAAGCATTGATTGCAAACCATATAAATAATATTAACGTAATCTAGATTTGCTAATGATTTAATTCTCTATATAAGAGGGTACAGTAATTCTGAAGGAATGTACTGATTGGTATGAACATGTAACTTAAACCAATCCCTTTTCATGGCCTTTTTCTTCAAAAAACAAACAGAAACCTGCTGGTACTTTAATCGACAGTGCAGAGATGGAAGCTGATTCAACTACCTTCTGCCAAAAGGTGCTTATACCCCCCGTTATATTTACTTCTATAACTGTTGACAGCTTTGCTGTTGAACTAATGGGAGCAACAAGATTTTATGTTCTACGTTTTGAGTGTTAAAGTTATTTCCTTGGAGTGAGAGGTAATATCTTGATTTTTAATTGCTTATAAATGGGGTTTTCAAGAATATATGCATTGCCATGCCCTCCTCTGCATTCTGCTTTCTCAACCCAGCTTCAGTCTGAAGAATATTGTTCAGAATGCACACCCTCTTTAACACTTGAAGAATTTCAGTATGAGTAAGGTTTTATGGCGTTTTTATAGGAAAATTTAAAAGAGACCTATGGTTTTTCTTATAATATGGGCATTAGTGTTATAATCTGAATAGTAATGCAGACCTGGTCAGAGAACAGTACCATGAAGGGACTGTTTCAGGGTTTTGAGGGAATGTTTTAAATATTGGGTGTCTTGGTTTCTTCCAGTTAGGGGTTCCCTTAGCTACAAGAAATTTAAACAGCCTGTAATTTAGGCTGGATCAATATTGTGATATTAAGATTATTGCATGTTAGGTCTGTATTCTTCTTCAGTATAATTAAGAGAATATTATCTCTGTATGTTAGCTTAGTTGCCCTATCTCAGGGAGACATGGAGAACAGTATGGTTATTAAAGACCAAAACATGAAAAAATAAATATTTTGATAGGATGCAAAATAATAAATGACATCTACAAAATAGTAGCTGTTTCTGACATTTAGTTTATTCTGCCAGCCATGGCAATGCAATTCAGTTTTTTAATGTTTTTTAAAAGGTGTTTTGCACATTTTGCTGACATGAGTCTTCGGTAATCCTTATTATGAAAACATCGTAAAAAGCTTTAAGTAATGTTAACAATACATATAGATTAAATCACACTTGTGCAAAATTAAAAACATGATCTTTTAATATTTTCCAGGTGAAAACTCACTTACATTGACAGCATACTGCTTGATATGCCCATTATGTTATTTATAAAACAAAGATGGCTATTGAGCATCCACATTCATGTAGTGGTTTTTAGACTAATTGAATTGAGCTTCCACATGGAGCTTTGTCAGTTCTGCATTACCTTATGTGATTTGTGTCCACTCATTGAGGCTGGTAATTTACACTACAGAATCAGATTTTGATAAAAACATATATTTGGAACAGACTGAATTGTAAGATTATAGGTCTTTCTAATCAATGCCCTTTCAGTATTTGTAGGTATACCTTTAGCAATACATCTTGACATTTGATTTAACTGAACTAATCTTTGTGCTGTATACTTTTTTTTACAATTTGAGCAACAGCTTAAAAAAGCATAAAACAGGAGTATGAATTCTCTTCCCAAGTTTTAATTTTATTAACCTTTGTTAAAGCCAATTAAAACTCTTAATTCAGTGTGGTAACTTATTTAACCCCTGCTTTTGCTTAACATTGTGTGCATATAGAGCATGAGCTTGTATGATTGATTTTTACTGCCGTGGAAAATGAAGAGGTATTTTTTTTCTAGGTGGCCCAGCAATCAGATGTTGGAGAACCCTGGTACATGTAGGATTGGAAATCTGTGCATGCATAGTCATGCATGTCCAAAATCATACCCAAGGATTTTAAGTTCCACAGAAAAAAATGTACCTGATACTTAATTCATGTTCAGGAATATTGTGCTATAATTACTTGGTCTCATTCTTTCCAAGTTTAGTTGAATTGGCTATGTGCAATTTTAGTCTGACATGCTTTCCTTTTTTCCTGCATTACTTTCTGAGTTTACGATAATATTTTTGACCCCAGGCCCATGCTGACGAAGCCTCTGGAGAGCACCACTTCCGGAAACCAGCCAACGACATCACATCTCAGCTGGAGATCAACTTTGGTGACCTGGGCCGCCCTGGTCGTGGCCGTGGGGGACCCCGCGGTGGGCGAGGGCGTGGTGGCAGGCCAGTGCGTGGGGGCAGGTCTGACAAGGTGAGGGGCTAGCCTTAAGAATTGAGAATGGGTACTAGAAACGTTTTGTAGAGGATATTTTTCTTCTGCACTTTTAGTGTACAGAATATTTAACTGGCTATATGGTTTCTTAAGTTCCTTACCATAGAGGCTTATGCCTATTCAGAGCTTCTGATTCTGATGCTCAAGCTTGAATTTGGTGCTAATGTTTCCTTGGCTGAATTTCCTCTTTTCTTTTTCTAGCCTGGTGGTGTCTCTGTTCCGAATGTGGATGATCCAGAGGCTTTCCCAGCTCTGGCCTAAAAGGAATCGCCATCAGCTGAACCTTAGCCCTCCGGGCCCTCCTCTACGAGGCTTGCATGCTTATGGATCCTTCAACTATAATAAAAAAAAAAATGAAAAGACTGTCATCCATACCATTCACACCTGAGGACTGAATTTTATCTGTTTTAAAAAGATAAAAGGACTTCTCTTGCTACACAGAAGCAAAATATTGGTAGAAGGTTTTGTATTTAGAAACATGGTAGCAGGGATGTTTTCATACAGTAATTTTTTTCAGAGATTATGCATTCTTCATGAATACTTTTTGTATTGCTGCTTGAAAATATGCATTTCCAAATATAGGTGTGAAGAGTGTGTATCAGTTAGATAATGGTGTGCCATGACTTGCTTTTTTCCCCCCTACAAACGTCATCAATGGAACCTTCTAGGGAGAATCTCAAAACCCAACAAGATGTACCAAAAAAGTTCACTGAATACAGTCCTTGTACATTATTCATGAGATGAGACAGAGCTAGCTTTTGATGATGTTAGCAACTGAAGAATTGTTTAATGGGTGGTTTAACAAGGTTTAGTATATCATCTCCAGTTTGTGGTATATCTTTTTAGTTTTTTCCCCAATCTTGGAGGCGTAGGTGATGCATTTGCATTTATTGCTCTTCTACACTTGATATGACTAATATTCATTGTCCCTACATCCTATTCCATAATACATTTTCATCTGAACATGAATTTTAGGTGGCTGATTGGTCCCTTAGCTCATACAGATACATGAACATCCCTGAATACCACTAATGTGTATAAGACAACCACTTGCAACCCATTTTTCACACCTTTGTTTATCATGTGTTTTTGGGCCTGGAGTTTTTTGGGTGTGGCTGACATTGCAGATTGGCACTCTTCGATATTACTTGGATTGATACTTTCAAACATTGCCTATTAAAATTTGTCTACATATCTTGGCTTTTGGACTATAAAACCAACTTGATTTCACATTCACATACTAGTAGTTTATCATATTTCCCCAATACTCTGAAAGTATGCGCTATGTATACAACTATTGTATACTTTCATATACGTAAGCTAGAAATTTTAGGTATATGAAAGTATATGATTACCCTTCACCATTTCATTTACAGCAGCATTACTGCATAATTCTTCTGAAAGAAATAACATGAGTGTTCAGTTTGGGACAATTCAGTGTTACAAGGTGTGAATAATAATCCTGCTAAAGGATATTACAATGTTGGCTTCCATATTTAAAAAAATGGTAAGTGTGGTTACAATTCAAATGTAGTTTAAAGGCTTTTTAGCAAAAGTGGTAAAATTAGATTTAACACTACCATACACAAAACAAAGCTTTGTATTTAGTGTTTGAAAATCTACTTGGCAGTGTACATACAATGAGTGGCTCAAGCAGACTTTCTGTAGTAGAGCTGTTGGGTCCAGATAAGTTTGGGTTTTTCTGATTTAAAACCCTTTTCTGCAAACATCCCTGTTCTAATAAATTGCTTAGAGGTGTTAAATGTTTACTGCCTAAGGCAGTGAGTAGTGTGGAATGATTGCTATTTCATTAGTGGTGAATATATATATGGTTTTTGTGTTTTTATTTGAACGTTTCCATGAGCAGTTGATGGAAGACTGCGGAATAGCACATTTTTAGTATATAATGTTTTTAAGAAAGTTCTTTGGCAGATTGAGTTTAAATCTTGTAATCTTGAAATTTAATATTTTAAGGCTATAAAACAACCTACCTGTGTCACAAACTTGAAAAAGTGAAGCGTTTTCAGAACGGCTGCAGTATCTTAAATTTCTATGTTGCCTTTATGTAGTAGAACAAGCAGCATGGCTACTCCGACTTTGCCTTGGCTATGACAATTTATTCACAATGTTCTGAAATGTTTAGTCAGTTATGTCTTGCTGTGGAATTTAGATTTAACTATAATGGAGAAACCGGACATTTTGCCTTAGAATGGTCTGTACAGACCTAAAAAAATGCTGCATTATCCTTATATTAAGTTTGTCCACTTTTACTTTACATTTCACTTTTTTGCAACAGGGTATAGGCTATATTCCAGGGGTAACATCTTCAGTCACTTCTCTTGCAACATGTTCTCATTTCCACAGGTAGCATTTTTTGGGTTACAGTTAAAGGAATGAGATGTTTTGATCCTGAGGAACCTGATGATGTGTGGATAATCATAGTCCTAACTTTTACGTGTTGAGGTCTACTTTTACTCTGGTTTTACAGGACTGACATTGAGCACGTATTTTGACAAAATTATACTACTGAATTTTGCCCTTTTCTGCATGGAATTAGTTTTGTATTTTTTTACTGAATGCAGTGGCCAAGTCAAAACTATTTTGCATGTGGGAAATATCCAGATCTAGGGATCCAGAAGAAAAGATCTAGATAATTTTGTTTGAAAAGTGAAGGGGAACGGAGTAGCAAAGAGGGTGTATAGTGTTTTGCACTTTATAGTTGGACACTTCATAAATGTAAGATATTCTTTAACTTGGTAGCTAGATTGGCTGTAGGGCCAATGATAAATACCTGGTCAGGTATTGAAGGATTGCTGTCTTCAGCTTTCCACATGCAATGGCAACTGCCTTGATTTGCTGCTTTTTTCTTAGTATTTTAATGTTTATATATATCAAGCCAAGAAAGACTTGCAGTTAACCTAGGAACTGAGATTACCTGACAATTTCAGAACAGCATGTTTTAATCAGGTAACCAAAAATACATTACCGTAAGCTTCTTTGTAAAGGATGGTATGACACTGAAACTTCGTAGGGCAAGACTAATGGGTTTGCATGCGGTAGTCATGAGTGCTGGTTAAGGCGATTCAGTGATCTTGTGATTAATTTGATTTCATTTAAAGTTTTTCTGCTTCAGGGATTGATGTTTATCTACAAAAAGGCAACTCTGAATATGAACAACAACTGTGTAAGCGCTATTAATTTTGCAAGCAGGTAGTTGTATAATATCTTGAAGTTTATGCTTTTATATCTGTGATCTAAATACTATAGAGGACCTAATTATCTCTGCTGTTACTCTGGGTCCAAATGCATTTTCAGATATTCTCTTGAGGTTTCCCTGAGAATTTCTTAGGTGTTCCAGCGATGTTTTCGTCTGTGGAGTACTTTTATAATTGGATTGTGAGTGTAAGTTCTGCAAAAGGTGATTTGGATTCATCTCAGAGATAAAAGTATATAATACTGTTCAAGAATGACTCCAGCAAAATATACATCTTGCAGAGGTTGTAAAGGACAACTCCCTTTGGGTAATCTTTACCTAATTAAGCGTTACTATATTCTTTTTATTTATTCTAAAACAGAAATAGGTCTTGTATAAAAGTTCATTAATCAAACCCCTTTTTGTAGTGTAGAAAGACAACAGCAAACTTAATTGTCCCCATTTTTTTTAAACTGGCCCACTTTAAGTTTATGTGCAACAATTGCCCAGAGGATAAAATTGACAACAAGTTAACTACATGGGGGCATAGTTGTAATATTGTTTTTTTATTACAACTTGTTATGGTTATTTCCCAATAAAGTATTTTGCTGGTTTACCTGTTGCTTTTGCTTCTGTTTAGCACGGCAGTTTAAACAGACCATCTGAATTTATGCTATCAATTTGAATATAAAATCCAGTGTTTATTATGAAATGCCTAAGTTCTTTCTTGACCAGAAATTCAGAATAGTTATAGACAACATGCACTTTGAAATACTTGGAATACAAAGTGCTACATAAATCATAAGACTGCTGGAAAGTGATTTAAGTGAATAGCAGGTTCATTTAAGAGGCATTTTATTGGTCTTATATATTCCCAAATTTGTACAGAATGTGCCATAATTAATTTAAACAATCCTCATGTATTTATCATCCTTGTGCGATCAGTGTCCCACCCTTATTGGCAGTTATTGTCCTGAAGAAATTCAATATTTTGTGCAAGATCACAGATGTCTTCAAATCCATTCCTGTGGCTATCAGTCTCTTGGAGTAATTATTATGATTGCACGTGATAGATTGTCATACCTTTCCTTTTCCAATGCACTGTAATAAAAGCTCAAAACCTATTTCATCCAGGAGTTTTTAGGTCCCAAGTCTTAGAAATGTATGAACAACCATAAACTGCATGAAATTGCTTTCATGCAAAGATGAAATGTGCAGTCTCTTATTTACATTTTTTTAAATAGCTTCATTTCTTGATTAGTGGTTATCCTAGTGTGAAAATAATAAAAACTGGTTAAGTAAAGGGTACACAGAACACACTTCAATCCATGAAAGAACTGCAGTCAATTTTAACAGCATCTAAAGTGAGCTTCCCCCCAAATGTAATCATAGGTTCCAAAAATGGACTGTTGTGACAGGAGGAAAATTCCATTAATTCATCTTCCATGAAGTCATTGGAGTCTTCCTCACTAGTTCCACTCAGCAAGACATTAGAAGGTATATAATCTCCAGTTGTGTCTGTGCTGCAAGATATTTGTGTCTTTGTGGAAAACTCAGATTCTTGTGACAAGCTCTTAATGTATGGGCATGTGAATTGGCCTTTGTATGTTCCTAGACCCTGTGACTGGCATGGAGGACAGGAAGTTTGACCACTGTCACGCTCTTGAGATTGCTGTTCCTTAGGCTCTCCTGAAGGTAAGATGTTCCTTTCTGAAACAGTTCTGGATACATTTAATGAGTCCTCAGGTATTTCCTCTATTTCTATGGTGTTTGGTTCTTCATTGCTGGATGTTGAATTATTATACAGCTCATAAACTAGCTTCATATGCCCCTAGCAAAAGAAGGAAAATACAGAATCAAATAATTGTGATCGCTTCCAGGTCATGGGTCAGCAGTCTCTATTTGTAACTGGGATCATCTGATTGTCATTCTATGTCCTATTTTAAAACATGTATTTATAAAAATGAAATATAATATTTAATGCACAATTACCATTCCGTTTCATATTTACAAAATTTAACAATATATTGGTAGTTATAGAGATCAATTATGATGCACTTTACAGCCCATATAGGAACATGTACAATTGACAGATTTCCTCTTTGAAATTAATATTTGTGTTGAAAAAAATTGTTAATAAAACAGGATTCACTGAGCTTTTCTTAAGCAAGTAAAGAAAATTAGTATTAATTCTAACTTTCAAAAATGTCTGCAGTGCAACCCTCAATTTTCAATGAAATATTTCTTCATGCCTTCTCAGAAACCAGGTGTTAAATATTGCCCTTACATTTTTATATACTATACCTAGTATTATTATACGCATTCAAAGATGCACATATCGCTGTGAATACGATCGTTTGACAGAATTTGAGCTCTCGTCTCACAAGCATTTCCTACTCCGTCCAGCAGGTGGCAACCTTGAAGCATAACGAATTGATGCCGCTAAAAATATTATCAGGTTCTTTTTTTCATAAACTTTTTTTTTTAAATTTACGACCTTTAATCCCAGAGCACTTTAAATGCAGGAGGGACCCATCTTATCCACGACTAAATTAAAGTACTTACCTGGCTTGTGTACAGCCGTTATTGATATGCTACATAGCAGATAAGATGGAAAAGTAAGAAATTGTTTCACCAAATAAATTAAAGGGAACATCTGGAAAGCCCAGACTATGCAAGCACGGAGAACAATTTAACCGTAAGGCAAAGGTACCATGTAGTACCAGGTATTTAACTGATATCAACGTACCACAGTCTAATAAAGGAACAGCTAACAAATCCATTTTCAACCGAAATAGGGTGGAATACAGTAGATGGTGTCCCAGCACCTGTATATACCTTGACTGCAGCATACTCTTTGGCCCATTTACTGTTGGCAGGATCAGGAACATTACCAGGTATGATGCAGAAACAACAGGGAGAAGGCCTGAGAAGAAAAAAGGTAACTTCAAAGTAATTAAAAAAGTAGTGATAACATATTATATATTATGACTTCACACACTACATTATCAAAAGGGCTCATTCCTTACTTTGTTAATGAGGCTGAATACGATTATTTGCAATTCAGCTCACATTGGTTCAATACTTGAAATACTGGTGTAGTATCCTAAATTTACTTCAGAGTATGTGACTTGATTATTCTTCTCTATGATGTACTGTTATGTGGATGGAATATTTAGGATGTGTAGGTTTGTGACTACAAGATCTATCTCTGAAGTGGAAGATTCTTTACCTTCGTTGTACCGAGACCCGACACAAAAACACCAAAAAAAGCCACACTAGGAAAGAAACTAAAACTGTTGTTGGCCATATCACCAAAAGCTGGTCGTCTTCTCCTGAAATAAAAATGTTGAACTCATTAGGTCATTGGGTGTGTATCAGAAGTCACTGATTTGATTACCAAGTAGAGAGATTTAAAGGACAGCAAAATTTTAGCTGATGCTAAGAGTACTTATTAAATGTACATAGAACATGTGGTTTATATTGTGTATTATACTTCATACCTAGTTCATGATCATGTGGTTTATATTTTACAGGCAGCATTTCTAAACCTTTTCATGGAAATGTACAAATAAAATTACAAAGCCTTTGCATTTATGTGTACATATTTGTGCAACCTTATAGGTGTTTTTTCAACTTACGTTCAGGATAAGTAGTAAAAGTATATTTTTCCCCTTTCCGTCCTTCACCTGTGTCTGTGGAAGCTGTCATCCATAGATAATAGGAAGCAGCAGGCTGCAAGTCACTGATGGTATAACTTCTGTGAGTGGGATCTATCGGACCTGGAACAGCCACAGATAAATTCATTTTCTGGACCTTATAGCAAAGTCCTAACATAAGAACCCACTTTTAGAATTGCAACAATTAAAATATAACTGACACATCAAAGATCTCACCATCTTAGCGTTTTCATTCTCATCTGTTGAAAAGGATACAAAATGCACATGGGTGCATGTGTTTTTATGATCAAGTCAGTGTAATTACACAAAAAGCTCATAAGACAAGACTGCACGCAACCTAGATTTGTAGAGTTTTTTTCAGTGTTCTGTACATTTGTGTATGCAAATGTTGAGACCGCATAAAAAAAATGTATTAACTAAAATAACACTGGCAGGGGCTCACACTTGACAACCACCACCCACATAGATAACTGGATTTAGAAATACAAAAAGAGACCTAGAAAGTTTGTGAGGTTAAACGTTGCATACCATACTTCTGTAGATGTCCTTGGATATTTTCTAGGTAAAGATTGTAGCTTTTAAGGCATCCTCTTTTGTCCTGCTCAGAAACTTCTTTCCAATACACAGTTAAGCTCTTGTTGTCCCACTGTCTGACGTTTAGCTTTGGACCCTGAGATGGAACTTCAAAGAACATACTGATGAGAGAGATAAGAACCATAATTCAAAAATTCCAAATTGGATGTAATGGTGATTACTTACCTGATTGCCAGGAGTATGCATTGACAAAACCTGCCTTTCCAAGCCCCTGGTCATACAGAGCATAGACAGCACCTTTATAGCACACACAAGGCTGAACATTTTCTATATTTGGGAAGGAAAGAAAGTTTCAGATAATGTAGCATACACCATGTCCATCATTAATTAAAAATTGATATGATTTTTAAAAAATATTTCTGAAATGTAGTGGAGACAAATCATATAAGGTTGAATTTCAGATATTAAAGTGCAGTATTGAAATGCCTCAGTCGACACTTTTATCAGAAGATCACAGCATGTCCAAAAAGCCCATAAATTATTTTCAAAAGAATAAAAGTTTCATTAGTTTGAACTTGGTTTAACTGTTTGTAAGAGAAACTAAGATCTTTGAAAGTTTATGGCTAACATACAGCATTTAACAATATAGCTCTTGATGTTCTAAGAGAGCCTGAAATATATATCTACACAGTATCTCACAGATACAATGTGCAGTATACACTGCATGTTGTCTGTCAGTTATATTAGATTCTGGATGTTTTGCGGGCCACTGCACTAATTTACCAGAGAAGGCAGGCAAGAGAATACAGTTATCTGTGTGGGTCTGGAGAACCTGGGCAAGATCTGCCTAGTTTTAGCAAGGGATAAAGTTGACCAGTTTATGATTTTGAGTCATTTCTTCAGATATGGCCTTATGAAGTCAACATAAATATCTGAGAATCAAAAACATGAGCTAAGAATCCTAGAGGCCTACTTCAGAACATTAACATGTCACATTAACAAAATGTCCTGATAATTTCTGCTGTAGTCAGAAATATGAATTCATTTTGAAGAGATTATGAGGGATAAAGATTACTGTTTTCAGTTATCAGGGGATTTTTTTTTTATATGGATTAATGCCTGTTGTCCAGGTCTCTAATTTCCTTCACATGTATTCACTTTTTTGTAAAGGTAATTTTGAATTTCTCCAACAATTCATGTCCTTGCCATTGAAATTTAAGATTCTTTGACATTTGGGCCATTTTTGAACTGTTCTCTGAGTTCTACTCTTGTCCAGTAATGCAAAGTGAGCTTTGCTGCTTTTCCAAGTGAGCTTTGACAAATTGATTATGTGGAAAAGCTATAGACTCACTTGGATCTCCTGCATAATTGGAAGAAAATGTTAATTGTGATCTTTCAGCAATAGCCTACCAGATCTGTGGTACTTTCTCTTCATACCTGATATGACAGTTGAAAGCTGGTGATGACTGAGCCTCTTCCAGGTGAGGCTGAGTTTAGTGTCCTTGTATGCCTGGGACCACTCCACAATGTAGCTATGTAAAGGCACAGGGGAGTCCAGGGGGGGCTCCCATGATATCATAATGCTGTGGTTGCTATGTGGTAGACAAGTCACATTTCTTGGGGAGGGAAAAGATGACAAATCTGTAAAGCAATACAATAAAGTATGTCAGTATTCAAGTTTGAAAAGATCCAATCTTTTGGGAGATTCAATCAGGGTGCAATGGGCACACAGAAGAAAACAGAACTCTTGCCCTAGGAAGAAACTGCCCTGATTGAAACAATGTATTTAAAGGCAGGCCGCATAAAATTAATTTTAAAAAATGAAGGCACCAACTCGTGCCTCACGTCAACTTTTGTAGGTATGTGTGCAGTCCTTGAAAAGAAATTCAACTCTTGAATAGCTCAGAATCAAAGCCTTTCACCCAAATGAATCCACTTACTTAAGAAAGATACCAATCAGGTCATAGACAAGTCAAAGACTACTATTATAGTAAAACAGTGTCAACACAGTGTGGTGTATAAAGAAATATCCAATATTTGGAAGTGATCCAAGAGGGAACTGTGCCAGGAAGCCAGCTGCAAAAGAATAGATACAGCATAAATCCACAATGCACGATCAAATAAGAGAGTGAACCTTTCCCACCACACCTCTTCCTGGTATTCCTGGGTTCATCCAGTCTTCTACACACACCTAAAGAAGGCACTGTAGCCAAAACTTTGGAATCTTTGCTCTTTCCTTTTACTGTTCGGTATATATAGCAATATTTGGTTAGACATTTAACAAATGACACCTAAAGGTTTTATCAAACAGTTTCTAATTAAAACAGCACCGTTTTCTGCGCCAGCAAATAAAGTCTGTACCTGACAATATTGGAATGCTGATGGTGGCAGGAGGTGAGCTTCCTTTGGAGTTTAAAGCAGACACGGTAACGGTACAGTGGGAGCAGAACACAGGCTTGCTGTAACTGCTGTTGGTAATGTAAACCTCAGACAGCTTCTTCTCCACTTGATCCTCAACAAGAACTTCGTAGCCAAGTACCACCCCTCTCGCCTCATACCTGGTTAGTTTCTGTAAGTAAATCAGCAAGCAACAGATTAAGCAAAATTAGCAGTATGAAAAAGATCTTTTTTTAATGCTCTGATACAAGCTCAGCATATCTCAGTCCATTACAGCAGTATTCTGTTCTATTAATAATAATGCCTTACACTTATATGGTGTTTTTCTGGACATGCCACACAAAGTGCTTTACAGGTAATAGGGACTCCACTTCTCTGCTACCAAAATGTAGCCCCAGCTGAATCATGTGACAGCAGCCAAAGTGCACCAGTACACTCGCCACACACCAGCTAGTAGTGGGGAGGAGAACAGAGTGATGAGGCCAATTCAAAGATGGGGATTATCAGGATGCTATGACTAGTAAAGGCAGTGGGGACATAGGCCAGGACACTGGGTTTAATACCCCTATTTTTTTTTTTAATAAGCCCCTTGGAATTTTTAATGTCTGCAGAGAGACAGGACCTCGGTTTTACATTTCATCTGGAGTTCAGTGCTTTTTTTTCCAGTATAGTGTCCCAGTCACTGTACTAGGGCACTAAGACCCACACAGACCGCAGAGTGAGCACCCCCCTGCTAACCCCACTAACACCCCTTCAAACAGCAACCTTAGCTTTCCCAGGAGGTCTCCCATCCAAGTACTGACAAGACTCACACCTGGTTAGCTACTTATCTACATAAGCACAATATATGCCTTGAGGCTCAATTGAATTTGAAGTGATCACAATGAATTAAAATGGTAAGCATATTCAAAGCATCTTTAAGTAAAGTTTTTGGCTTTGGGTTGCTTGTAGCACTATCACTTGTACAACTTCTACTCTAATATTTTAGGCCAGGTTTTTTTCCGTATTTTTAAGATTGATGAATGGGTTTGATCTTTCATGTAATGGGTGTGAAGATATTGACTGTCTGGTAAAACAATAATTTAAAGATTCTGTAAAGTTAACTCTTTGTTAAGACAGCTTTGTTAAGGTAAAATGGTCAAAATTATAGCCTTCTTTTAAGTTTGGGATTTTGTGATTGGATAAAAATGAAAATTGACATGAATTCTTCTCATCCAAAAGGCTTACTGTGACGATTATCACAACTTTCAACAGCATCACTTGGGGGGGTTCGATTCATCATTTCTTTTAAGTAATTTAGCCTTTTATTGTAAACTGAAACTTTCTGACTCTGTAGCTTTGGTTTCATTTTCACACATTTGTCGGATTTCAGATGCATGTAGAAAAAATACTGTTACTACTACTGAAGAGGGTCTCTAGTTTGTCAGAAAGTCACTGCCAGTTTTACTTCATGTTCCAGGCTGCTGGGTTAACCACAGAAGACAGATCAAAGATGGGAGAGAGTCTTCACGGAAAAGGTAAAGTCACCTGTTTCACAAAAGTCTACATAAACAAGTGTGACCTTCCCACAATGAGTTTAACCTTATTAGCAAATCTAGTCTTTCTTTTCGGTTATTAATTCTATGTGATTCCTAGAAAACTGAATAATCACTACACTTGTTTAACTGCTTAAAATTCTATGCTCTATGGATTTACAGAGACATGTACTCCATAAAGCCTTACAAGAGTCCATAAAATGTGTTCTACACCCACACTTAATGTTCCACTTAATATTGTTATATAATTTTGGTTTGTTCTGATCTAAGTGCAACAGGCCTTAGAGGCATAGATATTTGCTTTTCGTGTTGTACAAAGAAGAGAAACAAAACTATACTTGCCTTCCAAACTACACTAACAAACTTGTTTTTGGATTCTGAAGATTCCACAATATGCCAAACATCCAGCTTTTGGAGAGGATCTGTAAAAATAGCAAAATAATTTCTGTTTTTATAAATCATTTCACAATTTGTGGAGAATGATTATGTATCATGAATATGAGAGATGCAATGACAATATCCAGATAGATAGCAGGAGGATCAAAAAGTAGAATCTATCTTGGCATTCTGTTAAAAGTAACCACCACTGACCTTAACTTTAACAGAATACATGACTAATAACACACAGTCATGTACCCACAAAATGACCTATTTTATCGAAGTCTGTATACAGGTGCTTCTTGGATATTCCAGTTTTATAATCTGATGCATCCAATAATTTTTATTAATGAGTTTCATTATTAATGTAAGGCAAACTACTTTGCTATGTGCAAACACACCTGCATAAACACATTGGTATTGAAAGAAGCAATATATAGTTAAAAGAGCATTCATTTTAGTTTACAAGTGTTGACTATAACAATTTAAAGACTGAAGTTTACAACTTTTACACCAGCATCAGTGTATCTATTTTAGCTATGCAGATATTGTCATTGCATCTCTCATTTTCATAATTCAAAAAGTGTTCTAAAAAATCAGTGGCCTTAACATGGTAGGTTTTATTTCCCTTGCTATCATAGAAATGAAACAAGGATGTGCCTCATTGATGAGCAATATTCAGTAATTCAGTAGTATTCAGGGAAACAACTTGTCATCCAACTAACGGAGACCTCAAACTGCTTATACAACCACAATAAATTATATCCTAAATCCTAGTTCTGCACACTCACCCAAAAGAAAGCTAAAAAGAACTTCTGTCATCTTCATTGAATGGCTTATAAGCAAATCTAAGAAGCTATGTACAGTATGTACATAAAGAGCATTACATCAACATTTTTTAAATCAGACATACTAATCCATTATGTGCAAAAGCAAGCAAGCCCACACAATGCTACAACTTATGCACGAAAACCTTAACCAACAAGGTACCCAGTAAAGTCAACAGATCTCTTGTGGTGCTACCACAGTCAGATCTAAGATTACTTCACTTAGATGCTAGAAATGAAATGCTTTTGAATATAAAGAAAAATGCAAATGATCGTTTTATAGGCTGTACACTACAGCAACTGCCTGACACTGCCAAACTGTGCATGTGTTTAGATAGGCTCAGCAGCTTTCTATTCAGAATGATTATTTTTTAAATTAGTACCTCTTTTTCTGTAGAATATGTATTATCCCTTTTAATAATAATTACAGTGACCTTAAAAGGCCTTTATAAATATCTGCATTTTTTAAATACCAAAGTCTCTTACCAGAATCTTGGAATGTGCTGCTTAAAGCCTATTAATAGTGAAAAATTAAAGACACAAGGAGATTCTCTAAAAGTCATCTGAAACATTCAAATGGCTTGAATGGTACAGAGTAGATCCACAGAAATACAAACTGTAATTTATAAATATAACTCTAACCCTGAAAGTAGACTTAAATCAAGTAAAAAAAGTCTAATGTACAGTCATTTTTATCACTGTCTCTCCTCCCATGTTTGACAGAATCACAAAGGAAATGCACAATCTGACACAATCAAAAGTCATTTCAAGATGAATTCATTTCTCACACTTTTATTGCTGACTTTATTAACATATCACCCTACCTTAAGAAAAAGCACATACAATAGTTAAAATCTTACAAAGTAGCCCCTTTTGCCAACTTATTTCATAGCACTAACAGCCTTGTTCCATTATTATATACAGTATAGATAATAAATATTAGTAAAACATTTTTGCTGAATTTGATGCAATTATTAAATGACCAAAGCTGAATTTCATTTCACATCCACTCAGTACTACGGTTCTTACATTTGACTTGATTTTTTTTTTCAATTACCTGTCAAACATAAGCGCCTATCCTCCATGTGTGCAATGCTTTTAGATTATTTCTAAGCAAGCGGTGCATCCCTTTACAGAAACATGAAATACGTAACTGATTTACCTGCTTCCCCTGTTGTCGTATTAACTGCATCATTCCACTCGCTCCATATACCTTCAGTACAGCTCAGTTTACACCGAGCCTGGAATGTGTAAGTTGTGAAGGGCTGAAGACCACCACAGCTCAATGTATTGTTTGCAGTGGCCTTTAAGTAAGAAACAAGAATTATTACTGTAGATGTATATTACATTAAACATTTAACAATTAAAAGTAGAAAATTAAATGCTAAAAATGCATCAGTTTGTATGCACAAAATAAATGATAAGGAAATGTCAACTATACTTTAGCAAGAAAAGCCATTTTTCACATGATTAAGAAGATTGTGGTCTAAGTTCTGACCTTCACTTAGTGGATTCTTCGAATAATTAATATTTAATAACCTGCATATTTAATCATCTGCAGATACTAACTATAACACCTTATTTACTTGAACACAATTTTACATAAGTATTAAACCTTCTAAACACAATTAATGGAAAACTATTTGAAGGGTAAACTATCTTTCAGAATCAGTGTATATAATCAGTGTATATAACAGATAAACTTAGGAGGTTTCACTTTTAGTTGAAACCTGTTTATGGTCATTTCTATTTTTAAATTGTTTTGATTTCATTACACAACACTCTGAAAGATTAAAACATTGTGTAAAGAAAGTGAATTCAGTGGTGTAGAATATTTCTGTATCTCTCAGTCAATAGGAGATTGTATTTTGGTAGTTGGACTTTTATTCCATTTATCCTTTTTCTAATGGGCAGGGTCCCAGAGCCTATACTGGCAAGCAATGCAGGATACACCCTGGATACACCAGTCAGTTGCAGGGCACACACAGACGCAAACAAGCACACATTCAACCATGGTCAATTTTCCCAGAAACCAACTGACCAGACACCTGACAGTATGTCTTTTGATTGTAGGAGGACTATTGAGCACCCAGAGGAAACCCGTGTGAACAAGGAGAGAACATACAAAACTGGACAGAGATAGTACCCCAGGTCTGGAAATGAATTGAGCAGTTTCCCCAGCACTGAAAAGCAGTAATGCTAGCCATCACTTTGACCACCACCTTGACTCTCAATTTAATTTCAATTTCATAAAATACAGAAGTTCATTAAAGACCTGGGTATGTTTGCTGTTTTCATCATTGGCCTCCACCACAAAGTCACCACTCAAATCACACTTTCAGACAGAAAAAGAAACAGGTTTTTTTTTTACAAAGGGTGGAAATACCACCTTGGTCATTTCCCACCCAAAACCAAAGTGCAAAGATTATCCTTTTAGTGCTTCCTATAGATAAGATGAGAAACAAACCAGGGCGTAAACAGATGGTTACCCATTGGAGTAAAATGCACTGCAGTGTAACAAATAGGCTATAATTGATATTTTCAAAGTTATTATCTGAAATAAAACTTAATGAATAAATTAGCTGTAGACTAAGCAAAGCACATAGCATATTGAATTTTGAGACCTTTTCATTCCAATTTGCTTAGTAAAGTCAAAGAACATAAACATTTTCTTAAATGTAGAAATGACACAGCAGGAGTTTAACAAACATTTGCCTATTGGTCTCTTACTTTGAAAGTTTGGTATATCCAAGAGCTCTCTCCAACAATCTGGTATCGGACCTCCAAGAGCTGAGCCTTCTCTATATCCCTCCAATGTAACGTGCAATTCTGCGATGAGCAATTTACCACGGTGACGTGCGGAGGGTGAAATTTGACTGCGGAAAAAGCAGGAATCAATGTTAAAGCAAAATAAAGAGAGCACAATCAACAAAACCAGAAGGCCCATAGGGGTGCCCTTAAGATGGCCAGGACTTCCTCTTCCAGTCTTACTGAAAGTAATCCTGCGCTCATTTTTAATAAAATGTTTGAACCTGCTAATCAATCTGCTTACCCTTCTTTATTGAACAGTGTAACTCATTCTTGTACACCTTACAGTACAAAATACATAATATTACTAATAACCAGGTTCCAACCTCACCATCTGCAGTCATGACAACTCCCTCTTACTTTTACTGGTTCAAGATGTACTGCATCAATGGTCTTATTTCTACATCCTCTTACTGAAAGTTTGATTCGGTGTTCTTTGTTTTTTATATCTATGTCACCAAAGAATTCCTGAAATATCTTCTACACAATGAACAATGTCTTTTTCTTGTAGGCTTAAAGTATGTTATTATTACACCTGATTTAAAAAAATATCCTGTATTGTCCCCATGTACTATCTTTGTTCCAATTTGCCCTTTCTTGCAAACACCCGGAACAGGCAGTGATATCTCATTTATGGTCCTATTTTGCTTCTGTTGAGCTTTTTAAACATTTTCAGTGTGGATTTAGACAGACACAGTTCTTTGCCCTTTTAAAATAAAAAAAATTGCAGATGGCTTCTGACTCTGCATTACATAATAATCTTTCTTCTGGATTTATGCATGCTATCAGACTGCAAGGAAAGGTATCCTGGGATCACTAGTACTTCCATTCATTAGTTTGGCAACCAAGAGCCAAGATTAAAATCTGATAATGTCTAATCTACTCAGGGTGGTCCATAGAATTCTAAATAGTGGAATAGTAAACAGTATTAAATAGTACATTCTTAATATTTAACAGTAAAATCCTTTTGATATTAACTTTGTAGTATTTTCATGATGTATCTTTGTTACTTTTTACCATCATGGACTTGTTTCACTGCTATATTACTGAATCCAAGTTTTACTTTAGCAAACTAAATGGGGTGCTAATACTGTATTACTGTTTCTGTTCTTTGCACCTCAGACAAAGATGCAAAGCTAAACTTCTTAAGCTTAACTGTGGCAAGACTCTGGGCTCCAATCACCAGCTTTGCAAAGCTGTTGATTTCAGTGTTATTGATAGTGCTGAAATCAAACACATGGTGGAAGTTAGAAGCCTTGGTATAACTTTTGACCAAGTTGTCAAGTGAAGTGCATGCTAGGAATGTCACAAGAATATCATTCTTCCACCTGCTCAAGAACCTAGTGCTCCCTGTCTAAACCTCAGATTCACACGGTCAAGCTTGATAGATTTTGCATTTTCTCAGCACTCAGAAAACTTGATTTTGAAAATAATCACAATTCTAAATTATAGCAATTACAAAAGACAAAGAATTTGTTTACACATTTTGCCTGGCAGTTATTCAAGGATGAGAAGAAGGAGACCTCTTTCATGATTTTATCAGAAGCAGCTTCTTAGGCAGTTACCATGAGCTCAGACTTGTTTCCTTTGTCAGAAGCATAATAAACATTGAGAAAAATGTTTAGAGATAAAGTAGATACAAATTAAAAACTGAAATATCCCATTGTACGAAAAGAACCACTTTACTTTCTGTAGGGCAGAACACTTTTTCAATGAATACTTTCTGTACTTAGCATGCCCAGAAAGACACCTACCTATATCATTGAGGGTGAATTTCAATGATGGGGAAGAGGCAGTTCCCAACTTATTTGATGCTGTAACCCAGACTGAGTATTTCACTTCTGAATGAAGCACTGGAAAAATCACATATTCAGAGCCAGAATGAGAGGCTAAATGCTTTGTACCATTATAAGATTCGGTTTTCACCCTGAAACAAAGAACAATAACCTCCAGTGAAACAACCATTTAGTACTCTATTGGCATGTGTCACCAAGAGCAAGATAACAGCTATTTTCAATTTCCACAAGTGTTTTTGCAAATGTTATTTTAATGTATATGACTGGGTAGCAAAGGAAATGTTTTGCCATTTAAAGAACAGAAACTCAGTGACCTAAAACCTTATCCACAAAGAAACCATGCAGCATGAGTAATACTGTTGATTTTTAACGAAATTCATTCCAAGAAACTCTAAAAGAACTCTCTGCCCCTTTATTCTGATTTATAGAAGGGAGGGTGTAAAAAATAAATCTAAGTTTATATTCAAAAGATCCAGAAGGAATATTTGTTCTTCTCACTCACCAAAGCTCATATGTAGTTTCAATGTGTGTGTTACTTCCCTTTTTCCACCTGCATGTTATGTCTCCATAATTTCCATTCTGAATACATATTAGGTTCTGGGGAACATCAGGTGAAACTGTAGGGCAACCACAGACTGTTTAGTGCTCAGAATGTAAAGGTCATGGTTTTAGTTCAAGTAATGTGCACAAAATACATTGACTTCCTACACCGGAGATACCAAAGAAAGGAAGACTACGTGAACTACAGTCACTGAATTCAGATACCTTTTTTTATTTGCAAAGATGCTGTCTACAAGCATCAGAGTAAGAGAAAGAATAACACTATTTTGGCCAGTGTAAGGAAAATACATAACAAGCATTACACTACTGCAAGTGCTATTTTTAAAACTGTTACCATCACTCACTTAAGGGATTGGTACTTTCAAGTAGAGTAGTTCTCCACCCTTGCAGGATGTTCAGATGGAACATTTAGGGAAGTGAACTTATTTTAATAAAGAAAGAGGCACTACACAAAGGGGCACTTCTCAGATTAAAGACATGATGCACGTTTTCAATAATGACATTACATTTTCTAACAGTAAATATATCCTCTTGGTTTTTGTAATGCTTAATATTAAATTGGCAGGCAATGGGATACAAAACTAAATTTAATTAATGTGAAACTAAGAATGAACACACAGAGACATGCATGTACTTAGGTGTCCTAGACAAAGAACCGCAAGTGGTACTGAAATGGAATACTTACGTCCAGCAAGGATGTCTAATCCACATGGTTCATAGAGAGGTTCATCTGGTGCACACTTACAAACAAACACTGTTCTGTGTTTCCTCAGCTCTGTCTTCAATAACAGAGTTGTGGAATTGTATTCAATGAAATTATATTCCTGGTTTGTATCTCTAAAGATGGCTTTCCTGCATCTTCCTGTAACAAATTTCTTAAAGGTGCAGTACACTTCAATGCTTGAGCCCAGTTTGCCAAGTGTACCATTGGTGGCAAATATAGCACACAGCTTCTCTAAGAAAAGTACAGAAAACAACAACTTCAAACCTCCTTAAAACGTATCTGACACACGATCAAAACTGTCATTTAAATCATTTTGTTTTTTTCCTTTTGTAGTTAGAAGTTGCAATGTGTCCGTCATGTTTTCTGTTAGCTCAAACTAATTTAATCAGAATGTTCTTGTGATTTCACTTCATTATAACCAATTTAAAATGGTATATTTTTATCATTTGTATTATCCTCTCACAGGAGAATATTTTATCTGTAATATCATTGCTGTTGCTCCTCCCTTTAGCAAATCTCCATGAATTAAAAAAAGTGTAGCGATAATCATGTTTGTCCTAGGTATGAAATAGTGTGTATCGTTGTAATTTTAAATTAATTAAAACCCACAACAGGATCCAAATAACATTTAGACACATCTGTGAAGTACGAACGCAAAATGCATTCCTAAAATATTAAAGACAACTGCAACGAAAATAAATCATGAATAAAATACAATTCTGAACAGAACACAAGTAGATAATCCAGAACAGAACATAATCTAGATAAACTAGTCAGATCATGATCATAAACATTCCCATTGATATTTCACATACTGAGTTTTACTTCCGTTCAGATCTATGAGGACAACGATTTAGCATACATTTGCTTCGAGCAATACAACAGCAAGTGACATTCAAATGTTGCATTAAACATGTAATGAAATTAAGGTTTATAAACAGAAAACCCCAAATGTGGGAAAGGGTATTACGTACCACTTGCTCCTCTACTGTACAGCAGAAAGATCAAGTTGAGGGTAAACCAGCTCCATATGACAGGCATCAGGCTCCTTTACAAACAGCGGCAGGTTTTTCTATGGAAGAAACGGGCGAGACTTAGATTCCGGCTTTGTCTGTCAAACCTCGTCCTTCTGTAAGACGCCATGTCATTTTTAAATGTTGCAGTTTCTACCTTGATGTTGTATGTATGTCGTATAATATCCCGTTTTTAAAGGGATCACCAACGAAGCATCAACAAATGTCCCGTCGAAGAATCAGGACATGAGCATGCTGTATGTCCATGCACGCTTTTCTTCAACAGGAGCAATTCAGCGGGACCAGATTAAAAAGTATATTAACAAACATGCCAATTATATTTTAACGCATATGGCCGACAGGTACTGTGTACCGCCCTTCCCTGTGATAGCAGGACCACAGCCCCTGGGCTGTAGAGAGATCTCTCTTTAGCTCACCGGGCTGGGTCCCTGTTGGGTGACACGGGAATCCCAGGTTCGAGCCCCCGACGGTGCGGGGCCGACCTAATGCGGAAAGGGCGCCCACCTGAACCCCGTTGCGTTACAATATTTACTAGTTAGCGGTGCTAAATACTCTTCATACCATGTCATGGTTTGCTGCCCACACTTATCTGATGCATTGCCACTATGGTTTCTTAACAAACCCATGCATCAACTGTTTTTACAGTTATCTATGACCAAAACAAATCTAGATTTAACAATTTACATTGTCCTTTCACTTCATGGCTTGGAGAGAAAACTCAACAACAGCATTCGAATTATATTATATTATTATATTATTTTGGCTCTGAAAATCAAGGCGCTGTTAACGTTAACTGCAATGTCGGCTAACTGAAGAATGTTATAATGCAGTATAAAGACATTTTAGACTAAAGAGTGGGAATTTTCCGACTCATTCACTGCTCACAAACTAGCAAGGGTAATTTATCTTTTTGATTGTATCAGTTAAATCCCGTAAACCAAATCAATTTACTAATTCTAGAAGCGCGTGCAGCACCTGCCACTTACTAATCTGGTGGTGATCAGTTTCATGATCGTAATGTTGTACAGAACTCAGGAATTATTCCAGCATTTGCTTTATAATCACTAAAGTCGCTGTAAAAAATGTACTGATGTTCAACAGTAAACACCAAATCCGGTGTGAATAAAGACACCGCCTCGTGTTACACTTCGATGTAAAAAAACACTGATCTTCGCGTAGAAATCACCGTTAATCTTAAAAAAAAAGACTTGATATTTATGAAAAATGAAGCATCGAAAAACGTTTTTTTCTATTCTTAATAGATTTTACTTGCCTACAGTATCCCAGTGGTGCATAGGTTTTCATATGTATGAATTCCCTGGAAGAACATCCTAACTTTGCAGGAGTAGTTCACGGATACGAGTCAAATGATCACGTCTTCTGCCCAGTGCTGCACACCAGTGCGTCGTCAACAGTGGTTTTAATGTCTCTACATGAGCTTTTTGCGACGTGATTCAACTCAACCATCCACGCGTGACCAGCTCTGTCCTCTGTTCCTCTGCTAACAGCAGGAGTTCAAAACCTGTTTTAATGTTTTGAAACACAGACGCTTCACCAGAGCAAAATACTGTTTTATAAGAAAAAAAGCAAAAGTTTTTTTTTCTTTTCAAAAAGGTTATTTAAAACTAGTAGACAATGTTGCACATTTCAATGCAGGGTTAGCTAAATAAAGATTTTTAATTTTTTATTAGGTCAGTCACCAGTGTAGTAAGTCAATTCTTGCTAATTCTATTCTGTCTTTGGAACAGTATATGCACATACATGGTACAAAATAAGTACAGAATCTGAATCTCTACCATTGGTTTTTGAATTGAACGGAAATAACTATTCAAGTGCATATATGAGATGATCAAATGAATCTATTTTCAATGCATACCTTTCGGGGTTTTCATCCATTACTGACAGGACAGTTAACTGTGCATATTTGTAACCTAGAGAATCACGATCAAGAATTATTAAAAGAAAATGGTTACAAACGAGAGGTTCCAATTTGGACCTCTAGCTTGAGGATTTAAGTATCTAATTGATCTGCAGATTTCAGCCAACCATTTTTTTAATGTCTTAACAACATGGCTGGTAGCTTGTTCTTGCCTCTCACAACCTTTTTGTCTGAAAGTGCCTCCTCTTCTTAGTTCTACAGTATGTACTTCCCCTTAAGTTTCCATTTGTGTCCTCTGGTTCGTGTTTCGCTGTTGAGTTGCAAGAAGCAGGGTTAGGGTTTGTCGATTCCTTGCAGGATTTTGAACACTGCATAGTTCTTGTAGTCTTCTCTGTTAAAAACAAAAAAAACCTCAGTTTTTTACGTCAAAGTAGGACTTCCTTTTGAACCTCTCAATATATACAGTTGCTCTGCTTGTGACTGATTCCAAAACAGAAACATCTACCATCATGTCGTGATCAAAATTCTCCATAATATTTGAAACGATACATTGGTCTTTTATACAGCAGGTGCAGAAAGTAAGATGTTATTAATCCAACGTTTGGTTAGATTATAATTTAATTTATACCATGATAAACTCAAAAGTTCAAGACGCCGTCTATTCACAAATGTATCAACCCGGTAGCTGATAACAGCTTTTTTCCACATAATTGTTCTACTCAGTTATTTCTACGCACTATCAAGCCTGTCAAGTGTAAATAACCCACTGCTAATGATGAGTAGTTGTGATTTAATTCTGGCACTACTTTAATATTCATCATTCACAGACAAGTAAATCCCCTTGAGCTTTCAGCTGATGAACCTTATCAGCCTTATTAAAATGGAAATATTTTCTTTTGTGCCATGCAGTCTGAACATCATCATTGGGAAGAAGGAGGGTTTTTTAAAGTTCTTGCATTTCATCTCTAAAAATAATTCAGGGAGAATCCTTCAAACTTCAAAATTCTGTGATAAATAAATGTCTCTTTCAAGGAAAAGACCACCTGCATATTGAATCTGTGTTGTTATTAATTTGGATTCCAAACTGAATCCAAAGAAATAAAACAAAGTGTTGCATTCGTTATTAGAAAAAAAAATTGAGGAGGTAGTGTACTTAAAAACAAATGTTACGTCTGCACATTGTAGAAAAACTGAATGTACCAAACCTAAAGGTAATAGACAGGTGGGTAATTTCTGGACTTTCAGGACTCAGTGTAGTCTAACCACAACTCAGCACTGGTAATAGAAATGACTGTTCAAAGGTTAAGTATATGTGACAGCAAGGTGAATGTACAGTATAGAACCTCCCATTTGTCACTTAATATGTTGTTGAAATTATTTTACTTTTATTTACATCTATTACTTTTTTAGCTTTAATACAGTATGTGGCTCTTTCAAACAAGCCTTTGTTTTAAAGCTGCAGTGCCATATATTCTAATTCTTTAAGCATAGAATTTTAGTTTATACTGTGTATATCCATTGATCTATTAATAGAAAGCTAGGTCATTATCAGTTCAGCATGTTCAGTTATGTCACAGAAGCATCCCAGAACCTATTACACATATACTGTATAGGGTAGAAGGTGAAACTTGGAGGACCTGCCTGCTATCTCTCTGTACAGGTCAGAAGTCAATCACAGGTCTATTGACAAACTAAACATTTAGAGTAGCTAATCAGACCTCACCAGTGTTCCTCTGGGAGGGATGAGCAAACCAGAGAGTCCACATAAAGCCTGAAGGATCATGCAAACTCCACACAGATGGGCGCCACAGTCCAGAGCCAATCTCTAGACCCTGGTTCTATGAGACAACAGAGATAACCGCTAACACCACCATCTCACCTACTATATATTTAGCTACTGTTTTGCTACATATTAATCACTAGTCCTGCTGATGTGAGACATCCACCTTTTTTAAAACAGACATTTTTATTTCTAAAATCACACGCTACAAGACCAAAAGACATAAAGAGGCCAAGAAACATTTGCTAGACACATACAGCCCTTGGAACTTTGCAGTTGAAATAACAGCCATTATGTGACTATCCACTCATTTTTTAACTGCTTCTTCCAGTTCAAGGTTGTGGGGGAGCTGCAGCCTATCTTGGTAAGTAACAGGCACAAGGCAGGGTACACCCTGGACTGAACACCAGCCCATTGCAGATAAGACACAGACACAAGACATGCAAACACTCGCATCAGGGCCAATTTCCCTAGAAGCCAATTGACCTACCAGTATGTCTTTGGACTGTGCAGGGAAACTGGAGCACCCTTAGGAAAGCCACATGAACACAGGGAGAACATTTAGACTCCACATAGATAGCACCCTGGGCATTCAACCCAGTGCTCCAGCACTTTGAGACAGCAATGCTAATGACAGTGCCACTGGTCTGCCCCTGACTGAACTAGTGCCACATTTTTGTAGCATGTGAAAATTACATGAGGGAATAAGTCTGTTTCAAAGTGTAATGAGAGTGTGATGTTTGCTTTCCTTTCAATGTGTAGATTAAATTAAAATAATTAAAAGACAATTTTTGGTACACACATCAAAGTGTTCAGCTTAATTAACATCTATCTGGGAAACAATGAACAAAGAATAACCAAAACCCATGTAGTAAAATCAGTGCCAAATGATGTTGGATGGCTGTTAACTGTCATTAGATTTTTTTGAAGATGTTGAATCTTCTTAAACTGGAGATCTAGGCATAGCAAGGTGAGGTAAGTTATGTATAATGCTAATCTTTGAATTTTTGTCAATATTTGAAGTCACGTATTTATTTACTACTAGGTTTAAATAGTTTGTTATTCTCTCATTCTCTCCTTCTCTGTTATTTGTTATTCTTTCATTCTCTCATTCTCTCAGCCTGAACCAAGATTATAGATTAATATAAACAAATAGATAAACATGGTTTTCGCTGTGTCAGATAGTTCAGACGTAATATCATGGCGTTGATCTAAGATGATAATATATTTTGGATAAATGAGGCAGTTGTAATGAAATAACAGAAGTATGGTTAACATTATCTCACAATGCCACCCAGGGAAGTAACAAGAGTATAGACAATTATATTTTGTTTTAAGCAAGATTTTCATCAAGATAATCTTGCTTACCAGTTATGGTATATCATTATTTTGTCCAATGTCATTCTCACAATGTGATCGTGTCCTGTTTAGTATTTTTCTGTTAATTAAAATGAACAGAATTGAGTAATTTAAAGCATTTTATACTAAGCCTAAATTAACTAAATAATGGTTTCGCTCATTCCGTAGTTTGCTGTCTGATTTAAAAGCATTACTGGTTTTTAATACACAAAAATGATAATAGGGATCTGGTGATGGAATAGTAATACTTTCATGGAAAGCCTGCATAACATATTTTATCGCAGGTGTTAGAAATTAATGACCACATGGATGAGTTTTACACCCTTTTGATTCAGTTTGAAATTCACAAGAGAGAAACTGTATGGATAATACAGGAAACCGTGAAACTGATTTTGTGAGTTGGTGTTAAAATTACACGAATTATCCAGTAATTCAAAGCTTAAAATATTGTTTTTCACACCTTTATGAGTCATAGCACTTCTATTAATAAGAATATTGCATATATATCTAATCACTGAGCCTGCCTTTTACACCAGCACAAAGGTGTGAAAATTTACCACTTGTTGAAGAATATAATGCCTAAAAAGCAGAATTGTATGGAAGCTTAATTTCTATCATAAGAGGTAGTGTTCAGCCAATTACATGTTTCAAGGTTCGAACCTGATGCATTTCTCTCTTTGTTCTCATACATATGAAGCTTTTTTCAACATTAAAAAGGACAGACTTAAACAATGTGCAAATTTACTGGTTATATATGTTGATTATAACCAACAGTGTTCTACTTAATGAGGAATTATATATTTTTTGCTTTTCTTGCAAAAGTGTTCATAGGTACAGCATGACTGGTACTAGCCATTGAGACTTGCAAATAAATGGAGCAAAAACATATATGAGGACATATATGAGATTACTTTTAAGAGTGACATTCTTTCCTAAATTACCAAAATGCATTGAATTTGCATGGATATAGAAAAAAAGAAAAGCTCACAGAAGCTTATTAAATTTAATGTTTTCTGTTTTACATTTCATTTTAGTGTGATAATAAATAAAAAAATAATAAAATTGGACCATTTAAAAATATAACATTCTCCATATTATTGTATCAAAACTAATGCTGAAAAGTTAGACACCAAACCACTTTACATTTTAGAAATCCGTGATTAACTTGACCCCAAAATGACCTTTTCAGAAAAGATTGCTTCCATGTTTGTTTTCATTAAAAGCAGCCAAATAGGACAAATGAGTGTTTTACCGATAGTTCTTAACAGCAGATCTATAAATATTATTCTTTCTGAAACTTACAGTAGTTCTCCTACATATGCTGGTAAAACCACTCATTCCACAAAGTCTTAGTTCAGTCACAAAGTTAGAATCAACATCTCTGAAACCCTCTTAGCAGTCACTCCATTCAACTTGTCGAAGAACAAACTGAGGGAAATAAGATGTTGCTACAGCAGGTTCATATTCTGTAGCCTTCAGGCAGTTGACCAGTTCATCTGGAAGTAAGGTCGGACTCTGATTTGAGTCATCCATATGATATCCCTGCCCTGCATAGAATTCGTCTTGATGTGTTCCAGTGAAACCACTGTCCAAACTTCCATCTCTTTCTTCCTTTGTAGTCAAATTTGTGCTTGATCTTTCATGTGTCATGTTCACAAGAAAGCTTGTCAATATTCCACAAACCCCTGGAGAACTAGCTTCTTCTGCCTGGATGGGATTTATCCAAGTATGGAGAGGCAGGAGGAAAGTACTTTCAAGTCCTTCTGCTAACTCATTCTTTTGGGCTTCCTTTGAAATCTGTGGCTTGTATCCATGCCCTTCAATAGGAGTCACGTTGAACTTGTAATTTTGTAAGCAAACAGGCTTCACTGTTTCTCTCTCTGGACCTTCTGCATCTTGAGGAAATAAACTCTTTTCAATGGACGATGGAATGATTTCTTCCACTCTTGTGATAGGAGGGTCACTGTAAGTGGACAGCCATGAAGAATCAGAATAATTCCTTTCTTTTTCCTTGAAGAAACAATGATGAAAAAAATATTAGTACTCATTATGAAACTGAATCTCCAAAACAGCTACATATTCCATTTTATCATTGAATCTTAATGACAGAAAACAGATTATAACTATTAAAAGGATTATAACTATTTACTGTAACATTTTCTATGGAAACTGGACTAGTCTAGAGACTAAACTTAGAAAACCAGAATGTGGCAGGTCTAAATTTATTAACAAGTTTGCTTACCTGCAGCAGTTTAATTACATTACTGTTTTCAACTTTGGGGAATTTTTCAATTAACCACCTTGGTCCTCTTAATGCCCATATCCTTTTAATTCTGTAAAAAAGGTCACCATCATCAATTGTACATAAAAAGTAGTAATGACCATCAATTAAATTAATATTTATCTGTCAATTGCAGGATGTATTGTAGGTTCAAACTAAAAAAGTAACTTAGCTTGAATTTATAGAAGCCACTAAGTATACAGGTTCTTTGGCACATGCAAGGACTATTGAAATTACCTCAGATTTAGGTGAGAGATCCATGTTGAATAATCTCATTCACGCCCACCATTGCACTTAAAAGTGACAAGTGACAGTTTTTGGCAGCAATGTTCTCAAGTTATTGTCTTGCTGGTCAAAAACAAGCTGTTGGCTTTATTTCTACTGGTCAATTTGTGTTTTCTTTCCTCATAAGCTAGTCTGTGCTTCATTAAGATTTCATCTGATGTTAGTGTTTCAACATCTCTGAATCACAGAAAAGAACACAGAGTACAAAGCAGCACATTTGAAATTCTAAAGAAATTGGAGGGACATGATTAGTATGTAGGAACCAAGGTTCCTGCTGCTTGTCACCACTTTTAGTTCTTTTTTGTTATCCCATTCCTTTCTGTCTATTATATACAGGTTGGCAAACCATCACAAATGCCAGATATATAGAAAAAGGCTGCTTTTGCCCTGAAGAATTAAATTATCCTGAGTCAATTGCCCTGAGCAAGACAAAATGGTCCATCTATTGGAGCACAAAGTGGACAGGCAGGTGCTGTTTGTATAAACTGAGATGGTGGCAATGAAGTCCCATATTGCTGTGATAGGTAGTAATTTATATGTTCAGATTTCAGGTACTCAGCAACAGCAATTCAGCAACTGATCTTGAACCTGGACCTTGAATCAGGTAAAGAAAGGGGAACAGAAAAATATACTAGATGCTCATGTACTAAGCTGGAGAATCACTCACTGCTTAACAATATCCACACCATGGGACTGTAAGGGTAAAGTGGTAATGCTAATATTACAGGGGTAATGTGACAATCTAGGCAAGGGGTCCTAAAAAAGCAGTTCCTAAGTGGTTTCCAAATTTGGCACAGCACGACTAAAGCATGGAGAGGCCAGAAAGAAACCATGGATACCACCTTTCTGGGGGCCCTGACAAGCCTCAAATTCTTATTTTCAAACTTCTCAGGCTCAATGATAGAGAATTGTTTTTGAAGGAAATAGTCTTCCTCTGTTTGCTCAGTTCAGGGAAAGGCACAGCATATGTACTGTACATAGATTAGATCCCAGCAGGTGCTCAGGAGAAACAGGCTTTTTTAGCACAGAGGAAAGCACTGAAGGAAGTTTTCTTGTTGCATCCTCCATGCTGGTGGACAGCAGCAGAATATTGAATGGAACATTCAATACGATCTGGGAAAGTGTATAAAAGTGTAGTCTTCCTCTGTGTCATACATGTAGCTAAAGACTATATAGACCTGCCCCTGTGCTGTTCCTTCTTTGAAATATTGGGAAGGCTTTGAACATGCTCATTTGGGAATATGTAACTATATTAAATCTAGTTAACAAAAAAACTAAAGTAATGTATGATGTCTACAGATATAAAATGCTGTGAAAAGTAAAAACGGTTACCTTTTCCTGACACAATTCCAAAACATCAAATTTGCAAGAATTCCTACAAGGATAGTTGCTGCAACAATGATACCAAAGACCATGGTAATATCTGGAAAAGAGTTGTAAAGGACATTTTTGTTCAATGATTGCACGTTTGGATAACAAGCCCCATTTATGTACCACTGACCATTTTTATATAAGATTGAAAATCATAATAATTAAAATGACTGGAAAACAAGATTTATTTTCACTTAATGTTTTTTTATGTAGCAAAAGCATGTCTATCCAATCTCTTCTTACTCATTTTTGACTCCACTGATGGAGTTGGTTTGAACAGCTGGCCACTTGCTCTATATTATTGCTCTCTAAGTACATCACTGGCTATATAGATGTTATTATAATGTAACAGTAAGCACAACAAAATACAGCTTCTAATTTTACAGTTGTAAAGATGCAAAGGAAAGCTGATTTATCTTTTAGTGTGCAAGAAAGATGCTGGTGCTATATGAAGTTTGGACATGAATGGATTCATAGAAAGCATTTGTGTGACAAGAACTGTCAGACAAGAAATGTAAAATGAAGTGATGTGTTGGGTTGATAAAATATCTGATTTACTGTACCAAGGCTGATAAAATCAACAGAATTCAAAATCTTTGTGTTCAAATCAAAGCAAACTGTTACAATAATAAAATGCAATGGTAAGACCTCATTTAAAGACTGTGCACAATTGCTATCAGTTTTGTTATAATCTAGAATATTGTAATATTTCTGTAAAAGTATTATTTAAAGACCTGAAAAGTACCAATACAGTCAAACCAGAGGACTACCTGAAGACCAACAGTGATCCAAAGACACAAGTGGAAACTAAGAGGAATTGACATCAGAAAGACTATGGAACGCATCAGTTTGTATTGAAACAACAGGAAAGGACCTGATGAGATCTCTGGATCAACAATCTACAGTACTTTTAACTAAATGAGCAAGATGGCCTCCTCTCATTTGTAACCTCTCTTCCATTCTCGCTAATCAAACCCAACAAAATGAATCAAGGCAATTCCATCAAAATGAGCAAAAACTACTGATTTACTGTTCAGCTCACTTACATTCTTTTACTTATTTACTAGTTTATAAATAGTAAGTGTCCATCTGCCAAGACACTGCTAATAACAAAGAAGACAAAATGCCCCTTTCATAATTGAGTCTTTGTAATGTAAATCTGTAACAGAATTGTATTGAAATTAGAATGTAATGCTTTCTCTACGCACTTATTTCTCCAACGCTTACCTAGCATGGACCCCAGAGGTTGATAGATCAGTTCTTCTCCCGGCGGTCCCTCGCCAGCTAAGGTGGATGCTGTCATGTAAAAGATGTATATGAAACCAGAATCCAGCTTTTCCAGCCACCGTTCTCTGGAAACATTTCCCTGGATCACAACTTAGGAGACAAACCAGTGCCATTCAATTCAATGTATTGCTTTTAAAATAGGTCTTTACCCAAAAGAATCCACATGCTAATTACCTATTAAAACATCTATTTAACATTATTAATACCAAAACATGCATACTATCTTTTCATGCTATACGTGAAAGAATAGCATGTTTGGGTGACATTACTAATTTTAAAAAACAGCAGTCCAGGGCAGTGATAGAATAAAAGAAATCATACTTTCATGCTACACATCGTTCTTTAGACATTATGGTTCACAAATAGTTCACAGAACAGGCTGCTTAAAACCAGAAATTATTTTTATTTTAGAAACTTAGTGTTGCAAGGTTTTGCATTCTATTTGCATCACAGAAATCACAATGTTTGTCAGAAGAACAGGGGTTCAAGTTTAATTGAAGCAATACAAGACATTTACTTTTGCAGACTGATATTAATGAAGTAAATTGCACACATATTATTATTTGACTCTTGGTATATTTTTATGTGTTGACAAATAAATAAAACAAAAAAAGCCCTAAGGACAAAATGCAATGCTGAAGGCAAGATTGTATTTACACATATTTGTGGTTCTTGTTCATAACAGAGTGGGTATTTTTCTAGATAAAGTAAACGTAATATATAGTTAGTGGAGTGATCTGTAGAGGTTTTAAACTGAAGAAAACAAAATAAGACTTGTTAAAGCAGCTCTTTATCGAGTTTCAGAAGGGCATGTACATTTAGCCACACATGACTTCCGTTTTATGTCTTTCCTTCCTGTTTTGTTCACAGCAACAGACTAATTATAGCTGGTGGCTCACATGTTTTAGTGCCTCTGAAAGTACTTTGCACTAGACAGATAGCTGCTCAGGAAGATGAGCCTTAAGAACAGGCTTTAATTCATCTCCCTTATAACACAGTTAATTCTCAGTTCTCAAAAGAAAAAAAAAAGGTTCAGTCTGACTTCCAATAAGAAGCATTCTGAAGAGTCCCTATCTCTATTTAAAGGAAACATCTCATTTGAAACATTACCTAAAAACATTTGGTTATGGTATGTGACATCTTGCTTGAACCCTCCTCTTCTATCTTCATCAAGCCCACCAGTACTAAAATTAAATATCACCATGTTTCATGTGCTTTTATTAGTGGTTATGCCAGTGTTGACCTAGAGCCGCCTAGTGGAGTGCAATGGTTTAAAATGATGATTCAGACTGAAAATACAACTGAGTTACGGGAACTCATAGCAGGATTTTCAGTAACAATTTGTGACAAAATGACTATAGCTAAACAGCAGGTCTCTGTCAGACAGATTGACTGGTCTATTCTATATATTCTATACATCAATTTATAAAACTCAGATATACCAATTATATAATTGTTGAAGAACACTTACTCTTTTTACAGTAATTTGAGCCTGTGTTTTTCCTCAGATAGATGGTATACTGTGTGATAAATCCTCTCTGCTGATGCAATGGAATTTCATCCCATTTGATGTGAATGCTCTCTCCTTCTGTTTTTAGCAATGAAATCTGTGGACCTGCTTGTGGTTCTGATATGGTATAAAATAAGAAAAGCAATTAATTTTCCACCACCATCTCAGATGGAAAACAAAATCCTAGATTTTGAGCGATTTAAACAATTTACAATGCATAAAAGAAGTACTGTAGTTAATTGGTGGTAAAGGAAATTTTCTTTGTATGTGTGGGGTTGGGGGTGGAGGCGTGGGGGGGCAAAGTTTACAAGTGAAACACATTTCTGACTTTAGAAACTGAAGTGAATCAGGCAGACAAATTTCTCTGTTTCCTGTTGTCAAGACTTTAACTTGACACAAACAGGTAAGTCTGAAAAGAGGTCTTGTACACCTGCTGTTATGTCTTTGAGTAGTGCTCATAAGAATAAGAACAATGAGAATAAGAACTATGAGGGTGTTTAAGAAGAACAGTAACAATGACAAATAATTACTGTTTAAACTTACTCTCTTCCTTTGCATATATTTCAGAATAGGCTGGTTGCGTTTCCCCTTTTGCAGCAACACCATACAGTGAAATGCGGAACTTGATTCCAGGTTCATTAGCTAGTCAAAGGAAATAATTAATTATCTTAGTCTTTATGATTATTAACATACTAAAGATGGATAGTTTGCCAACTTCAAGTGTGATGAAACAAGATCTACAAATAATTGGTTAATAGATTAATTATGAAAATGTTAGTACCTAGTGTAACATTTTTTTTAAACCAGCCAGAAAGCTCACAGACCTTTCTGATTTGTACCTGCGCCAAAGGATCTGTGACATTTCCAGAATTTATGGTAGTCTTTTCATGGTTCCTTATTTTTCGTTATTGAAATAAGAGATGAGCAGAGAACTGCCCACCAAAGTTGTTATTACTGGTAAAGTAGACTCATTACATATTAACTCACATGATGATTTTTTAATCGAGAAAGTTCTTACCTTCCATACATGTAGAGTTGTGTTTAGTTTCCACTTTTCTCCATTGTATGTTCTGATCTTCCCTATGCCACTCTACAATATACCAGAGCAGTGACTCACTGTGACAACAGTTAGAATCCCAGGTCAGGCACAAATAATTCCCTGCAGATATCAGGTTTGTGATTTTTGGTGCCCCTGAAACTGAAAATACAGATGCAATGCGGTATTTGCAAAAACAATTTTGCATGGTTTCTTATTTGAGGTCAGTTGTAGTTGTTATTCAGCCATGGAGCATCTGCTCAACAGTTGGAATTATTATTTATAATTACTTTATCCAACGATTAATCTTGTGGTTAGGTTTATGACCAGTGCTAGGGTTAGACTTAAACCTTGGGTTAGGATTATGGTAAAGGGTTTGGCTAGGATTCATACAGTACTAGGGCACTTTCGATGTGAAGTTGAAGCACTGAACAATAAAGAGTTTCCGCTGCTCTGCAAAGCTGCCATTGTCTTCTTGACAAAAACAAATGCAACGTACTGTTAAAAAAACTCCAACATTCTGTATGCTGATAGTATTATGTAGTATAATCTTATATTTTGCATATGTGTGATCATCTGATCCTACAGAAGTGTTAGTTTTTTTTTCCATTTTATTAGAAATTCTAATTGCCAATCAAGGAAATGTAGTTGTATATTCAACGAAACAAAATACTAAATTGCACCCCTCACAAATCACTCCGGTGTATGGGAGGTCGGAGCCGCAGGCGCGTACCATCCGGTTACTGTATTTAAGGGACTGAGAGCTATGTGCACATTCGAGGTTGTTTTGAGACTCCGCCAAGGGTGCGTCTTTTCTCCTCTCCTGTTTGTGATCGTCATGGATTTAAGCACCTCAACACCTCTAAATTTGCCATGGTTCTCTCCCGGAAAAGAGTGGATTGCTCCCTCCATGTGAGGGGGGAACAGCTGCCCCTAGTGGAGGAGTTTAAGTACCTCAGGGTTTTGTTCACAAATTCACAATTAGGAAGGATTGTGAGATTGATCCGGGGATTGGTGCAGCGGCTGCAGCAATGCGGAAGCTGTACTGAACCTTTGGAGGGGAAACGGGAGCTGAGTTTTCAGACGAAGCTCTCCGTTTTCCGGTCGGTCTACAATCCTTGTCCTCAACTGTTTTCACTATGGGTGGTGACTGAAAGAATGAGATCCCGGGTACAAGGCGGAGGTTTCTCCATAGGGTGGCTGGGCTTACTTTCCGTGGCAAGCTGAGGACCTTGGAATAGAGTCGCTGCTCCTCCGGATCAAGAGGGACCAAGTGAGATGACTGGGGCATCTGGTGAGGATGCCCCCCGGGCAGCACTCGCTGGAGGTGTACCAGGCACAGCCCACTGGGAAGATACCCCAGGGTAGACCCAGGCCACATTGTATTTCTCAGCTGGACTGGGTATATATGGGAGACCCCTCAGGAAGAGCTGGAGGCTGTTGCTTGGGAAAGGGAAGTCTGGTCTACATTGCTCAGGCTGTTATCACCGCTACCCTCGCCAACAGTAAGCGGTTAGAAAATTATGATGATGGTTTAATGGTATGCATTGCAACCCAATATTCACTAAAAGAGTGTAGTTTAAGTCTTAATACCTTTCTGCCCAAGGATTAGCTCTGCGGCAGGTGAACTCCCTGCTGAGGTAAAGGTAGTGACAAGAAGAGAATTTACTGTGGCTGGAATTATCACTTGGTATTGAGTTTCGTTGGCATCACATGTAAGAATGACAGGTTCCTTCCCATGCTCTTGGTAAGACACCTGGTATCCCCGAATAACTCCTCTGGAATCTTCAGGAGAAAGTGCCTTAATGAAAATGAGATAGGTGAAATGATCAGAATGTTTTCCAAAAAGGAAATATAATGTATCCAAATAAGAGTTTATTAATATTTAAATCATATTTAACATTTCATAGTTTTCTATGCTGCCTTTTTTCTGTTAATTATTTGCTCACTAATCCATCCCCTTAAATACTGAATGTGCATTTCAATTTATCAATTATGGAATACAGATATACTGTATATATACACACCTTAGATAAATAACAGTATACATGTACAAAAAATGTTTTGGTTTGTTTCTTTTCCAGTAGAGGGCGCTCCAAGATGTCGTGTTGACATCGACCTTTTAAATCCCTTCTGACATCAATACTGAGTGAAGTAAAGAAGTTTACGTCGGTTTTGCAAGACTGAATGATAGCCTATTTTAAGAAACACTGCAAAAGCAGTTAAATTGTCCAGACATGTTAGATTATTATATTTATACTGTATGATTATGTACAGAATACATATATACAGAATCGTTTTGTTGTACGTGTTCTGTGAAAGCAGAGTATTGTTTGTGCGCTGACATTATAAATAAGTTAAACAATCTTTAAAGATTTGTTCTGAACGTAAAATACCTAAATAAAACAACAACAGTCCGGAACCTTCAAAAGCTGTACCTTCCAAAGTATAGTCACAGTTTGTGTTCCGTTCGCCCAAGTGCGTCCTAATATCCTCCACACATCTAGTTTTCTTGAAGGTGCTTAAAAAACCAACACAACGTAAGAAGCGTGTCCGTTAAATTCGTATTTTGCATTTGGAGACTTTATACAAGCAAAACAAATATAACTGAAAAGAGTAAGCCTTTGTCTTAGCCTTACAGTGTAGTAAGAAAGATACATTAAAACTAAAAAAAACTATTCTTACAAAAATCACGTAGCAGTTTTTATGTATGTTTTGCAAACGAAGAACACATTATAGTCTGGATGCTGGATGATTCAATGGTATGTTTAAAAAATGTGATGGTTTTGCCTAGTCAGAGCAGTGGCAACCACATCCTGATTTTTTTTCTCGTAGTCTGCATGTGAATCTACGAAGAATGAACATAGTACATAGTGTTTCTAAAGGCCTAATTTAGCCATATTTCCTCCTCCAAGTAGAAGTCAGATCTGTGGTACCTGCTTCTGGGCTTCTCTCCCAGTATAATAAGCTCCAGACACTGCATGAGGAATTCATTTTACTTCTACAGCTGCGAATCTGAAACTCATAACATTTGAAGGGCTGAAATCCTTTCAGTACAATTTTGTCCTTTTTGGGTTCATTTTCCTGTTCTTCCACCTGCAAGAAACATTAACTTACTGAAAAAACAGTTTCCTTCTTACATATTCAGTACATATTCAATGACTATACAAGTATACTTACAGTATACATTAATGGTATAATTAATATCCATCTATTTTCTAACCACTTCTTCTAAAGAGTCACTGGGGACCTGGAGCCTATCCCAGCAAGCAACAGATGCAAGACAGTTTACACCCTGGACAGGACGCCAGTCCAGCACAGGGCAGACACATTGACACTCTCACCTAGAGTAAGTTTATTTCAGTAACCATTTAACCTACCACTGTATGAACCAACCTTGAGGACACCAACGTGTACATGGGGAGAACCTACAGACTCCACACAGATAGCCCCCCTGGTCTGGAACTAAACATAGGGCTCCAGCACTGCAAAGCTAATTATTGCACCTCCATGCAGCCCTTTGGTATTATGAAAATGTATAACCATAATTATGAAATATGATGATTTTTACATTTTCATAACTTAGTGCTTAACACTAACACGATAAGCTTTACATCACCTCTTACCCACTCTCTGCCATGACGAGCTGTTCTGTATCGCACATTAATACTAAACAACTCAGATGTCACTGACGTATTCCAGTGAACCACGGCTGCTTGAGAAGAATTCACAAAATCTATCTTTGTAATAGTTGGTGGATCAGGTATCACTGCAATAAAAGCAAGAAGGTTATCAGCAATATATTGACGTTTTGAAAACCTTTTTTCTGCGATTGTGAAATTATTGGAGATCTGCCTCCAGATAGCTTAATGATAATGCATCGCTTACCTATATTATTCACTGTTAGCAATAGCACGTCTGACAGCGCTTCTCCCAGGAGATTATATGCCTTCACAGAAACCATGTATTCGATATCCTTTTCCACGCTCGATAAAGGGACCTGGATATGATCTTTTGTAATTGAAAACGTTTTGCTTCTGTTTTTACTGTGAAAGAAAAAGCAACAGTTTTGTACTTTGTAACTGTAAAATAAATCTGTGGAAAATTGTTGTGTTTTAAAATGCAAGTATACCGTATACTGTAAACATGACTTTACTCTTAGAAACGTAGTTAAATGTTTGTGTGCTTTCAAATTAAGAATGGATGTGTTTTCTACTCTGTATTCTGTATTCTACTTAAAGTGAATAGTTTCCAAATGCATCTCGTAAACTTGAAAAACTTTACGAGATGCAGCTGGAAGTAACCAAATCACTTTTGCGTTGTATTTTCTTTCAATGAAAAGCCGTTTCCCACTCCAACTGCACAGTATTCATTTTAAAAAAATAAATGCTTAAGAAAGTCAAGAGAAACGAAAATTTTCAAATCAAATACGTCATGTTCATTTTTTAATTTTATTTCCTTGATTGGAACTCTCATGTTGCAGTTGAAGGTTTCGGAGAGCGCAATTACGCCCTCTGGTGTCAACGTTTCATACATATTCATTTGGTGGTTTACAGTTGTGTGTATGCTAATTTTGTATTATCAATTAAAGAATGGTAATTGTATAAAATGGGCTTACTGTTGAAATGTCACTGTGTAGACTGTATTTATGTGGGTTTTCCTTCCTTTCTGCCAAGAACATGTCATGTTCTTAGAATTTCTTCGGGCAACACAATTTAAATTTGTTGGTTTGTCTGGAGGATCTGAGAAGATGAAAACATTTTTAATTTCATGAGGCAGTATAGCTTTGTGTAAAATCAGGGAAAGATATATCATGATGTAATTTAATGCATTTGCTATTGACATTTTAAAACCTGTGAATTGCGCTCTGCTTATAATAAACTCAAACAACATAGACAAGCCAGTTTGTGTAAGACTTTCATTAATGGCCACAAACAGTTTCAGCCCAAAGCAGTTGAACCTAAACCTCAGCATTTAGAGTCTTGGAAGATACAATCATACTCTTTTAAGCCTTTACAATTATGAATGTAACTCCTTAAATGAAGTTAATGTATTGAGAGAAAAATCATTAAAAATGAAGAAATTTGCAACATACATCCTGGCTCAATATTCTGGCCGCAGACTGTTTCCAATGTATTTTTCTTGCATACCACAGTGGAATGAGGTGCCCTAAAGTTTGTGAGTTGAAGTTTCACAGTAGAGCAATTTAGTTTCTCCAGGGGCTTCTGTTCAGTCTCATTCAGATAGATTACCAATCTTTCATTACAGTTTGCTTTATATGAATGGCAGAGAACTGTGATATTGGAACCCATGAGAAAGATTGGTTTGGGCTCTATCTGCACGATCCCATGACACACTACCTCTATACAGCCTGTACAGAAAAAAAAAACACAAAACAAAATCAACTTTTAAACTAAAGCGCATAATACAAAACATACTCATGGATTTCTTCAGTGGCATAGCAGGAACGGTAGCTACAGTGTGGTTGTCTTTGAATTTAAGTGATAAAAGATTGACTGCAAAGTTAAAAAAAAGGCAACAGCAAGTGAAAACATTTAGTTTTTAACACTTACACCATATACTTTGTAGAAGTGCTCAAAAAGGTTCAAGTAACAAGGCTATAGTCTAGCTAAAGCTCAGGACTGGTGTGAGGACAATTCTGAAAACTGTGCTGTGCAATAAGATGTATCAAAGGAGAAATTTAAGCAATTTAAAAATTCTCACTTCTTTGGGATGAATGTTATTGTAATGTCTGACATTAAAATAGGTTTTCTTCTTTTATAGCTATTGCAAAGCCAACATTGTCCAAAGAGCAATGTGTTCAAGAAAACACTTTCTGTGATATACTGTATATGAGTAACATATTGAGTTTTACTATTTAGAGGTGCATGGACAGAATATATTGGTGTCTTTAACAAGTTTTTGGAACATGAAACTCTCTTACAGGGGTAGAAATCAATCAACCATTTCTTCCAAGTGTAAACCTTTTATTTCTTGGTTGCCATAAATAACATGACCTATTACAGTCACCACTACCTTAAATTAATACATGCACATACTGTACACTACTATGTGTTTTTAAATATGTTTCCTTAAAAGTGTCAGGATCCTTTTTTCAGGTGAACAGTCTGACTAGTTGTTTTACACACTACATCATGTAACAGTTCTGGTACTGCATGCTCTCTACATCACAATCCCCAGCCGTTCTTACCTCCATCTTTCCAATAGAAAAGGGAGACAAAAATCATCAACATCTCCCATTTTTTACTGTAGAAACCCATTTCATGTTCTATGAAGTGGTCCTTAAAATTACAGAAATGCAATGCTTCTGCATGTCCTGAAAGAAAGTGAAGAAGAAGCAAAGAATATATTTAGAAAAGTGAGTTATATTTAACTGATATTTCGGTACAAGCAGATTTAATGCCTGAAGGTGAAAACCTGTAATGTGTGCTCAAATGTATCCACTACATTCATTGATTTGGTAGTGAAATTGCATTGAGAATGATTATTTATAATATTCTGTTATTAACCGATATTGCTTAAAAAATTGGAAAAATAACAAACACAACCAACCTGTACTGAAAACACTCCTGTTGGTTAGATGGCAGATCTTGAGAAATGGCTTCTTTCTGTGTTATCCGGTTTTAAATTTAAAAGCCCTTCTGTGATGCAAGCAATTTCTAATGATTGATGAGACTGATAACATTTATGATAAACACTACCGCAGAAAAGCATGCACCCGCTAAACAAATGTGATGGTTAAAAGTAGGACAAGACATTTAGTGGCCTTTTATCTTGGTGGAAATAAAAAAAGAAGTTAATCTGAGACTGTGGTATCTGTAAAGGGGTGTAGAGCTATCAATGACTGATCTTATACTGTATATATAAACTTCTTTGAATTCAGAGACAGCAATACAAACTCAGAATTTGTGGGAAACAAATCTGGGCAAGCATTTGCCAGGTGATTTCACAGAAATTTCACAACCTTACTGAGTTTTCTACACTGTCTCTTCCAGTCCTGGTAATTTGCTGGAGGACGCATTAGTTAAGTTCTCAAGAATGGTGCAGGTGTTTTACTTCATACAGCTGCAATGCTTAAAGGTGAAAATTAGAAATTCTAAATTTAGCTGTTGCTTTCCTCAACAGAGTCTGCTAATAGTGTTTTATTTGGTCTAGTAAAAGTGTGTTATTTTCTCTGCTCAGAGTCGTTAAACATTTTTCACTCATATACTGTATTCTTTCATGTTGAATGCCTGAACATTCCTTTTTCACGATTGCCTCATCTTCCTGGACATTTGACCTACATTTTGCTGCACTCAGTGCACGTTGAAACTTTAGAAACTGAGTACATTGAGTGATTTTTAGGTTAGCGTTTTTACTGGTGTCCTAATTTTGTGTGCTCCTTCTGTTTCACCACAGTAATGTGGTTTGCTGAACCTGTTTTCTGTTTCTGGCTCTTCGACAGGCTTATGAACAGTTTTTTTTTTACACAAGCTCAATGTCTTCAAGACACAACCAAAGTAAAGCTAACTATTTTTTTAATATGTAAATGTGTAGATTATTTTGGTGTTTTACATAAAAAGAACATTTTACCTAAATACAGATACACAATCACTTAGGTACAGTATATGTACCTTCAATCTTCATCCTGAAGGACACCTGAATCTGCTGGTTTTCCTTCCATCTAAAGTCTCATTTATCTCATAGGCTCCTTTATTAAGTCAATACATTTTTTGACCACAAAGTAGCAGCGTAAAACAGTATCATTGGCTGAGACCCAAGTAAGGAGCCTGAAACAATGAGGGGAAATAATGAATAGTAAACCTCATAAAATGCTGTCTATTCAAAGGTTGCATCTTAACCCATAACATTAAGTAATTGTTCCAACTGAAAAAAGCCCGCAAATTTCTCTGTTTAAGCAAATAACTGTCACCAACTAAACTGGGAACTGAACATTAATAAAATCTATTTATAACAGGTATCCTCCATTTAAACAGATGGAAACTCCTACATTACTATGTTTCCTTAAATTATTGTTTGCCCTAATTAATTACTCTTTAAGTTGAAATACGTTTGAGAAGAAAGTAATTTAAGCATGATTAGCCAAAAGCATCTGTTTTCATTACAATCCTTGTCTGAATGTATCAAAAGGTATACCTGAGACTAAAGAATGTCTGTATGGGAAATATCACATTCAAGAAAAAATATTACTATAATAGATGGATTAAACTTTCATACACATAAGAGGTGACAATATTTACTGTTAGAGTAATTTCACATTAAAAAAACTGTAAATATGGATTAAATATTATGTTTTTATTATCCCAACCTTCCAGTAGTGGCATAAGACAGTAAAATTTGGCTCAGATCCAAGTAGGAAACCCAAAACAATGTGGGAAAATATGAATAGTAAACCTACATAAAATGTTGTCCGTTCAAAGGTTATGTCTTGACCCATAACATCAAGTAATTGAGTATCTCCTAAACAGATTCATAAACCAAGTGGAAGTATCTGCTTTCTCTAACACATCCTGTAAGAGAAGGAGGTGTCAAGGAAAAAAATAAAAGCAATGTTATAAGGATTATACTGGATTGCTTGACATAAAAGACATTAAAATCCATGAACATTTGAACACAACTTGACGATTACTAAAATACCATTAAGAATGACCTCTGGCAATCAAGGCACTTTTACACGTCTACAAAGGAATGCTTGTGCATTTTCCACAAAATGCAAATATAAAAAAACTTGAAGACCATAGAAGAACTGTTCTTGACGATCACTCATAAGAACATTAAATGCTTAGAAAATGTTAAGAAATACCAACTACCAGTTAAAAGGTACTTAAAAAGTTCTTCTGTGACCAAAAGAAGAAATTCTATATAGAGTCTGTAGAGAGACAAAGGGAGTGCAAGAGAAATTAAACATATATGAATAAAGAAAATAAGACGTCAGTTTCAGAACACCTGTTACATTTTATTCAGAGGTAAAAGAACTAATATTCTGGACACACACTGGTTTCTCTCACCTCAGCAGTTGTTTTTCTTACAATATGCTTCATCCCCTCTGTCTTCTGTAATGGAGAACATGTGTCTGAAGCCTCCTCAAGGGGAGGCTGCTACTTTGTAACTTGCCCTAGATTTCTGATTTCATTACAGTCATTTTGCATTTAGTGCTTTTTAACTGTGAAGGGAGAACCCCATCAGGTCTTTGAGCTGACTGAAAAGAAACTTTAGGTTTCAGGCACTTTTTGGTAGCAGAGAAAATTCTCATGGGCTGAAATCATTAATAAATACCAACAGTTTCTACTATCATGTGTTAGTGATTAAATTTATGAAGCAACTACACTTTTCAGCAAGAAAAAATAGCATGTCATGATGGGATTACAAAAAGTAAGAATTAAAAAAGAAAATTACTTTTTTCTTGTTTTTGTCATCTACTAAATTACTTCTAATTTTTAGAATTTTTATGAAAGTGAGGGGTGGGTTGGATAATGATTTATCATCACCACTACTGTGTTTTTCACACCTTTCAAAATCTGTTGGGGGACAATAACCTCAGTGAATCAAAATCTCTGAACCACAGAGTTTTGTAACTAGCTACATGTAAATTTACTCTGAATCATTGGAGTGTATCCTAACACATAGTTCTTTTTAAACATGTTTGTTGTTTTACATTCATTCATAAAAGTCTTGTCCTCCTATTTCAGCTTATTTGCAATTAAAAAATACCTATTTAGATTTTTATACAGCCACTCTAGGTCACCACTCAATGCAGTGCAGAGAAAGGAGAGTTGTGTAGTGGCGATATGGTGAAAAAATAATTATAATGTTCCCTGATATACTGAGCTGGTCTCCTTGACCTGCCATTTACTACTTAGTTTATGATTTCATTACTATATTTGGATATCATTCATATAGGCATATTTGTAGCCCCTACTCAAGGAAAGTTAAGGTTTAGCTCTCCTTTGTCTTGAACTGAACTGAATGGAGATCAAAATGGTAAGTGGATGTAAAAAAAAGTCTGTATAGAGACTATAGAGATGACTGTATAATGACAAAAAAAAACATGATTAAGATGCATAATGATATCCTAATAGATCCAGAAATTATCTTTTAAAATTTAATGCAGCTCTGTCTTTTTTGTACTCCCACACTTTATAATAAAACCTATATGAGTAATCTAACTGCTTTTTAAGTGCCTATGATGGGCTCACAATGTTATAAAATAAATCCGAAATAAACAGAAATGGTCAACATTCCCTAATTACAGTATATCCAGCAAATTAGTAGGTACTAGCATTAGATCTGACGTATCACTGTAGCTTATTTTAATACTAATCAGGAATGACAACTGAATATTTGAAGAGCTGTAGCTTTAAAAAATATGTGAATATATGCTGGACTACTAAAGTGTGTCAGCAGAGATGCTTTAAATACATTTTAAAAAATGTAATTATTTTCTACCACATTATAGTTTCTTTCACAACAGTTTGTTTGGGAGACTAAAAAATTGTGCCTAAACTCCAAAGGTCATCATTTAAATGAAATAAAATGAAAGAAAAACCATAGGAAAAGTGACTAAAGCAGGTCTTTGATCTCTCCTCTCACACATGACTTCCTGTGCCCGGAAAAACTGTCAACCAAAAGAAAAGAGGTTTATACCCTGATTTGATGTGGCTAAGACCTAATAATATGCTAACAGTTGCTCAATGCTAGAATTTGAAATGCAGAAAAATAGAAACTGTGTAAAAGCAAACGACTCATTTTAACACACAATCTTCACTTCTAAAGACAAACAGTTAAGTGTATCAGAATTATAAATGTATGAAAACAGACTTCAAGGCAAACTTCCATTTCTCTGTAAAACAGTAAATGACAAAACTTTTCAAAACTATAGATAGTTTAGATGTTAGTAAAAAGTTTCATATTTCCCTTCCTTTGCTTTAAAAATATGTAACCTTTTGTATAATGTACTTGTACAGGAATGCACTAAGCACAATCTTTTGTCCTTAATGTGCCAAGATATGTTCAAATAGAAAGTTATTTCCATGTGTTTAACCTTTTCATGTAGTCATATTATGAAATGAAAATGTCATACATGTTATTATGTTTACAGACTGGGTTTTTTATTCTTTAGACATTTATGGGTGAAGTTAAGTACATACCTGCAAAAGGTTTTCCATTATTTTCATGTGTGTTTCATGGTTGCACCTTTCTCAAGCATGATTCACCCAGATCTAAAGAAGGATAGTATTAGGAAAATGTATTCACTAATTTCGTATGTATTATATACATGGTTCAAAATATTATAATCATATTCAATTATTCAATTCATATGCTATATTTTTATGTTTATTAAAACGTTCTATTTATTCTACTAGTGATCAACTTTTGGGTTCAGATCTGCAATGCGTTGAAAAATCCAGAATGCTTGAGAACAAAACATAAAACTAACTTCAACTCAAGCAAGGATGTGAAGTTAAAATTTCAATCAAAGTTAAATCCTGTTTTAGTCTAAAAATATATACTGCATTTTCGCTGTACACATTTCCATCTGCTATGCAAAGAAATAAAATATATTTTAATGTTGCATAATCATTTTGAAATAAATATAAGAAGTTTACAATTGTTCTAATTTGATGCTGTCAGATCTTTAGCTTTATTCACGTTCTTTATGTGTATATTTATGTCTTGTCTGTATAGCCTTTTAAAATAATAAAATAATAAAATATTTTTCATTTTGAATTTATAGCACATAAACGTATGCTGTGTAATACAGATGTTTTAATGGTGTTTTACAGTTTTATCATCATTGTGTTAACTGCTTTCATTCGCTCAATATGTGGAAATAAGACCAAACTAAATTTGATTATGTTTTTTTAGGCTGTTACATAGATACAGTCCAGCCAAAAATTCAGCAAAAGACATCAAGTTGTAGGTCTTTTTGAAATAAACAAAATGCTCTGTTTTCCTCACAATGAAATCCCAAATAAATATTTTTAAAACTAAGATAAAATATATACATTTCTTGCAACAATGAACAATGGATTGTTGTGTAGTGGCTAGTGCTGCTGCTTTCCAGCTCTTGGGACCTGAGTTTGATTCCTGCCTGGGATGCTTTTGGTGAAAAGTTTGCGTGTTCTCCCCATGCCTGTGTTGGCTTTTCTCTAGACACTTAGGTTTCTACAAACTTTCTGAAGTCATGCTGGCTAGGTAAATCAGTTTCTGTGAATTGTGCTTGTGTGTGGTCCCTTTGGTGGACACCTTGGTGCCCTGTGACTGAGCAATATTATTAAAATAATGAATATTGTAACACTTCAGTGTTCACGTGGGTGCCCTCGCCGCTGCCGCATCAGGTCGGCCCCCCACCGTCGGGGACTCAAACCCAGCCCTCCGGCGTCACTCAACAGGGACCCAGCCTCTTGAGCCAAAGGGAAATCTCCTGTCAACCCGGCGGCTGTGGTCCCTACTATTCACAGGGAAGGGCAGTGACGTCACCGCTCTGGTAAGCCGGCTCTCACAAAACAATGGTGGCCGTGTGTGTCACCATATAAATAAAAAAAATTAATACAACTGAAAGGGTCATAGAAAACAATTTGTGAAATTTGTGAAAGAAAAAAGAAAATAGTAGTCTTGCTCACTTTAGAATCCCGATTTCTTGCAAGGAAGAAATATCAACTCCAAAGTCTTTATATTTGCAGTATTGGTAAAATTGGTAAGCCCACATCAAAACGTCTTACTGGAATTTAACACCTATTTCAAAAGTAGGTTATCTGAAGTACATTTTTTATGAAATTGTGTTGGTATCATTGGTGTGAGAGTGTTAACCCTAAGTATAAAGGTCTCGCCACAAATGGCAATCATTATGAGAAGTGTAAAAGTTCTGAGGTTAGTCGACCTCAATTTTTCAGTCGCATGCACTCATTAGAAAACAATCAGGCCACGAACAGGAAAGAGTAAAAATGGCTTTAAATGTTTCTTTTAATAAAATGCTGTTTAACTGTTATGTTTGTAAAGCCTCAGTAAATTGATTAGTAGAAGCCATACTGATATCTCAAAATAATCTGAATTGTAGGCTAAATGACGTACAGTAAGCACCATAATTAAATTGCTGAATAGTCAGCAAACCGACTCCTACAGAGCTGCAGAAATTTGAATTGACCAGCTAACTTTCAAAGTATTGCTCTTGTTTTCTCAACAGCTGCTTATTAGCGTGATCTGTAACAAATGTAAAGGAAATATTAGTGCTGTATAAGTACGTTTTTACAAAAAATGTAATATATTTAGTAAATTAGTAATTAATGATTCGGAGATAAGCAAGCAAAACACAAGAGAGGCAGAGGTAAATAAGTTCATACTTAATGCCTTAAATTAGGCAGTTTCTTTCACTGCACGCACATTTTTGTTTCATGTTCACTGTAATTGTTTTTACGATCTTCGGTATTGTTACTTTTGCTCTTACTGCAATCAAATAAAAGGACGATAAAAGTTACTGTCTCAAGAAGCCTCTCGTGAGTATAGTAAGGTACAGTGTATCACTTGACAGAAAGATCAAGACTCAAACTTTGCTACCAGCTGTTTATATAAAACTCATGTCAGTTTTGATGGAAGGTCAACAAAATCAAATGTGTTGTATAATGATTTATCAGGATACAATATCGTGACTATCGTTCTCCATTTGTGCGCGAGACAAGGAATTTTAATGTAATGCTCTACAACATCGTGAAAAATAATGTTTGTTGAATTGCTCGTTAAATATTTGTATTTCGCAATTTAACAATAACATATGTAACAAACATTTGCGCTCTAAATCCGGCGAGGTTATACATTGTTAATACTTGTAAGGTTGACAGTTTAGCAACATCTGATGTTTAAACAGGCTCTGTTTGGCTAGTTTCTGTTTTGTTGTGGCAAGAAAGTAACCGATTGCTTTTGCGCCAGTAACATTCCATAATTATTGTAGATATAAGAACATGTTCAGGTGGGTATCTGCGTCAGCATGCGTAGGCTGCAAAGGAACAAGTAATACTGTAGGTTTATTGCATGCTGAAAAGAGAAGAAAGAAAACACAACGTTTTGGACGTGGAGCCTTCTTCAGGTGTCATATAAGATATAAGAACATGCTATGATCATTTTCGCATTTGAACGTGATCTAGACTTTAACTCCCCGGCAACTTTTACGCCACGCCTGTTTTTACACAATGGCTGGTGTTGATGTTTCCATGGTAAGCAATGACGCTTTCCCTCGTACCGGAGCTCATGTTCATGTCTGCGTCAGGACTGCTGAGCCGGAGGTGCTGTTAAAAATTGACAAACGCGTGTTGGTTTTCAGTTCCTCATCAAATTATTTTGTTGCTCATCTCGCTCATCTCGCGAAATGTAACTATTTTCTCTGTAACCTGGGCCACAACACTGCTATGTAATGTAGGCGACCAACGATCAAATCAGAACAGCAAGAAAAGCCTTCTGTTTACCAAAGAAACGGGGACTTGCAGAAATTCTCTTGGGGGTAAGCATTACTACAGTGGTGTGTGTGGGCGAAGAAGTACGTTCTAGTCTTCATTTAATGTTCATTATTATTTTTCTATTATTATTATTTTGTTGTTGTTGAAGTTATATCAGAAAGTAAAAACGTTCGAATTATCTTTAAACCAATAGTTCCAAACCTTTATGCACCAATGGAACTGTATTTGTTTGCTTTAATTGATCTGTTTGATTATTTAGACTGTTTATTGATGTCTGCAAAACAATTTAGTAAAACTCAATATTCTGGTGTTAGAAAGTGTGTTGAAAAATTACCTTCTTACTGTGTAACATTGTTAGCAAATGTATGAAAGCTAAACCTTAACTAGTGTTAACCGGTAATTGATTCCTGTCCTTTTCGCTGCTTGTAGGCTAATTATCATGTCATTTTTCTCTGCCAATAAGAACTAACAGTACAAATGCTTTGTAATTATAGATGGGTGCTACAGTCTTCAATCATTAGAAAAGGATCTCTGACAGCTTTGAGTTTCCATGGAAAATTAAGACAATACAATACAAAACAATCAGGAGGACTCTTTGTTCAAAATAACCAGCGTTACCTGTTGAAAAGAATCTGATTTGCTTAAAGCAAGGACATGTTAAAAACGTATTGAAAATATTAGATTTAATACTTGCATATGCACACACATATATGTATGCTCATATGAATACATATTTGTGTGTACAGTGCAGGAATAAGTGTGCACTTTTCATCTGTGTTTTATTTTTTTACACAGCTAAAAAATGACAAGCAGATTGCTAGCATCTTTTAATGTCCTGGACAGCTGCTCTGAGAAGATCTTGAAAAAGCATGCTAGGGTATGTTTAAACATCTGACTAAAAGCTAGACATGAGATCAATTAAAAAACAAAGAATAAAGTCTTTATAATGTGATAAATGTTGATAATGCCATTAATCAGACCATTAGATAGCTTGATTAACAATTATTCCGTGGAATATACAGTAAATCAAATTATTTTGCACTGTCCATCCCTAATTATGTTAACAGCCTACACAATATAATTTACTTAAAAATTATAGTCATAAGAATGATATTTATGACATTTACTGATGATGGAGAAAATTCTGATATATTTCACATAACTTAATCCAGGTTAACAGAAGAATATAGTTCTTCTATTTGGATTTTATTTTGGATATAATCTGTTAGGATTAAAATGCATCTAACAGATTGCCTGCTGTTAAAAAAGGAAAGAGGAAGTAGTTTGGTATCTGTTCAGGTAAGTAGAAAATAAACTGTAGAATAGTCTGTAAAGAACAATCGCTTAATAAAAATGTTTTTTGATTCCTTCAGAGCCGACAATTGGGTGATACTCCAAGAAAAAGATTTACTGATTGTCTTGAAACCTCATATTTGCCATTAAGCAGTGAAAGTGAGTGGGTCTATGACCTGCCTAGCACAAGAAGAACTGAAATCTCGAAACCTAAATCAACTAAAGAAATTATAAATGAGGAACAAAGACTCATTCATAAGAAAATAAGGTAAATCTGTCATGACGCATTATAAAATGTTGCAACCTGGAAATGCACAATACAGTATATTTACAAAAATATACATGCTATTCAAATCTTAAATTCTTAATCCTGTATTAGAACAAAATTTCTTTCTTTGTGAAGGGAATTTAGAGGAATATACAGTACAAGACATTGTCTCTGAGAAACCTTGCAGTGACTTTCCATGGGGAATTACTGTATGTATCAACAGTCAAAAGACTGTAATCTCTTCTTTAGTGGAAAGCATTCATATACACGCTGCATGTATAATTAAATTTGAAGTTCAGTTTTTGAACTATAATTTTAAGAAAAGCAGATACATGTAATCATAGATCAACAGACAAATGAGAGTCCTTTTACCATGTTAATGGAAAACAAATATCTGATATCTCTTTGCATTATAAAGGACGATTTTTAAACAGCTAATTCATATTTTTGAAGCCTATGGGGTGACATTCTTACATAGAAAATTCCTCTTAAAAACAATAAGCAGTTACAGATGTTACACACCAGATTCTACACAATATGTTAAGTCTGAAAGACACAGATAAGGAGGCTTGGGTTTGTTCATAATTTATTGAAACTCATCAAGTAACAGGTGCTGTGCCATCCCTTTTATATGTATGTTTAAATAATGTCCAAGCTGAAGTATAAGAATCAGTGCCTGCGTCAATTATGTAAATTAAAATGAACTTCACAACTCCGTCTTTCACATTTATTGCCCTTTGTATCTTTCAGCTCAGCAAGAACTATTAGACCTGTTTCTGCCCTTAAAAGGGCACCCAGGCTAGAGCACAGCGGCAAACCCCACATCAGACCATTCACCTGCCCTGAGGACCTCGCCTGGAGAGCAGCATACTGGAAAAGTGAGTTAGTGGAAGGAAAGTAGGTGTGAAACCTACACATGTTCATCTTTTGGTGAAAAGATTAGAAGCATGTTTATTTGTAAATTATTTGTTTGTAAATTATTGTATGATCTTATCATTCAATTTAACATAGTGGCGCAGTGGTTAGCATTGCTACTGTGCAGCACTGGGGCACTGGGTTCAGTTCTGAACCTGGGGTGCTGTCTGTGTGGTGTCTGAATGTTCTCCCCATGTTCAGGTGGGATTCGTCCGGGAGCTCCAGTTTCCTTCCGCAGTCAGGTAGATGAGTCTACTGTCATGCCACAAATTTTAGAGGTGTAGGACCCCATGCGGTTTCCAAGCCGGGGGTTTAAAGGTGAAGAGAAGGGAGAGAGAAAGAAAGCCGAGTGTGAAAATCAGATCCAAAGTCGTAGTCGTTTAAACTGCACAGGTCAGTTGGCCAGGAGACCAAAAAACTATCTGCACAAAGAGAAAAGGAAGATACAAGCAGAAGCTTCTCTGTATGACCCATCACTGAGCATAGTGAAGAAGGTAAAGAACTCTTAAGTATTCTGGAAATCTAGGGGTGTGGTAGTAATCGAGAAGTGCAATAGGATAATTAATTTAGACGGCGTCTAAAGAATTGGCAGGTGATGGTTCTGATTGTCGGAGGCTGTGTCAATTTGGCGGCGGCGTTTACTCTGATTAACAAGAGCCGTGACACTTACCTAACTGGGAAAACTGGCCCTGTTGTGAGTGTGTGTTTCTCTGTGTTTGTGCCTGTGTGTGACCTGCAATGGACTGGCATGCAGTCCAGGGTGGACCCAGCTTTGTGCCCATTGCTTGCCTGGATAGGCTCCAGCTCCTCCCTTGTAACCCTGTGGATAAAGTGGTTAAAAAATTGATGGATGGGTTTTTTTCATTTATATATACTTTATTTGTGTTTCCAACAACATTCACCGAAAATGTTTTCCAAACAACAGCAGAAGATAATCTTTGAATTAATTGCTCCTCTCCAGGATTTTCTTAAATACTGCCAATGTTATGAATGACAGAGTTAATTTAATTTTTGAAGCTCTGTAGGATTGTATATCTTTTACACAGTGCCCCAGGGTTTTTAGATAATTCACAAACACCATTTATATTTTCTTTTTCACTTATTACAGTGTCCAAGTAACATTTTCAGATTAAAAAAATATTTTGAGATACTAGCTATCACTAATTATGTTGATAGGGCAATGAAAGGAGTTTGGTGCAGACTGAATCATCATTACTCCAGACTTATTTTCAAAGTGAAGGCTATAAGTAAAAAAAACAACACCCATCCACTCAGTAACATGATTCAGTGACGTGTGGAACCTTTTTTAGCAGGAATAATGAAGTAAACTTTTCCTGTAACAGTTTATCAGACTCTCACATGCCCTGGGAGTAATTCTGTCCCACTTCTCCTTCCAAAACGGCTTCAAGTCAGTGATGTTTGAGGGCATTCGTTTATGCACAGCTCTCTTTAGGTCCAATAACAGCATCTCAATGGGGTTGAGATCTGGACTTTGACTTGGCCATTCCAATACCTTGATTCTTTTATTTTTCAGCCATTCAGTTGTAGATTTACTGGTGTGTTTTGGAGCATTGTCCTTTTGCATGATCCACTTTTGGCTAAGCTTTAGCCTGTGGACAGATGTGGAGAGATGGTATCACATTTTCCTCTAGAATGTGCTGGTATAGAGAAAAATGTATGATGGACACAATGATTGTGAGGCATCCAAGTCCTGCGGTTACAAAGCAGACCCAAATTATTACCACATATCAACCGTCAAGCCACGATGCTTGACGGTTAATATGAGGTTCTTGTGGTAGTACACAGTGTTTGGTTTTCATCAAACATGCCATTCTGCATTACAGCCACACAACTCCACTTTGGTCTCATCTGTCCAGAGAACATTGTTCCAGAAGTGATACAATTCATTCAGGTGCTGTTTTGCAAACCTAAGGTGTGCAGTAATTTTCTTTTTGGAGAGAAGGGGTTATCTCCTGGATACATTCTACAAAAGTTGTTCTTGTTCAGTCTTTTCCTAAAGGTGAAATCATGAACTCCAATATTTATTTTCTGGGCTGCCCACACTTGGGTAGACTGGCAACTGTCTTGAACTTTCTCCATTTGTAAATTATCTTTCTTGCTGTGGAATGATAAGACTTCATATTGTTTAGAAATGTATTTTTTAACCTTTCCCAGACAGATGAGCAGCAACGATTCTTTGTCTGAGATCATCACAGATATCTTTTTACCTAGGCATCATGACTGTTACCACAAACCTGAAAGCTGCAGACTGAAAAAGTTACTGATTTTATATACAGTTTGAAGTATTTCCTGATGACTAAATATTTATGTGCAGTTGTTTAGCAGCACCTGATTCTAATACCTTCTTATCTGATATTGAAGCAGTACTTTTTCACACATCTGATTTTTGGCTGATTTTTTTATTCAATGACAAACTAAAATTTGTGTGTGTTATTTGTCAGATAAGGTTAGATTTATTTACTGTAAGGACTCGATGAGGACTACACTTTTCTATACAGTATTGCTCTTTCTTTGCAGGCAAAGAGAAGAATACCGAAGAAGGATTCATGATTATTACAATTAAAACATCACAGTCCTTAAAATCAGGAAAGAACACAGCACGGAGAATCAAATGGTCAAGAGAGGTAATCCATATTAAGAAGTTATTTAAGTTATATTAAATAACTTTACTTTAGAGTATTTAGTAAGATAACACATCATGTTAATACAATGTTCATTACAGCACAATGTAAAAAATACAGACATGTTAAGGTTTATGTGGGTGAAATTACTGTAAATGTACTGATGACTTTGATGATGATGAACATATCCTTAAATTATCTTTCATTTAATCTTTTTCCAGTTTTCTGTTTTCAGTTGTGTCATTGTTTAAGTAATTTAATTGAAAAATAACCTAAGAAGTAATGTTTTTCTTTTTTTGTTCTTAAGGTAGAAAAAGTCCCATGTTTAGATGCATTAAGTAAGCAGAGCAGCCAGGCACTGGTTGGGGGAACTCTTGGCTACACTGACACATCACACTGGTATTCCTTCTCTGCAAACACTAGCCGTGCTGAAGAGACACCTATTAGCGTTTTTACTGGTAAGCCAACACATTTGGACTCCTGAATTATACCACAGGATATTCCAAAATTCTGGATGATAAAGATAATGTAGCCCTACTTCACGCACATTCACTTGTGTACCAAAGATAAAAGATGATCAGGTGAACCATTTAATTATATTCTTCTACAATGAAGAACAGAGCATTCAGCTTTTAGTTCAATGGACAATTCAAACACTCTTATTCATCTGGTGTTTCTTATTAAGCTGATATTTTTCTAAATCCTGAATTCTGAATCCCTTTGTGAAATCATGTTTTTTACGAATGGGCACTAACAGACTTCTGAAATGTATTGTGCATTTTTTATTTGATTTTTACAGGAGAAGATGAAAGTCAATACAGTATTCCTGGGTCAGTTGGAAAATTGGTTGCACAACAATTACAGTATGGAAATGTTGTCCGCGTTGGCATGAATGGAGCATATAGAAGGTAACAGCAGTTTTTGCAAGACTTATATTTACAAATGGCACAGTGATCCACATTCATATAACATCAGAGACTAATATATAACTTATAAAAGGCTACCATGTTCATCGACAATAACATTATAATCGTAGAGATCCTTACATGTTGACGTGCATTGGAATAGGTTTTACTGCTTTTCTCTTTCCATTTTAAGTGCTAGTCTGGAAAAACAGATAGACTGGTGGGTGTAGATTGGATAGATTGAGGGTAAAGGGTATAAAGACCAGTGCAATTAACATGAAAACTATTGGAAGTTCATGTAAAAATATCAAAACTCTTAATGAAAATAGCTAATCGCATAAGACTCCAAATCAGATGTGTTGAAATTACTGGTCATGTATGATTTTTTTTATTTTTCTATATTTAATGAGAATCAGAGAAAATTCAGAAAAGGACACTGAAAGAGAAGAACGTGTTCAAAGTGTGAAACATTCAGCTGCTGAAGTCACATCTGAAGTAGTCCCTCTTAGCATGAAAGATGAACTGGAAAAAAAGACTGCTAGAATACTTTCACCAAAATCCCAGGATATATACTTGCCTCTTCCAGTAAGGTTTTTTCCTTTATCAAAACCTACTTCTTTATTTTCTTTGCATGTCATTGGTTTTATTGCTCATTGTTTTATCATTAGAATTTGTGAAGAGAAATTTTATATACCTTGACTCACTGCACATGTACTGATAAGAATCTGAATATCTTTTTTTTATTTTGCAGATTGTTAGTAAGACATATCCTGTGGTGTATCATCATGATTATCAACATAAACCATTCTGCAGCCAAGGCTTGCACGCTTTTGAGGATAAAGAGTCTTTGCATCAAAGGGCAGAAGGAAGGAAAAATGATAAAAATGAAGTCTATTCTGCTATAGTCCGCATAACCCAGTCGATGCAGGAAGACCACATTATTGGCAAGGCATCACAACGAGAAAGAATGGAAAAGCTTTTTCCTTTGAGACCAGAAACAAACCTGAAAAGGAACAAATCTGGGAAGAATAATGCGAATGTTCAAGTGTTAGCAAATGATGGAAAAAACAAAACATGTCTGGACTTTAAAAATGTCCCTCAAGGGATTACTACTCATAATATCTCAGCCTTATCGCCACGTATTGCTTTGAATAAAGCACCCCAAGGTCTTATCAGTGCATCAAAGTTTAAGAACTCCTCTAATGCTAGTGTAGGTCCAATACAGAATGGAGTAAATCCAAAACAGCCTCTTGAATTTAATGACTTGTCCACAGACTTTTTAAAAGGGGTGGAAATGATGGTAAAAACAAATTCAACCAGTGGTGGAAACCAGACAGCTTCAGTTTTACAAAAAAACATAAGTGCATACCAGGAGAGCAAGAACTACATAAACTTTACAAAGCCACTCAGATATAACAAGAATGAAACCATTCTTACCAATCAGCTTTCTCTTATGGAAATGTGCCAATCAGCACATACTTTACTACCAGAGACCTTTATTATGTCAGAAAGCACGGGTGCATATGAGATTAATTTTCTTCAGTCAAGGCCAAACAGCAGCACAGAGTACACAGGGAAATTCCAAGAGCAGTGTCCTGCAAGAAAAGGATCACCAGAAGGCAACGTTTCCCCAATACCTTCGAAGACAGATGTAACAGAGATCTGCACAGAGGTCACTAACAGCATTGGGAGGCCCAGTTCAGATCCTCAGGATGAAAACAAACCAGATCAAGTTCCTGAAGAAGAAATTAAGCCTCATACGAAGCTTCCATCTTCCGTTGACTCACACCAAGTTATCAGCATTCCTACTGCAGAATGTGACATTCAGAGTGTGTCAGAATGAATCTCTGAAGCTGATGAACTGCGAAAATCTGAGGACACTTGAAATACATTATTATGGTTAACTTTACAAACCCTGCAACACAGCCCTTGGCTCACTCACAAGTAAAGACATAATTTAACATTCTATGTGTGAGGGCTTTTTATTTGTTGTTTTAAAGCAAAATATAAGCACAACACTGTGCAGGATGGATTGTGTGTATCAATTAAATTTAATTTAAACTACAAGCTGTGAACTTTTATTTCTAGCACTTTATTATTCATTTTATTTGTAACGTTTGATACAAATGATAAAAAAGTACATGCAAGTAGGGAACCTAGTTCATCCACATCACTGAAATGCAATTTAGGCGATGGTCATAGGGGGACAGCAAGTTGTGCAAGTCCAAAGTGGCATTTATCCAGTTAATGACAGTGTAATGATATGGTCTTTAATGGCCAATTAATCGGGACCTAAGTTTGTCTCATGCAGAGAACAGCAACTCCCACATCACAGCGTCCCCTCAGTGAAACATTGGCTTAGAAATTCTTGTCGAGAAGATTCCAAGCTACTATTCCAGCTACACGACTTGTAGTTGTAGCAGCAACCTGGCTTTCTTAAGAGTTCTCTAATCGCAATCCGATCAGGGTTCTGAGATCCGAGAAGCAGGGTGCAAGGCAGTAATGTTATGGTGTATTGAACCTGCGTGTATGATTTAACAGCACATTTCTCTAAACAATGTTAAACGGGTTCGACGATTATTTAAATATTAGTGCATTAAATATACAGTATATGTTTTAGATAAGGACAATGAAGAGTACTGTGTCAAATAAAAACCTAATACTTTATTGTTGTCTCCTAATTAATAAATAAAAATCGTGTAAAAAATACCTCTGACCATAGGGAGAAATAATTTTACTTTTTCTTTAGTTTCACAGTCAGAATTCATTATTTCTTCCAATGTAGAGTCTTGCACGCTAAGCACCACAGGATGGAGTGGTTGAGTTCTCATTAAAATAGCAAACCCTCTTACATCACTTCATACGTATGCTTTGCAAGCATGGCGGAAGTTCTGAGACGTCAGCGTGTTCGGGTTAAAGGAGAAGCTCTTACTAAAACCGTTGCAAACAGGGATGAAGGCAAGGGGATGGCGGCCGAAACGCTGACAGTTTTTTTAAAGCTTTTTGCAGCTGGTTTTTACGGACTGAGTTCGTTTTTCATCGTTGTTGTTAACAAAAGCGTCTTGACCAATTATAGGTATGGAGAGCTGGTGTGGCAGCCTTTGTAGCTGCACTTTGAACTGAAGGCTGGGCTTTATACTTTGTTACCTAGTAACTAAATGAGTAATTATTAACTTAGGTGTGTGAAGCATGAATCAATAAGTGGAAGTTTAAGCATTAAGATGATAAATGTTATCTATATTTTTAACCCCAGTCTTGGTTTAACACTTGCTAAATGCATTTTTACAAAATGTTTCTCATTTCCTCTTTATTGTTTTGTCAGATATTAGACTGTGACAGAAACATCTAATTTTACAACAGCATTCCAAAGAATTGCTTACAGTTGCTGTTTTTTCTTTATTTCTGAGTAGTATAACGTCATTTCATATATTTTGATCAACAGGCATCAGTGTCTTTTTAGATATATAATCGTATAAAAGTTAGAAATGTAATGTCGAATATTAAGGAATTATTTACGTATACAGTTTAATGTACCGCCTTTGAGTGCTTAAAGTTAGTCCGTTTGCGTAGCTATGTTGTATTTTTAAAACGTTACGCTTTTTGACGAAGATAAACAGGTAATACTGTCTCCAGGAGTTAGTCGTTTGGTATTCCGTAAAACGTACGTTACTTAAAGTTGTATTCAATAAGAAACTCATAAATGTATCATACTGTAGCAAAATTCGTACCCTTAAAGGGTACGCTAATGTTTTGACTATGTAGACGTTCAAGCTTTTTTTTTTATTTCTAGATTCCCATCGTCAATATGTGTTGGGCTCGGTCAGGTAAGTGCACTTTTCTGCTGCAGAATTTTCTCAAGAAAACCAGGTCTGTTCATAGTACAGTACGGTTTTGTGCTCTCTCTGCAGATGTTGGCAACAGTGGTTGTGCTGTGGGTGGGAAAGGCACTCAGGGTAATCAACTTCCCAGATATGGATAAAAATATACCTCGCAAGGTGAGCTATTAAATTATATTGTACTTCCTGAAAACTCTTTCTCTCAGAAAAAGAAATACTTCTGAAGCCTGTAATTTCTGAGATCTATATAAAGAACTCTTCCATTGTAGAAGAGTTGACTTAGGAGATGGGTTTTCTAAATTTATGATTGAAAGATCTCACGAAAAAGGATCCCATTTTTTCTTGTGGTAGCTTATTTGTGCCCTTTATCGTTTCAGTTTACAGTTTTAAATCAGCATAGTTTACTGTTAGGCAGTTTGTGATGAGGCTGAAGCTGAAGGAGGCACACATTAGTCTCTCTACTCATAACTCACAGCCTGAAGAGAAAGGGAGCTTTGTTGATCTGGATTCTGCAGTGTCATGCTTAGCAGAAATTGCACAGAGAAGTTATAGTCCGGGTGAAGAAACCACACAGACCTTTTCAGTTTTGTATATTTTATGTAAAGGTGTTTCTGTTTCTTAGAGCAAATTCAATCTCATTTCAAATCCTTATTCCAATGTAGAACTAGTCACCCTGCTCTGGTTTGGGCAAGATCATGTTGTAAGTCTCACTGCAACATGTAGTGTGTTAACACGTTGAAACACCTTTTTTTCATTTCCACAGATCACTCCATTGTTTACATCCCTTTTTAGTCACTGTTAAGAGGCAATTGTGGTGTTAACTGTTTGCATACATGTAAATAATTGGTGCCCATGAGCTGTATCTATGTCCTGCTGTGAAAGAGAGGACAGTATTTTCTACTGGAATGTTTTTAGTAGGATTTATTGTGGTTGTGTTTATCAGTGTTTTAGCAGATACCTTTATCAAAGGTGATTTCCATTGAAAACAACCAGTAATCTTACAAACAAACTTACAAAACACAATAACACAGTGCAGAAACACATACTACAAAGTAATCTAAAGAAAAGTAAATGAAATACAATAATTTGCCATATAACATTTTTTACCTTTTACAGTTAGGAAATCTTAATTTGGTGATATTGTTTCTGGCAGTTTGTCAAATAAGATTAACAAACTGTATAATCAAGTACTACTACACTCCTAACCGTAATCTGCAAAGGACAAGGGGGATATTGAACCAACAATTGATATAAACGTCTGTTCACTCTATTCAAATTGTACAATTTTAAACATACGGCCCTTTAGAAGACATTTTGTGAACTTTTTTTTGTAAAAGATAACATCCAGTTATTCATTGTAGCATCTGCAAGAATGATGAGCATTTGTTTCTCAGTATCATTCATCTTGAAGATTAAGGTTCCTTATAAGTGGCTCTGAGAAATGTACTGTGTTTTCTAAGATACTGATTAATATTATGGATGCAGTAAGATAAGCTATAGCGCAGTTCTCTAATTATCTTTTCTTTTGTTGCAGACTTTTCCTCTACCTCTTCTTTATGTAGGGAATCAAATAACAGGACTGTTTGGAACAAAAAGGCTAAAGTATGATTTTTTGAAAATGCTGTATATATTTATTCCTGCTGTAGAATTTTAGTAAATGATGATCTTATTTTTTAATATGAGATGTCTGTCTTCAGCTGTGATTGATTTATCAATACTGTCATAACTAGATGTTTCAGAGTCTAATGTACCATGTCCTTCCACAGCTTGCCCATGTTCACAGTTCTGAGGAGGTTCTCTATTTTATTTACAATGCTAGCAGAGGGATTCTTATTAAAGTAAGTTTTTCTACTGGCTATTTCTGGCAGTTTATACTTCCTTATAAATGATTTTGGTTTAAATCAAACTCTCTGATAAAATAAGAAGTTATGTACTCTGTTATTGCATTGTGAATAAATCTTTTCTTCTCTCTTTCTTAGAAAAAAATTCTCTCGTCCTGTCCAGCTTACAGTGTTTGCTATGATACTAGGAGCATTTGTTGCGGCCAGGTACGATTTGAATATGACCGTAGAAGTGTGTTCAAAGGTTAACTACAACAAAGCTAGCAGGAGCATAAGTTTTAAGACTGCCATTGAGTGTGTTTTGTATTGTCCTGTATTATAAAAGAAAATGCTAAGTAGTTGTCAAAACCATAATGTTGCTGGTGGTTTAACATTTGCTTGAGAACACTATATAAATTTTACGTAAAATATAAGCTCTTTTTTAAAAGAGCTCTGTATTTAAGCTAATGATTTAGGGGAACTGTACTAATTTTAATGCTGATAATCTTTAGAAACTGAAAGTAAGTAGATATTTCGCAGACAAACCTTTCAAGTCAATCTGGATATTCTTGCTTTTTTAGCACTGATCTTTCTTTCGACCTCCAAGGGTATGTGTTTATTCTGCTTAATGATGTCTTGACTGCAGCAAATGGGGCATATGTGAAGCAAAAATTAGACTCCAAGGTAAGAATTTTGACAGTATGTCATATTTTAAAACATTGTTAGCCAATTGTATTTTTTATTCACATGTCCTGAGATCTTTAGTATTTCCACAAAATGTTATTAAAATGCCTTTAAAGAAAAAAATCCTGTTAAAATATTTATTACAACCACGCAAATACATGATGTTGTCTTGACCAGTAAACATTTTTTAACTTCCGTGGTACCTATGTACTATACTCATTGTAGTTATACTACTTGTAGAGTGAACCTCCAAGATCTCATAAAATTCAGAAAGAAAACTGCTGCATCTTGTGAATCTTGTTTTTTTCCCAATACCATGATGTCCCCAGAGAAACGTTTATGCTGATCATTTACTTTCAGGAAGTTGTTAGTAGAAGGAAAAAAATATTTGCTGTGAGGTGGGTGTAAATTATGCAAGTTTCTTTACAAGATAGTGAAGTTCTGCTACTTCATTTTGAGATTTTAAAGAGAACATAAATATTGCAAGCCCTAAGTAAATGCAACAGATGCTTTGACACAAGTAGAAGCAGTGAATGAAATTGGGGAGGGGGGTCATTAAATATATTTAGAACCCGGGGGAAGATCTCAAAAATAGAAAACTACATTGAAGATGGTGACAGACTCCCAAGTAGCCCATAAAAACAAACGTGTTAATCACTGGCTGGATCCAGGACAGATTCTTGCAAATCGTCCTCTTTTATGTTTAAGATTTTTTAACATTAGTTGCATTAACCAGTTCATTATAATTAAATATTGAAGTAGGCGGGATTTGAATTTGGCATTTCACGTCTTGTACATCCAGTTTCAGATATACGATAGTGAAACTTTACAGAATTTTGTCCTTGAACAGGAATGTTGATTCGGGCTTGTACCACTATGTTTTTGTGTTGCCTGCTTCCTTCTGCTCTGGTATGCAAGTATGCAAGTATTGACAACGGATGTTTGTGGGCCGATTAAACTACTTTCAATATTGTCTTCCTTGTTCCTGGTTCTAACAGTCCAATACATCCTAGAGCTAATCTGTTGCTTGCAAAAAAAGTAAATTGATTACATTAATGTAAAATTTCTAGCATACATTTATTATTGTGTAAACTTTTGCTTTTCAAGAAATCGTGTTTAATAGTTTGTTTTTCTCTCTCTTAGGAGTTGGGGAAATATGGACTACTGTATTACAATGCATTATTTATGATTGTTCCAACCTTGCTGTTTGCACATTTCACTGGGGATATAGAAAAGGTGGGAGATGTTCTTAATTGACTCTCTTGCAGACTTGAGAAATGTTGTTGAGTTATCATATCTTTTGCATTATTAATATATTGGATATTTGCATTCAAATATTTATTTGAAAACTAGATTTTGTATATATAAAAATGTATATTTAAGTTTCAGTTGTAGAAAGTATTTGTAATTCATATTCAGTTGCCCACTGTAAAGGGCAGTTGCAGGACAGCATGTTTAGTGTTTTTAGTTCAAGTAGAAATACTATCAATGAAACTTGTAAGAATACCCACCTGTAAAAGCTGATCAATAACTCTACCTGATCTGCGTTATAGTGTGGCTGCTGGTGTATAATAGTTGCTTAGTGTCGCACACACGGGTATTACGGCAGTTATTAAAGTGTTACCTCTTACATTTAATGTGCTTTGCGATCAATTGCACCATAATTACATCTTTTTTTCTGTGATGATACAGTATATCCATTACCCAGTATTCTAGTAAACGTCCTTCATTTTTCAGTTCACTCAGATTAAAAAAAAATGTTTCTGCATAAACGAGTGAATTTGGAAAGTACCTAAGGATGTCATTCGGTTAAATCGAAATCGAAGTTGCTTACCAGGGTTTTGTCTAAAATTAATTACCTTTGAGCAGCAAGTTAAACAGGCATGAGTTACCTGTTATCATTTGTCATAGACTAGCAAGGATTACACTTAAAGAACATTGCTATCAACTCCTAATAACAGGAAGAGCATACCAGTAGCTGACCCTCTCAATATCTATAGAAACAAGTCATTAATATTAAAATTTCCATTAGACCCACTTTGAGATTATGTGCATAAGGTACAGGAAAATGGGTTGACATGGCATGACATGCATTAGCATAAGGTCAGTATTTCAGAATTTTGTATATACAGGTGTATATATATGACTTGCAAAATGGTTATGTTCAACCTTACATAAGCTGAAATGTATGTAAGTTGGAATGCACTCTTATACAGTACATTATTAACAACTCATTATTATTACAGTCATATAATGCAAAATTACACTATTGCAGTATACTGTACAGTAATACAGTATTATTATAATAAAACTGTATTCTTGCAGAGTGATTGTCGCTTTTATGCAACACTAACGCCTTTCTCATCACTAAAGCAGTTTTCAGCCATGACTAAAAGAGCTATACTGCAAGCCGTGAGAATTATTCTATGGCCAATGCACATGGAAGAACAGATATGAACATGAGGTAGTGCAGAAAAAGGCTTGAGACCATATGCAATTTTTATGTAAAGTTGGATTTATGTGAGTCGGAGAGTACCTGTAATTTAAAATCTCGTCTTCTGAAGTGTTTGACAGTATTGTATTCAGGTATTCATACACTGGTGACCAGAGTTCTATGATTTTTTGGTTACTTGAGTAATGATGATGAATAACTTCATACAGTGCATTACTTTGTAATATGGAAAACCCTCTTAGAGGAATACTTTCCAGGACAAACTCTTCAGGGGCAGACTGAAGCTCAGGCTGCTTCAAGGAAGCTGCCAGGGCACAAGCAATACAAAGCAGCTATTATACCAGCACCTGGAGTTAATGAACGTAAACCCTGGAACTGGCGCTGTAATCTCCTATTACACCAGCTTACTTCATTTATAATATCGTTTTTTCCTTTCTTATAAATTTCTATCGCAGTAGATTGTGCACTGCAATTTCCATCCACAAGACTAAAACATTTAAAATACAGGGCACTATTCAGAAACCTCTCATGACAGTGGCTCAGTTATGTTTTTTTTTTACTTTAAATTCATATAGTTGAAGGTTGCATTGGTTTGTAGTGATTATGTTAATATTTTGCGACAACCTTCTGAACTTATTAATACGTTTTCTGTAAATGTGATATGACACTTTCAAAAAATCCAACGCATATTAAAAGTATGGATTGAAGAAATAAGTTTAAAACTACAGTGGTGGGATAGGTGGCATAAGTAAATGATATTATAGAATTGGCAAATTGATATTTTGGGCAATTATTCTATATTAATTATATATTGTCTATATTAATTATAATTAATTATATTATAAACACAAAATCATCTCACATGTAAGTTCGAATTTGACTGCAAAGTGTTTCTTGGTTGGGTTTTATTTGGATATGCTTTTCATTTACTGTGTGAGCCCGGCCATCATGATTTTTTAAATTATTTAAAAGAATGTGTATGGGTGTGAATAAATTTGACTATTGTGTTTTCTGGTCTTATAATATATACTATATAATGAAAATGAACTTGCTCTGTTCAAGGCTTTTACATTTTTAAGCATGAGAGATTACCCAGTCAGTAAATTTTTAAATGGAGGGCACTGTATGTTTCTTTTTTTCTCTTTTCAGGCGGTGCAGTATGATGGGTGGTCAGATATGCTCTTCGTTTTTCAGTTTGTCCTCTCCTGTGTTATGGGGTGAGTACATGATTGACTCCTCTTATCAAGTGTATTTTGAAAAAGTATTATATGTTTTAAGTGTCATAAAGCTCTTAATTAATTTTTGCTTTTATTTTTGGCAGGTTTATTCTGATGTATTCTACTGTGCTTTGTACACAGTACAATTCAGCACTTACTACTACTATAGTTGGCTGTATAAAGGTATGTTTCCAATTTTAAACTGAAATAAAGACACTTTTGAACATTTACAGTACATGTTTTAAAAAATTGATACTTATCTCTCATACCCCTATTATGGACAGAATTTTGAATTTTGGGTTAAGTTGCTTCAATTGTCTGCCATTTTTTCACTAATGACAACATTAATTGGCAACTTTCCTTTTCTTTCAGAATATTTTAGTAACCTATATTGGGATGGTTTTTGGTGGAGACTACATTTTCTCTTGGACAAACTTCATTGGTTTAAATATCAGGTATGAATCATTTAAAACAATCTACAGTACATTTGTTTCCTTAAAGGCAAACTTAACTACTGCACAAAGCATTCTAAAACAAGCACATTTGCTAGAGATTATGAAATAATGTATTTTATTTTATAGTGAATGCATATCTTTTTGAAAGTGAGAAAGATTAAATAAGTCTGTACTACACCAGTAGCTGTTGTGGCGACCAGTGCTGACTTAGTCAAAGGTAATTGCAATGAAAAGGAAGCTCATCTTCAATTAAAATAAATGAAAATGCAGGTTCAGTCGGGGGAAACTAAGTAAAAGAGTAACATTCAAAAGCTTGAAAGCATCATAAGCTTTCATTTGCTTTAATTTTAAGAATCAGTTTTATTAACATTGTGAAAAATTACCAAATGGAGCTTTATCTTCTCTAAGGGAAGAGCTTAGTACAGGAAAGAAATGATGAAAGAGGCCTCATCTCTAGTGTAAAATATTTCATCATGTGAACATGAGTGATATTGTTTTTTTTCTCTTCTTAAAATTCTAGTACTTAGTCACATCACAGTTGTCACATTTGGCTATCTGTGGTGCACTCCCATTAGGCTAATTCCACCAACCTGCCTGGCAGGAAGAAATATTTATGGGGCTCGTAAATGTCCAGGCCCACAGGATGTTGGATCTTGTAGGGAATACTGTGCTCATTAATTTTTGACATATTAAATGCAATGTTGCAGAAATATTTGCAAGTCTTATGATACAACTTGTAATATCACTACGTGGTAAACAATCCACTGAAAACCAGAAAACTGAATATTTCAGTTTTCTTGGTCTTGCATCTATATATGTTTTTTTCTTTTTTTGGTTACATAATACTCTCATCTAGAAGGGCAGTTGAAATACTAGATAAGCCATTTCAGTAGGAAGCTCTTTTACCACAATTCACCTTGATGTACTTAATTTTTCTTTTGCAGTCAGTAATTTTTTTAAAGTAATTGACAGTTTGGTTTATATTGGTTAGTATAATTAATCCATGTATTAAAAGTAGGATATTTGTTTTTTTTCTTGCACAGAGCTGGGTTAGGGATCGTAATATACTTTAAAGTCAGTTATCAGAATAATAAGACTGTGTTTAGAGTGCTCTATGTTGTATTGATTAGATACTGCCAGTCCTAGCAGCAAATATGATGTGGAAACCACGACAGTGTGTTTTTGTTTCAAAGTATTTGTGGTGTTTAGTCTTGAAAATGGTCTTGTTGCCTAATTTTGATTTACAATTAAAGTTAAAGGGGGAATGCCCCAGTGGAGTAGTGGTCAGTGATGCTGCTCCACAGCTGTTGGGGTCTGGAATCAGTTCTGGGCTGGGACACCTTCTGTGCGTGTGTGTTCTGCCTGGTTGCTTTGTCTGTGTGTGAGTATGTCGACAGTGTCCCAGCCAGTGTGTAGTTGTGCCCTGTGACATGTGCTTCTGGTATAGACTCAAGACTGCAATGACACTTCTAAAGAATAAGCACCATTCTGACTAGTAATGGATGGAATTAAAGCAAAAAGTCAGTGTAGAATTCTTCCTGTTCGTTAATTTTGCTTTGTCTTCCTTTTTTTTCTGTACAGTATTGCTGGGAGCCTGGTTTATTCATATATCACGTTTACAGAAGAACAATCAAGTAAGCAAAGTGAGAGCATCAACAAACTGGAAATCAAAGGGAAAATAGCTGTATGATGGAAAATTAACCAGTTATCAGTTTTCTTTGATTGAATTAATTTGTTTATTTTTGTTTTTAGAATTGTAGCCACATTGGCAAAAACAAAACCAAATCGTATTTTGCAGCTGAAACGGTGTAGTTCATAACACATGGACTTCATAACTCCAGGCTTTGTTTGTGTTAGGTGGTGTTAAAAGACTACACCTTGATATCAAAGTGATAGTGTGTATCACTTTTAATTCATCCTGTACATAATGTCTCAAACAACGTCTAACGTCTCCAGCAAAAAGGATTGTTTCTGAAATCAGCCTGTATGGCTAATAATTCAGTTGGTGTTATAGGTTTTCTGTTTCCTATTGTTGCCCTTTTATTTCACAATTCAATAATTGCCATTATTGAAGTCACATTTTAAATATGCAAGAAAGTTTTTAATTTAGTCATTTTTAAATTTGCTCTGTTCGAACTGTGAACAGATTTTATCCCAAAAATCAAAAGCAGGCATTCTGTCCTATTGGTTAATTCTCTCATTTATGTGTATTCTCCTGGGATCACTTCATATCTTCCAAAGTCCATGGTGCACGTTTTATAAAATACTAAATCATTACCACCTTTTCAGCTGTTACCACATTGCATATTGTTGTTCACATCACAATTTTAATTTAGAATTCTTTTTAACTATAATAATTTTTTTGTGCATAAACTAACCATTTTTTTATGGAGACCTTTTAATTCTGAAAAATGGAGTCTCACAACTGCATTGCCATCTGTTTAATGTTGGAATAACACTTCTCACATAGAAGATGTCTGCCATAATCTATTCCATCCCAAGCACGCTTCACTCCTCTGCATTGTGGGATTAGGCTGGGGATCTATAATTCAGTGAATTGTTCTTTTGGAATTTCCTCAATTTGTGAATCAGTGCTTTCATGGATGTGAAAATATATGAAATCTAGGGATATTGGTAAGTTCCATCTAAATTGTCACATAAATCTGTGTATTCTAGTGCAAAACATTGAAGCAAGAAGTGAGACAGACTGTATGATTGTGGTATAATGTGGTGTGCAATTAAATGTACTCATTTAAAAATAGAAATAAGTACGATCTGCAAATGCACTTTAAAATGTTTTCAAATTAGTTGATAGGCATGGCGAGGTGAAAATGTGCTGCTTTCAAATTTTTATGTTTTATTCCAACAGAATTACCATAATGAAGAGTGGTACATGGTGACTGATATCAGCTGAAAACATTTCTTTTAAAGATTGTTTCAAAAGTATTGTGTTTGAATATTTAAACACTCTTAGAGGTACAGCAGTTGCTTTTAGCAGGAATACCTTGTGATAAAAAGTTGTCGTAAGGGACAACTTGCCATTAATTACAAGTCATGACATTGCTACAAATTTGAGTGGATTCACAGTGTTATTTTTTGCCATTAACATTAGCTATACTGTAAGCAAAATTTCAGTTTTTTTGTCAAAGTGGAAAAACTGCCATTTCTTTTCCGTGATATTTTCCTTTTTTTTTTGCAATCGGCACCTTAAAAGTACTTGTTGGAATGGAAGTCCTCTGTTAATTTCATTTTGTTTTTTGTTTAACATCTTCAGGTCATCTTAACATATATCCAGATATCCTGTTAGTCTGGATAAAATACACTGATCTTTTAACAACATTTCTGAGAGAAATCAAATTCTATATTGATTGTCCATGATAGTATTAGCATTGAAGGGATTTTTTTCTATTAAAATGAGCCACTCAAGTGAGATGACAGGACTAGGTCCTATAACCAAGTTATGGCAGAATTGATAAGGGCATTATTATTGTAATTTAAAAAATGTCAAACTTATATTTCCCTTTTAAGTGCCATAGCATTTTTTATAGGTTTAAACAGTCACATTGGTTACATATTTTCTAAAATAAGGAACTTACTTTAAGCTTAAAGAACACAAATTCAGTGGTAAAGCTATACTGTATAATGTAATATTTGTAAGATCTCTAAATGAACATTTAAACAAATTACACCTCAAGTGTACATAAAAAACTTTTGTATTCCCTTTAAAGGTGGAATATGTTGTTGATTGAGCTGCCAATTATGTATAATATGATCACAATATTTATTCACTCCCCGCCCCTCCCCCTCAGTGTTCATGTTGAAGTACTAACTGTTGAAGTATGTAACTATTGCATGTAAAACTGTTGCAAATTTCTAACATGGTTTATGTAATTTAAATAATTGTTCAAAGTACCAAACAAGTTCAATTAAGCCATTTGAGGAGTGGAAAGGTGAATTTGTCTTCTTTCTGTTTAGTAAAGGTGAGGTCAGCTTGTTTAAAATGTTTGTGTCTGATCTCAGTGCATAACCAGATGCAAATAAATGATGAAGTGCCTGTTCTGTTTCAGAACAGTTGATCCACTACCTTTAGATGGGCAGTTTATTCTGAATAGGAATTGCATATTTTAGAAACCCAGGTGGATTCATGGTGTTATTTTAAACACTAATGCCTTGTAAATACAGTACATTTTCATGAGTCTCATGAATACATTTCTTAATGTAAGTATTCAAAGCAAAGATTACAGTTCTACTGTAAACTAGGAACTGCAGTTTGAACAGTTGACCTGATGAACTGTTGAGTATTATGGTTGTTTATAACTTTTCTATAATCTTTTTATATTCAACAAAAATAGATATCTGTGTAATTGTAAACTTTATAAAGAATGTAATAGATTGTGTATTTTTCATTATTATAGCGGTTTTGAAGTACATAGAGTACTAGTACTAGTTTAGTGCAGGTCTAAAAATGTTATGTTCCATCATCACATCAGTGTTCTATTGTCAGACTGGTATCACAAGTTACAGAATTCAATGGTGAATGCTGTTCCCGTTTTCAAAACATACTTTATAAAGACTGCTGTTCCATGTAACTTGAGCTACCAACCCCAATTCACATGTAAACATAGTACATTGTTTTATCTGCTGTTCAGCATCTCATCTGTTGATTTATCCTAATGTTTTAAGGCAGCTTGGAATGTTCTTTGTGTGAAATCCAAGTTTTCAATGTATTATTTCATCTATTAATGGTTGTGACAACTTATAAAGAGAGAAGTAATGTGATTAAATTTTTGACACGATTGTCACAGTAGTTTTAACCTTAAAGCCATTGTTTTACATTTTTCAAGATGTGTAAAAAAGCAGCAACTCTTCTATTTAAAGCACAAGTTAAGAGTGGTACTTCTGTGAGACTTGTTTTCCTTTGTATACATATTGAATGTATTTACAGAGCTATGTATACTGTGGTGCATACTAGTATGTAGTGTACAGTATTGTTCTAGAAATAGAGGAAAGCCTGTACCATATTCTGAAAATGTTATTTTTAAAACATCTTTGGTGTGAAGCTGTGAAATAAAATGTTTTTTCAACTTCAATGCAACCTAAAAGGTGTGAAGAGTAACTGAAATCCTTGTCCTTTTAACAAATGAAATGTAAGGGGAGGCATTTAAAATGCAACATGAGTAGTAGAACCAATATCATTTATTTTTAATGCCTGTCTTTTTTCAGTTGAATACTCTATCAGAAATTGAATTGACTCATAACCTTAAATTCTAAATGTTAACTCATTTTATGAGCTGCAGAATAAATTTGTAAGTCACTTTCAGTTCTTTTCCCAAAACCTTTAGCTCTCTTACCACTTGAAGAAAACCTGATCCAGGTAAAATTGCTGATGAGGACTTCCTCACTTTTTTGACAGCTTTAAAACATGACACTTAGTCTTTTAAAGTATTTTAAAGGGTATTGATTTAAACCAATTCCCCTAATATATCATTAAATTTGTTTCTACCTCCTATATAAATGATTTGAACTAAATGATGCTTTTAACCTTTAAATAATTATGTACATTTATGCAGGTAAATCAGTGCTGCTCTGACCAAATGAATCTTGCACAATAGGAAGGAAAAATCTTTCAAAATATAGGCCATATAAAAAAATTCCTTTTTTACCATATTTTGGATCATCCATTATTTGATCTGTAACAACCCCCTAGGAGAAAAAAAGCCATAAAACTGCATCAACTTTGCAACAAAATTTGTTTTAATTAACAAGTTGCTTTATGGAAAAAAATGCACAATTCATCAGAAAAAAACCCAGAGTAGAATTATAACTTAAATAAGTCAATGAACATTATTTCAGAGGTAAAGCTTTAAGACAAACTGCATAATTAAAACTCCATTTATGCAAGTTAAAGCAAGAAGTACGAAAAACTATTTCAAGACATCCAGACAGCAGCAAACTAATATAGAACAGTTAAGCTATTTTAGCATACAAATGAGCCAACACAGCCTTAGTATATTACATCATTCTGGCCGTGGAACTAGTGGTGACTGATGAATAGCAACATAATACATGCTAGTTTAACAGCAGCAGCATTTGGATTTGAACTGGAATATGAACACACTGTTGCAGTGATTGGTATCATTTTAGCAGTACTTTCAGAGGAAAGTGAGTGTATTGCACTAAGCTAGTTCTATTTTAGAATGATGTCCCATACAAATACCAATCCAACATTTTATCTTGCAAATCAACTGCAAATTACATTTTGGTTTCATAAAGGAACATATGTGCAAGATCAGTTTTAGGAATAAGGAATGTCAATGAACATGATAGCACAATTAAGGTGTCTAGAAAGCTGGATCCTGAAAATGACAGCCTATCAAGTAAAATAAAATGCCAATAGAGATTCACATCAATATTTAGTATCATTTTTGTCTCTCATAATGAAAGTAAGAACTGTACAAAGTAAGAAAACTATACAAACTTTACAGATCTCAATAAGTACTTTCTAAAAAAACTTTCAAAGTCTACAAAGAATCTGGAAAAATACAGTTTGTATTTCTTCTGCCCAATAATCAGTAATATACAGGACATCACTGATGTCAAGATGATAATATAAACAAACCTTATGGATGCCCACAGGCTTATTTTTTCCTATAAAAACAAGAGGGTCTGTGTAAGGCTTCCAGGAGTTCTAGCTTCTTATTTGCTTTAATGACATGTAGCCCGATTGCTACACTTGTACAAAAAAGTGCAAGATCTTGTGCCTTTAAAGCTCCAGTATCCCTATTTTCAATGCAAGAGATACCTGGTTTGCCAAACAGTGACCTCTTGCATAAAATGGCTTAAGAGCATTTAGTATTATGATATGCTTAATAAAAATATAAATATATTTTCCATATAAAAATATTACCAAGAATTTGTGGTACAAACAGGAAATATTTTAAAATTTAGACAGGTCTTTGAAAGGGCATAATGTAGCTCTCACAGCAACATTACTTATGGATAGAAAACAAAATGTGGGTTGTAGGTACATATTCAATACAATCAAATGATTTCTTCTAGCACTGGTGAACCCTATAGGTCCCGGAAGCCCATCTTTGTATTCGGTTCAGAATTTGGTTTCGCTCTTTGAAAGCCTTATTCAGCAATTTCAGTCATTCTGTTGTAAAGTTTCTTCAGGCTTTACAGGAGTACTGGTCCCTTGCTCAGAAGTGCCAGCATTCTCTATTTCACTGGTCAAATCATTCTCAATCCTCCGTCTTTTCGCAGACTTGTCGTAGCTTTCCTCATGCTTGCCGTTTTCACTTTCTTCGCCAGCAGTGCTTCTGCCGTCGCTCAAAGAGTCCTGTTTGCTACAACCGTTAGTGTCTTTGTCTAAGGCAGGTGGCTCCTGGTTGTGGACAGAAGGTCCGTTGGCCTGTGTCCCTTCACTTTTTACTTCATTTATCCCAGAAGGAAGGTCCCCCACAATATGTGCAACTATTCCTAAAAAAAAATATTACCAAGAGTTTAGTGAATTCAGTCACCTTCATTACTCAAAGTAACACACGCAACAGTGATTAGAAAAGAGGGTAATTGAACAATGGGTTAATGTTGTGAATGAGATCTATATAATGGAAAAAATAACTTTTTCTCTCTTAGATTGCAGGCAGAGAGGTTTAGCAAATACTGGGAAATCTCAAAATGGATTGAATTTCTCTCCCTACAGGGACCTGATTCAAGTTTACGAGAAAATATGCAGTGATATCTTTGTGTGGACTTTTTTGTTGTTTGTTGTACTTCTTATCAAACAATTGTATTCTTTTTGTATGGCTACACACCTGCTGGCATAGCGTAAATATTTCTTTTTATATATACAATGTAACAAAAATGTAAGATGAAGGCAAATGTTTATTCTGGTGTTCTGGTTATGTTCCGTTTGTAAACCCTTTCATCGCTAAATAGAAAGTAAAAAAAGACGGTAATAGTTGTTTCCAATTCAAACCATTCTATTCTCTAGAATGCAGCTCCCACAAATCCCATTAAATGAACTTTACTAAAAGAGACTTTCTGAGAACGGGAAAATATAAATTGACAAAAAAAAAAGGTTTCTTCACATTCCCGTTGGGACTTTTTTCATCCCGACTGGTTTTTAAGAAGGGGTGGAGGCTACGTCCAGGTGTGGCGTTTGGAGGAAGAGGAATGCCGGCTCACCGTTCTGATTGCTGCTGTCATCCCTCTCCGAGTAACTGGTGCTGCTGTTGGAGGTAGTGGGGGGAGGAGAAGCAGCACGGCTTGATGCAGCGCTTTCCGTCTCATCGAGGAGACGATCCATGTAATCTCTGAAAATTCCAAAAGGGGATTACAACTATTTACGTGTACCAGCTGTTCACTGAACGTGAAAGGCTTACGCCCAAAACAACGACACTTGTGATAAGAACATATCTACGTTTCAATTCTTCAACCACAATTTCCACCTCATCAAAACATTTTCATTGCATTTACTGGTAATTGACAATGATTGCGGCTTCGAGATCCATTTAACAGCTATGCATTACAAAATAAGACTACACCAAAAATGCAATACATACATGTGTATCGAACAAGATGGAAAATACTTTATGAGATGTTTAATAAATAAAGGGTATGTATATTTGTCTGCTCTAATTACCAATGGAAATGACTTACGTAACACCTGGATGAAGGTTGTATTTCCTTTTCCCAAGTCTGGTTTGCTGTGCAAAGAAATCATAACGCTCAGATTTCTTCCACATGTAATAAAAGGCCACACATTCTCCTACTGATCTAGTTCTCACCTGAAAAATTTAATTTATCACAAATGAAATTTCTATTAAAAATCAGGGTTATTAAAACATTGAGCTGCATGAAAATATTCATTTAAAAAGAATAAGAATAAATACAGTTTTACCATTTATTGTCACTTGCACATTTACTCATAGCTTTGATCTTTTTCCATATAAAATTGTTAGCTTCACAGAATTTACTTTTTAAGCTTCTTTTATTAAAACCAAAGCTGATAAGGCTAGTGGCATATTCAAATTTGTTTAGGTTCAGAAGCATTCCATTTTCCTTCTGTATAAAAGCATTAATTGTGCCTTTACAAAGACCATATATCGCATTAGGTAAATCTAGAATAAATGCATTATTGCAATGCATTGATCCGCTCTGGACAATTGCTTAAAAGGGAGATGTGCACAAAAACAAGTGAAAAGAGAGAACTGTTAAGTGTTCACTCATGGTCCTGGAGGGCTGCAATATCTTGGGATTTTAACTGTATCCTGGACATATCTTACTGGAATAAGCTGTCTATATAACCACTGATTCCTGTTTACCTAGATTTGAGGATGGTAAAGTTATGTATAAAACCTTAGAGACTGCAGCCATCCAGTTTCTCCAGTGAACATCAGTGTTTACAGAGATTTTACTTAACAATTCAAGAGCCACACTTTAGATTAAACTGAGCAGCTGTTTCATTATGGCAGTTTGTGCACATTTGAAATAAAAAATTGTTAAACTATACATCAACATTACCACCAAGTGATCACACTTGCCTAACTGAATGCAACTGATGAGGTTTATTTGGATTCTGCAAGTTGTGAATGTTAAATAAAGAAAAAGATTAAAAAAGGACAACCCTCTGTGCTAGGCAAGATGCAAAATATTTTTAGTGTTCCTTCAAGGTTTTGATACCATTGGACCATACTACTGGGCTAACAATGCATGATCAGATTTTTGTTCTGAGCAAGACAGTGTAATTCTTCTTAGAATCTTGTGACAAGATTCCTTCTTTAAGGCAACTGCTTAAATTAAAGGGGAACTGCAGCTCCAGTTTCTCAGACAGGTTATGAAATCTCAGTAACAAACCGACATTAGAGAAACAAACAATGCAAATTTTGAATTGAGCAGAAAATTGTGAACATGGTAAAAGTACTGCACGTTGTCGCAAACCCCTGGTCTCGTCATGGGCCAGAGGGAGAGTTCCCACAAACTGTGATGTGAAGTGGCCCTTCCTGCCCACTAGCCACTGTAATGACTAATGTAATGCGATGTAGGAGCGAATACAGGTTGTGTAGTAGGCATTACACCGCAGAAATGTTCCAACATAGAATACAGGTTGTGTAGTAGACATTACACCACAGAAATGTTCCAACATAATCTGCATGCAGAGTTAACGAAGTATTTGCCTGCAAAACTGTCCTGAAATCCAGAACAATATTCCTATTGGATTAAAGAGATGTATTCACAAGCCCACTTGTTTACAGTGTAATAAGGCTGTTTCACATCACCAGAAGTTTTGTCGTCTCATTCTAAATCACAGAACATGATGGTGTGCATAGCTGGAAATTTTATTTTGTGATGTAAATTGAAGGTTTAACAAGTTACTGTTTACAATTTATGGCGGTTTGAAATGCACTCTTCAATACTGATTCTTTCCATCCCACAAATCTAAAAATTGCAGCTCCCCTTTAAGTCTACATTACCTACTTTTAGACAAATCTTGAAATTTTCAACAACTTATAACAGAGGTTTTTATGCATTTTTATAAAAATGTCCGTTGGCTTAAAACGTAAAAAAATCAAAAGAAAAATTACCTTGTTTGCTTGTATCAAATGAAAATCCTTTCCATAGGCTTTAAGTCCTTGTTCAAAGTTCCTACATTCTTCCTCTGTCCAAACAGACAGTTCTTCTAAAGACATAAGAGTAAAATGCTGACTCTTCAAGAAAGGCCATAATCACATTGAAAATACAAGCTTGAAAATACCAATGTCAATTTGAAAGATGTACAATTATACACTGTAATCTATTTCTGTGAAAGAACATACTTCTTGTGTCTACTTCTCAAACCTACAAGCAGATCTTTTTCAGTAAAGAGAGCACCATAACCTTAAAGAATGATTTATGACACCCGAAAATCCAGCATAAAAAATTCCTTACCTCTAGCTGCTTTTACATTAAACCTTAGTCTTCGCAAGGCTTCATCAACATCAAAATTACACTTCACCAACTCATAAAGGGCCTGAAAAAGTAATAAACGACAATAAGGGGAAAAGTGAGGACACCAATTGCTGCATATTCCTTTCAATTACTACATCTTTTTAATCCAATTTAGAAAATTACAAGAAGAAAATTAACCTAATATTTATTTTCTCTGCAGTTGAAATGTATCCATCATAAATAAAAGTTTGAGCAATTCTTCACATAAATGTACATATGATGTCTGATACTACTGTAGACTTGAAGTGCAAATCCTCACATATTTCACTGAAAACACAGAAAGCTGTAAACATAGCAGAGATTTTTACAGATTTGCAAGACATTGTCAGGAAATGTTTCTAGTCAATTTCACATATACACAGCCTGAACACATTTCACAAGAAACAAATGCCCACATCCCTCTTTCAACTGTACCTGTTCATTGTCCTTAATGTGAGATCCTTCAGGAATAGCATCTACTCCCTTTTCTTCACCTGTACGTTTGGAAGCCTCAGCCAAAAACTCAACAACTGCATCTTCAGAAAGGAATTCTGGATTCCACAGTAACTGGTCATCATTCTCATACACTGCATTGAAGAAATAACACAAATTAGACTCACTGAAGATATTTTCCATCAAATTTAAAAAGTAAAAAAGCAGCAACGCTAAGAGTACACAGAGAATAAGAATACAATCAAGTTTACAAATGAGGGCAGACCTTACTCTATAGGGGCTTCCTGAAAGCCAGAGTATAATTTGAACAAGATGGCTGGTAGACTTGTTCCATATTCCCACAATCTTAGGTATAAAAGTAGTAGCTATTTTTCCAGTAAAATACACATCGCCATAAGTTTTCCTTTCTGCCTTCTGGTTTCCCTCACTGATGAAATATACCACAAGACCAAACCTCTTTGATATCTCTGAAATGTGTTTCCTGCTATGTAAGATTTTAAAATTACACTGTCCTATATGACTGTCTCATATAAAATATTGCAGGGGCAGGTTAAGAAATGGAAAAATAAATTGCATATATGCTGGTATCCGTGCTCTAAAGTGCTCGTTCACAATCCAAGTCCTGCCTTTTTTGCCAAATAAAAATAACAAATTCTGTTATTTCAGAACTCCCCTTTCGATAAGATGTGCTGCTTGAAATGCAAACAACCGGACCTTGAGTCGGGTTCAGTTTGTTTTTTACATGTTTTGTGGTACAACATCTTTAACTTCACTTGCTTTAATACACAGCACCAGCTGTATTATACAGAAATACCTTTCTCATTGTCTTTATATTTACAAAGTCCAGATGGTGTTTCAGCCTGGTACATTGACCCAACCATTATCTCCTGAAAAACAGCAATCATACTTGCATCACTTGACATGCACTTTCCATTGTGAAATTTGTGCATTTTCTAAAAGTAAATTATGCACATTAATGCATTCATTCATTATTAAGTTATTTACCTTTTTCCAGTCTTCAGATGGAATATAATCTTCATCTTCCTCTGATTCTTCTTCAGGGTCATTACCTAGGTTAAAAAAAGATTTAGTTAAAATAGAACATGTGCTGGAAGACTGCATCTATTGGAAATGACCGATTTTCTTATTGAAGACAAAGTCTTGTCATTTGAAATAGCTTTAATAGTTGTCATAATGTAGGAAAAAGCAATATTGCATTGAGATTATTTTGCTACATACCTTCAAAATATTTGCATCTGCGTGATCGGATTAATTCTGACGTATCAGGAGAAGTGACCGATGGAGTTTGGTCATCATTTGAGGACTGAGTCTCATCCTCTTGACCAGACGAATCCTTAACCCTCTCATCCTGCATGACAGATAAAGAAGCATTTTTTTTTTAAAAGAAAATTCTGAAAATATGCACTATAGGAGCCAAGGAATGACACAAGGACAAGTCAGTGATTCTGATTTCCATTTTTTGGTACACTATTTGCTGAATAAGGTGAAAAAGACTATATGGCACATAAATATCTATCAGTTTTTCCACTTTTGCTTATCACATTCTGAACATGACCGATATTTGAAAAAGAACAAACTGAACCACACACAGGCTATCTTATGAATTATAAGACAGAAATTTCAGGCAATTTTGAAAGTACTATTTGATAAATGAATACATGATAGTACAGTAAGCTAACCTTATTCCTTTTCAGATCCCCAGTGCTCCCACTGTTCTCATCATTATCTACATCTTCTCCATCCTCCTCCTCCTCCTCCTCCCCTTCTTCTTCTTCTTCATCATCATCCTCCTCCTCCTCCTCCTCATGAGATCCACCACTTCCATAACCATATAAACTCAAAAGGTCCTGTATTGGCATCTCACCTTCCTGTGACAAAACACACACACACCTTCATCAACATGTTCAGGAAACTTTCAGTCCATATAAAAAAAAAATTCACTAACAATATGCTGCTTGCTTTATAAATACAGACACAACATCAGCTTCTCACAGAAAAATCTGATACTCTCTTATGCACTTAAAAAGCAGCTCCCTGCTTTATATTTTCACTAAAACTTTTTAGCTGATCAATTTATTGCTTGCATCACTACTTCAACACCTACTTCAAACGAGTATAATTTACTATCTAGCTGATACTCATGAAAATAGACAAGAAGCAATTTAAAATTCTCCCTCCACCCCACCCAAAGTGGCAAATGCGGAGGTCATTCATGTCTCTTTTTACTTTTGCTGCTCAAAATTAAAAAAGCAATTGAAGACCCACCCGAGCAAGTTCCTCAATTTCAGCACTAAAATTCGTCTCCCCTTCCATTAGTTCTTCTTCTTCAAGGGTTCGTTCATCATCATAATCATGAATGAGCATCTCAGCAGAAGGGTCAAATTCATGGTCATCTGAGCCAGCTGAACCTCCTGACAAAGGACAATCACCCATTTCAAGGAAAAAAAAACACAGTATGAATACTTAAACTGGCACCAGTAAAAATAGTGTCATGCAAACAATTAAGAAAAAGCAAATCAAACATTAGTGGAAGACATCGGATTGAACACAATCTCATGTCAACAACAAAGCAAGAAATTACCTCTGGTCCTCTGGTGCAAAATAAAACTCACTGACAAATTCAACGCCAAAATAAAAAAGGGATATTTACCTGGGCTCGAATTCCCAAAGGAGGGCTACAGAAAACAAAACAAAAACTACGTTAACACCTCAGATAAGCAGGGTTAAAGGTTAGATCTGAAATGAGGAAGCTCTATAAAAAATACTCGTCTACACTCCTTAAAATTTCACAGCACTCCAAAACCATGATTAAGCATCCCGATAATCATTAACTACACACAAAACTCAAAAAAGGAAAGCCGTTTCAATGTTGGTTTTACTACAAATGAAGCCAATATTACGGTACAACAAATTAAATAACATTTTTTACTATAATTCGTTACATAGAGGGCAAAGGGCTAACAATAAACACACCACACTTAGCTGGTAATAAGCATCTGCACAGTATTTGACTTAGACCATTTTATACGATGTTCATTTTAACCGTAGTTCTTTGGCTTATGATATTATCCCCACTGGAAAAGGCATCAATGAAAAATCATCCGACGAACATTTTAGAACTACTATCAAAAAACTGCCGCTTAATTCTTACAAAGCGAATCGCTTCTAAACATACATTAGCTCAAAATGCTCCACAAGAAAAAAAAAACTGAACTGCTAAAACTGGCATAATTGTGTAATAAAAAAACAAAATTAAACTCCTTTCTCTTTGCAATATTTTTCAAAGGTTGTGATGACCAGTATTGTCGCAACAAAAACTAGTTTAGGAGAATATATTCTACTGTTCTGTCAAAATCGCGAGATTTAACGATGATCTTTAAAATATTGTTAATTAACATAATTACAAACCCACCGATGCATAATAAAGAGACAAACGACCACAGACAGCAGTACTTAGCAGGCCTAGTGGATAAAACTGGAAGTTTAAAGGCTCGAAAAGCGCGCCTGAACTACTATAGCTGTACACAAATAAACTGGTAATTACAGCTAAGAATCTTCAAAATCATTTACGGACGCCATTCAAGACATTACAAAGCATCGCCTTACATATCAAAATTGAATACGCCGTTTTTGTGGAGTACCAATTATTTTTTTTAATTAAGAAATTACAGAAGTTTGCAAATAACATATTTAAGACAAAATGCAACAAGTTTGGACATTTTTCTGAGAGATTCGAGACAGCATGAATTTGAAATATATTTTTCAGAGTTTTTATTACTATATTGTTTCCGAGTTTCAACAGTATTAAAATATTACGAAGCAAATCTATTTTACAGAATATTTATATGAGTTTCCTCCTTACCTCCGCCATGTTTGCTATGCTGAGGGTCACATTGCGGGTCATCGCCAGGTCCCGGATGGAGCTTGTTCCGGATCACGTGACTTAGGCTGTCGCTTGCCTTTCGTGTCTTTCAAAGCACTTAATCAAAATAATCAAATCTTTCACACGCATTTAGCACATAATTTAGGTCACCATAACGCTTTCAGTTCCCTTTAAGCAGATGGCCCTTTTGACTTATAAGAAAAATAGCAAAGCAGCTTTTCAAACCCCTGTCTCTGTCGCCCCTTTTTCATGTTGGTAGTTTTCACAGCTGAGCTCTGCAGTATAGTAGCTAACGCGCTGAAGTGTAGGACAGGAGGGAGGAGCGTTTGCAAACTACAATATTTCTTCAGAATTTTTTAGGAGGTTTCAAAAATTTTAACCGTGTATATACCTTTCGCTGTAATCGAACGTCGTTCAACAATAAATAAATGTTTTATTTTTTTCCCCTGGATTTATGACGAGGTTTTATTTGAATTGCTAATCAAAGAGTCCCCATTGATTAAGCGTGTTGACCATGTGATCGCAGGTTGCCTTAAGAGCTACTGAGCAATAGACAACTATTTAAATAATGTGTTGATATGTCAACTTAGCCTGGAGGAAAAATGTAGAACCTCTGTTACCAGAATACAGATTCTGCGAACAGTGTACATTTTAAAATCTTTCACTATGTTATTGGTCGTTCGCTCTTAACTTTCATGGGAGTTTTGGCAAGTCTTGCTTACTGAATTTAAGAAATGCGTTTGTGCAGTTATACAGTTATGGTACAAAAAAAACCAAGGCCACAATACCATGTTGTTGTTATACTAATAGTTCAAAATTTTCCTTGCATAAAAAATCTCAATAACAGAGCGATTTGTACAAGGGCAGGTACCGGGCATAAAGAACTCTGACCCCACGCAGGCTCGCCATAAAAAAGGGGAGGAGCTTATTTCCATGGAAACCTACAACAAGACAGTTTCCACTATCCGGAAACATACTGGCGTGTTTGAAGAGAATTTGTGAATTTAACTTTTTTATTTATTTTTCATTAACCGATTGTAGAGATATTACCAAAATGTCTCATAGCACTACAAAATTAAAGAAGCCAACTGTTAAAGTAACAGCGTAAGTCTGAAATAGCATCAAATCCTTAAATAGCCCGATTTTATAACAACCTCCTCGCTAAGGGGAGTAGTTTAAAACAATAATGTTACAGATTGCAATAATTTTGACTGCATGCCTTATGAATATATGTGATATATTTACTAAAATCTTCTGTTTAGGTCTTCCAGGTTGAATGTAAATGCTAGAATAGCGAATGCATCTATCTCAGGAATGAACAGATTAAACCAAAGTGTAATAAATCGCAGCGGCGTTGGGTCAATGAGCCGGAGAAGTGTGAGTTTACAAGGAGACTGCAAGACGCTCGATAAGAGCCCTCTTCAAACAACCAAACAAGTTGCACAGGTAAAAATATATATATATATTTAAGGAATTGCTTTAGATGCAGCAATGAAAAATAAAACCGTAATAACCTGTCGCTTTACATTACAAACATGTTGCCAAGGCAAAAAAAAAGGAATTGCTTTAGATCCAGTAATGAGAAATAAAGCCGTAACAGCCTGGTGCTGTGCACTACTTTTTCTATTTCACTCAAATACATATTCATTTTTTGAAGGTATTTGATGAAAATGGGAAAGATGTCACTCCTCAGCCACTCTTCCACCCTGATCCAAGTGCAGTGCAGTCCAAACAGAGCAAAATCTTCTCATCTCAGGAGACGTCAGCCAATGCGTCCGATTTCTTATCTACTATATCTGTGTGCCAGACTGGGGTCAATGCAAGCTTTGCTGGGCCATTCACTAGGTAATGCAGGTATTATATTTGAAAGCACAATCTGAATAAATCGTTGCTTTGTACAGTATGTATATACTGTATAACCAATCTCTTTGAAGGTTGCATTTTAGATTACATTTGACTGTAGATTACTGTATGTGTGTTATGTAAATTACTATTTTCTTTATCACAGGTCAGTTTTTGGAAGCAGTACTGTTTCTAGATCAAGTCAATCAATGATGGAATCAATGAATGAGGAAATTGAGGATCCAGGTTCCAAGCGAGATGTCACCATCAGCCTTTCAGGTTGCTGTCGGAGAATCGTGTCCTTTAGTTTGCTGTTCACTGTCAAGAAAAGTCCACTTAAAGGGCTGTGTTGTAGGGCCATTCTGGGATGTATAGTTTATCTTTTACTAAATGTTTAGAAAATTCTATAAAGTAAAAGAAAAAAATGAAGCAGAGTGGTTAGACTTGCTACCTCGCAGTGCTGGGTCCCTGGGTTTAATTCTGGACTTGGGATGCTATCTGAGTTTGTATGTTCTCCCCGTGTTCATGTGGGTTTCCTCCTGGTGCTCCAGTTTCCTCCCGCAGCCCAGAAACACACACCTGATCTTAGTCAAAAGACCTGAAAGCGTCTGTCCAAAAGCAGACTGGTAGGTTTATTGGCCTCTTGGAAAATTGGCCCTAGGTGTGAGTCTGTCCGCTCTGCCAAGACGTCCCATCCAGGGTGTGGCCTGCCTTGCGCCCGTTGCTGGCTAGGATAGGATCTGGCCCTCTCTTCTACCCCTGCAGCCTTGAATTGGAAGAAACAGTTAGAAACAGTTCTGCAATTTCCCTCACGGGATCAATAAAGTATCTATCTATCTAAAATGGATGGATGGAAAAGAAAAGATGAGAACATTGTCTAATTTTGAATTCACATTCTTAAAAGCACCTGCTTTATCAGTCAACCTCTTGACATTTCTCTAATGTGTATGCAGATGTACAGGTGAGAAGGGAGGAGGTACAGGAACAATTGACAGAAGAAGTGTTGTGTAGCATTGTAGACAGATGTTTGACCGAAACAGAAACCATTTGGCTACTGGACATGCCAGCTGTCATTGTGTCTTTGGATTCCGAAGAAGCCGAAACTATCAAGTAGGTTGTTTTTTGTTTTTCATTTGCATGACGGAATTTATATGAATTTAAGTTGTAAGTGTTCATTTAACATGTGGAGCCGATGTGTAGCATGACATCTGTCGATAATGAACACTGAAATAAGCTGAAATGATGGCTGAAATGATGGCTCTGTGGCTAAGGATCTGCGCCTGTGGCTGTAAGGTTGCTGGTTTGTATCCTGTGGCCAGCAGAGGAATCCTACATTTATCCCCTGAGCAAGGCCCCTTAACCTCAATGGCTCCAGGGGCGCCATATAAATGGCTAACCCTGCGCTCTGACCCCAAGCTTCTCTCCCTGTCTGAGTGTCTGTGTGTCTCTTGGAGAGCAAGTTGGGGTATGCGAAAAGACAAATTCCTAAGAAATTGTCTATAGCTAATAAAGTGATCTTATTTGATAAACATTCAATGTGGCATATCATTTTTATGTTTATCCAAAGGGAGAAAAACAGCAGATATGAGGAAGTTTGTAAAAACAGGGCAGGCAATGACCAGTATGTTGAAAGGATGATGCAGACTTTTAATGGGGCACCAAAAACAAAAGAAGTTCAGTGTGAAAAAATCAACATGGTGGATGCAGGTAAACTGGCTCTTGTCCAGGTATATTAACAAACAAAACCAAAATGTATTGGGTATTTCTGACTTTTACCCAGGTTAAGCCTGAAACCATCCTCACTGAGAACACCATTCAACAGGGAAATTCCAATAACAGAATACTTATCCAAAATAGATTTTTACTATTGTTGATACACTCTTGTTGGTTTGGCGAAGTTGCTTAGTAATTTCAGACTAATATTTTGATTCAGCTTATTGTATTTTCCTCTCAAATTAGTGGAAGGTTGCATTCACGTTTTAAAGAAAGTCAGGCTCCTAACCCAAACCTTAGCTAGAGTTAGATCCCTTCTCATCCTGTATTACTTATCCTTTGTTTTTAAATTCTGTAGTCCCTCATCTATTTTACTGAAAACTAATATCTTAATATATTGTTTTCAGCTGTGATGGCAACCACATGGGACATGTATGATACTTTCAACACCTCTACTGCAGAAGGAGAGCCTATAAAGGCATTGGAAACAGATAAATCTGTCCGCCGAGAAAGTGTTTCAACCCACAGATTGGATGCAAGCAGAGCTCCTGAAAGAACAATGTCGATTATAAGTACAACAAGTATAAGTAAGGGACTTGAGTGTATCATTCCAAAAATACAATTTTAAATTTAAATGTTGATGTAGGTTAAGAAAGTTGTTTAATATATAATATAAAATATAAAATAATCGCTGTGTTTCAGCTAGCCGTTCCAGTTCAGGGATGGATATAGAGAGTGCTGTCCTACAAATGATGCCTACAGAAGATGAGCTAGATCCTGAATTAATCCTGCAGTCTGAAAAATTCCAACAGGACTTATTTGTTATGGAGAGAATCCTCATGGAAAACATCTTTCAGCCCAAGCTGGCAGCCTATAGACAACTTCCAATACTTATAGGTACATTCTTATATTACTTGCATAATGTGAAAATTGATGGAATGTGAAATTCAGTTCTGATTCATATTGTTTATGATGCCATACCAAGTAATAATGCATATTTTAGCTGTATAAAAACAAATTTTGTAGTACTGCTTTGGTGATAGAGGACTTTGGATGAGGTGTGCATTATATGTATTGCATTATTATTGAAGATGTCAAAAATTAGAAAAATATTTTGTGTAATGTACTGTAGTTTAGTAGGCATGATTAATTTAACCATGAAATACTAATGAAAACCACATTGACAGAAAAAGAGTCAAATGATGAATTAAGCACTGTTAAGTACATTGTATTGTACATTGTAATAAGGAGGCTTAGTCTGAGACATTTATTGTTTTCAGTTCTGTGGTTTGTAGCCATTGACATGTAATTTACGAGACCTTTTACACTGTGTAGACCCCGACTGTATACGTGAAGAGGAAGGGGTTATCGAAGGTGACAAAGAAGAGGAGACCGCTGTAGAAACTTCGGCACCAGCGTTAGATCGCCTGTGGTCTTTTACATGTGATCTCACAAAGGGTCGCAATGTAAGCAGCATGGCATGGAACAAGAAGAATACGGTAAATATTTTCTTTTGCAATTTTGTGTAGTTTTTGTTCATTATTACTCAGGAATTGCACCTGTTGCTTGCTCGGGATAGGCTGTGGTAGCCCTGTGACCTTGAATTAGAAGAAGAGGTTAGAAAATGGATGGATGGGCAACCCATTAATTGGTACTGCTTGTACTGCTGATCCTTAAATAAAAGCAAAGTGAAGCAGGCTGCATAGTGTATGTTATCCAAATGAACATTGGTGGAAAATCAAAAAATGCCATGAGAACTATCTAATTAATGTGCTTGTACCAGATTGTACCTGAATCTCTGTAATCTTTTCTCCCTTGTAGGACCTTCTGGCTGTTGGCTATGGGCAGTTTGATTTCAGGGACCAGAAATCTGGACTAGTCTGTTGTTGGTCTTTGAAGAATCCAATGGTATGGATGAGAAGCTCTTAAGATTTTTATATTGTATTAAATTCCAAGTCCTAGAATATTTTGGGTTCATATTATTACAAATGACAATAAGGTCAATGCAACAACCACATCTATCTGATAAATTCTTTCACTTGGATTGAATTCATTTCAAGTGGCAGAAACCATTTATTTGGAATGTCATCTGAATTCTCAAATTTTTGCTGATGCATCTGAGATTGTTGTTATAAAAAGATTATAACTAGTCTGTTGTTAATCAGACTGTATTCTCTGTTTAGTGGCCAGAAAGAATCTTCCATTGTGAAAGCGGTGTGACAGCTTTGGACTTCTCTGCTAATAGTGCAAACCTGTTGGCCGTGGGAATGCATGATGGAAGTATAGCAATCTACAGTGTGCAGAGCAAAGACAAGACACCAGTAATAGACAGCAGGTGGGGCTGTAATCAAGGAAAAATTGAACTAGAATAACTTAAATCCAGTTTCGGAGGAGTGCCATTCCTTGGGTCTTCTAGGCTTCTTCATTGCTTTAGCATCTGAAAACTAGAAGAGGGTGCTAAATAGGTCTGATTAAACCAATAATTAGCTCAATGATGTATTTAAGGGATCAGACAGAATGAAGACCTTCCAAGATCAGATCTGGATTAGATGCAGTGTACTGCATGTTTACAGTTCATTTTCTTTACATTTTTTAAGTATCCTTTAACTACTTAAGTAAATACTGCTAGTTTAAACATTTAATCAAATTGATGTATACCTTTAATGTCAGCATCATTCTTACTTAAAGAATAGTTAAAGGTACATTAATAAAAAGTTGAACCAAACTTCCAAGCCCATAAACTGAGAAACTAAGATGATGGTAAACTGAAAACAGTATAAAGAAGTATTTTGTTTATCTGTAGATGCTGAACACTTGTTATTTAAACCAAAAAGAAATCCCCTATCAATTTGTGGGTTTTTGATTTGCATTTGGTGAGTTGTTTGACAATTTGATTTAAACTGGGCCTAAATGTCAAGAAAACAGACCATTTTAGAATGGAATTAAAACTGCATTTATTCCATATTAGATTTTTTTTTAATTGTGTTTAAATGAGTTGGCACAGTTTTGTAAAAAAATGTCCTAATGCTGTTTTGGTCATTTATTTCTAGACAGTTCCTGTTAATGGTAGATTTTTAGTTTGATGTAGTTTCTCAATCTGGAAGAATGTGATGGAAAGGATGTAACTTTAATATGAGAAGTGAGTCACAGTAAATATGAAGTTTTATGAGGCACATGAATCTTATTTCTTGTTTTTAACCATGCTTTATGTCATTTGAAATGTTCTTATTAGGTTCTTGGTTTTGCTTTTCATTGTGTCAAAGAGTGAAGCAAACTTCCAGTGCTTGGCTGCAGTAATTTAGTTGTAATGGGAATCTACAGTACATTCATGTTACAGTTTCATTAACATAATGTCATTATTAGTGTTCTAAAAGTGTCGCTTCAATGGGCAATGAATATGGTTTATTAAATTAAAAGCATACTGTGATAGTCGGCATATAAAAACAATATAAAATGTGTAGTGATATATTATACAGTAGATGTTAAGTTGTAACTGACTGTACTGAGCTGCATTAGTCTTTTCTGTATGGGTTTAAGCATCTGAAATCAATTTCATTTTTCAGTGATTGTGCTAACAAGCACACCAGCCCTGTATGGCAAGTCAAGTGGATAGAGCAGGAGAAGGGAACTACAGGAGAGGACAAGGGGGAGACCCTCATTTCAGTGTCTGCAGGTGGCAGGATTACCAAATGGTACCTTAGAAAAGGCCTAGACTGCATTGGTAAATCATTTATTTCTTTTTATTCGTTTTACTCAATGGACACCACCTTTGAAATATCTTCACAAAGCACATCTTATAATTTTAGACATAGTGGCCATGCCTTACAGTACTGGAACTCTGGGTTCAATTGCAGACTGGGGTGCTGTCTGTGTGGAGTTTGTATGTTCTCCCCAAGTTCTCTTGGTTTTCCTCTAGGTGCTCCAGATTCCTTCCACAGTCCAAATAATTGGCTTCTGGGAAAAGTGGCCCTGGTGTGAGTGTGTGTGTCTATGTGCACTGTCTTGCAGTGGACTGGTTTCCCATCCAGGGTTTATTCAGATTTTTGCCTGTTGTTTGCCAGGATAAGCTCAGGCTTCCAAATGACCCTGAACTGGAAGAAGTGTTTAGAAAATGGATACATGGATAATATATTTTTTTCCTTCATTTGCTTGAAAAGAATGTAGAATGTTCCCTGAATAAGTTGCCATTTCTGATGAATATTTCTGGGAAAGGGGGTTTACGGTGTGGCAAGAATCAGCTTGCTTTTTTTTAAATTGAGTTTCTATCTTTCAGAATTTTAACATTTGATGGGAAAACAAAAATTTAAAGTTATTTTAATGTTTTTTTTCTCAGACCTGATCAAACTTAAAAGGACGAGAAATGAAAAAGTCAAGAAACCAGCAGGCGAGAAAGAACGAAAGACTGAGGCTTTAATTTCAAGACAGGCACCTGGGCTGTGTTTTGATTTCCATCCTAAGGCAAGTTTGACATTTCCTTTAACTAATTAATATATTATTAATGCATATTAATGTATAATGGCACTGCAATATTGACATATTGACACAACAATATTTTGATTAGAATAATTAGTCTTTCAGAACTGAATTAGTGATAAAGTAATTTGATATGCTGATTATGTCATATTTATTTGTGAACTTCTCAAATAATGGAATACAAGATTTATTAGTGACATTTCAGAGAAACTAAATGTCTTCTGAGTTACATAACTAAGCATTTTAGATGGACTAATCCAGTAAATCAGGCAACCACAATTACTTTTGTGTTCTGGGTTATCCCAGTGAACTCTGTTATGTTGACATTATTATTATTTGGCATTGATTCACTTGTTTTTCATTTCCTTGCAGGACTCAAACATTTATCTGGCTGGCACAGAAGAAGGTCATATTCATAAATGTTCATGTTCATATAATGAACAATATCTGGAGACTTATAGAGCTCACAAAGTATGTCTTTGTTAGTTACTTTTTGTATATTATATGGAAGATGTAGTCTGTAACTTTAATGACTACATAGCTGTTTAAATCTATCTAGTAGAAGTATATTTGTTTATTTCTGTGGTTTTGTCTATAAAATAGTTTTAGCACTGTGGCTTATGTCTTGGTGTTTTCCTGAATCTCATTTCATTACTCAGTTTAATCTTTTAATGTACCCTTCATAGATATGAAGCTGTGTAGAATAAAAATATTTCAAACAGAAAGCTGTCTTGACTGAAGACGGTCAAGGTAATGTTTTGGTATAATGTTTTGCTTAAATCTTTCAAGAAAAAACGCATCGGCTTTTCAGATGCTAGATACTTACAACAACATACTGTATTTGCTTTCTAATTCTAAATGTAGAATCTATCACCTGAGGAAAGGTTACATGACTGTTTCTCTTTCAGGGGCCTATTTACAAAATTGCCTGGTCCCCCTTTTGCCCTGATGTGTTTCTGAGTTGTTCAGCTGACTGGACTATTCATCTCTGGAGGCAAGATCTGTTTAAACCAGTTCTTGGCTTTGCCTCCACGTACAGAGCTGTGTTTGACATAATGTGGTCCCCTAAATTGGCCACTGTGTTTGGAGCAGTGAATGAAGGAAGAGTAGAGATCTGGAATCTTGGTTCTAGCATGTAAGTGTTCCCACCTAAAAAAACATTTTTCTTTCAGGACGGCAGTGTCACTTTGTGCGTGACTGTGTTGCGTCTGTATCTGAACATTTTATTTTTTTCATTACAGTTTTTTCACTAAGATCTTTAAAACCTATATGTAAATTATAATAAAATGGAAATTGGACACTGTGAAAATAGACACCATTACTACTACTGAAATGTATATTCTAGTATAAATATATATTCCAACAAATTGATTAGATTAAGTTTTGTTTGCTTCTCTTTGGTACTTTCAATAGATATCAGAAACAAGCAGGCTGTGAAGAGACTGTGAGACTTAAGAATGTAGAATGTAACCCCTAAAATAACCAATAACTGAATTTTTTAAGTTTAGTCTTTTGCCATAGTGGAATTTTCAGTTGTTTGGAAGAGACACTGCAAGGTTTGGGGTGTACATATGCCTGAGAGATGGTGACTGAATCCTGTCTGGGGATATGCTGCACATACCAGTTGAAACCTGTGTATCCTTGCCCTAAATGCACAGTCGTTACCAAATGAGCTAGTTTACTTAGTAAGACTATAGACATACTGTATTAGGCTGTAAGTAAGTAATTTTTTTGTATCCTTTTCCATCTGCAGTTTTATCTGCTGTTTAACTTTAGTAAAAGAAAATTAAATAATTTATTACTGTGTAAAGGACTATAGACACTATTCATCAATACAGTAACATTAGAAATAACACTTACATCATGTATTTCAGTCTGGACCCTATTGCTGTGAGCTCCGCCAGCCCTGGGATAAAACTGACCTCATTACTGTTTGCCAATGAAACGGACTGTATTCTCGTTGGAGATAGTGACGGACAAGTCAGTGTTTATGAAATGAAGAACTTGCCTACTGGAAACAATACTCAGGTAAATCTAAATTAAAAAAGGAACAGACAAACATAAGAATAGCTTTTTATAATTCCAAAAGATGAATGAATACATTTTTACACATTTGATGTAATTCACATTATACAGTATTTCCATCCCATTATAGTGGGATGGGATTGTATTTTTGGCTTTTTTCACTTATTTTCAGTTTACAGTAGTTTACTAATTTTGTGACCTTATGTTTAACTGTAATAAGAATGATCTCAGTACCATATAAGAGTCACTTTATGATATGTCATTTTCAGAAAATTAGAGTGCCATTTAGCAATTAGCATTTATTACAATTGTCTGCACTCTCTTAAGTTGTTTGTCTGGTTCTTGAAAACAGAGAAACCTTATCTTGTCCATCTGAGCTCTTGTCAGTGATCCCTGAAAGATTTGTTTTTTTCACCCTGCTGAAATCTGCCAAGCTAATGTTTCACATACTAATGTAGCCATTTTGTTAAATTCATTGTTAGTTACCCATTTAAACACCAAGGTATGGCAATTAAAGTAGTGCATGGAAGTAAGTATACATCCTACTCATAGCTTGGGTAAATAACTAAGAAAGGTAATTTTACTTGTTTTAAATATTCTTTGTTCACAGGTGAATGCATTATACGACATAATCGGGTCAACCCTGGCAAGTCAGCTGTAATAAACATCAATACTGAAGACGCAAGAGACAAGTATACTGTATTTTGGGGCACATGTTGTTTGTGTAATACATTTATAATAGGAATCTAAATAAAATTAACATTTCCATTTTTTGTCATTCTGTTTACATCATGGATATTTAGATAAGTACAATGGTAGACAGAAAGTCGCATGTGAAGAGAGATCAATCCGATTAAAGCATTTAAACTGTCTTATTCAGTTGACATTACCCAGAAATATACATCTTATTATTTAAGCTTTATATCCAGAGTAATAGCATAATACACTGTTCACAAAAATTAGACAATATCTGATTTTGAAACAGAATTATAAAATGTCATATGAATAAGCTTGGACTGTAATGTGGGATTGACATGCACAAGTAGTGAGGGTCATTCACGTATTAGGTGGACAGTTAAACGTGAAATAATACTTGAGGTTTTCACATAGTGGTTTGTGCAACCACAAGGCATGAAATACAAATCAGAGGTGATGGAGAATTTATACAACACTTGCATTCATTCCTTTCTACTGTTTAACCAAACAACATCTAACACAAAATGGAAGGACACCTGACAGAATACTCCAGAGCACAAGGATCCAAAGCTTTGCCAGCCTCTTGTGTTCTTTTTCCCAGTAAGCCAGAAATATCACTGATGTACTGTACATTAAATGTCCCAGATGTACCCCCAGCAACAATGCTGGGCACTAGTGCGCTGTGTTACTGTGTTCAAAGTGTGACAGATCAGTAGAAACTACCATAGTAATCCACAAATGTGCAGGTTTCAGTGGAAACCATGATGGATAGCCCTATTTCTATGCAACCTATGAAGTCAAGATGCAGGCAGGCAGGGTAAGTCCATAGTGTCTTATCTAATATACCAGCCTGGGATATGTGATATGTTTTTAGAATAGCAAAGGTTCGGTTTAGTATTCCAACATGTAGAAAATTAGTTACTAACTTCTAAATGGGCTAGACTAACTATTTAGTTTCTTATTTCTGGATGAACCATTGTGTTTGATCTTATAGGGAAACATGGCTTGCCAAGATGAATGAAAGTGGATTTCTCAGGATCCAAGTAGTAGAATCATTTTACACAGAATATATATATATATTTAATTTTAGAGAATATTTTTAAATAATTGGATTTGAACATTTCAACAAGAAACCAAAATAAATGTATTAACCAAACTACAGTACAATGCTTCTAGTTTAAAAGTAGTTCCCTGATTCATTAACATATATAGAACAATATTAACTAATCTGAGTTTAAGACTTTCATAAATTAGCACTTTTTGATTATACAGTATGTTCTGTCCTGCTTGTGTTTAAAACGATTAAAGTCAACATTTGAATAAGATATACATTAAAAGCTAGTTAAACAAAACCTGAAGTGCAATCATTTATCTGTACATAACTAGAATGTTTAATTTTCAATTATCACAATTAAGTGTCTGTATTTTGTAAATTTCAGGTAGTTTTAGTGGAAATGTATCATTAAAAGATTATGGATCTGCAAAATGTGATTTCTTATTCCTTGTGACATATTAAATAAAAGTATATTTCTTGCTGGTTAATATGCAACTATAACAAAAAACCTTAGTGAAAAATATGCAAGCATACGTGAAGGTAGAGGTTGTACTGATATTCCCTCATTCACACGTTCATTTAATACTGTATATATTGTATATTAGAAACCCTGAATGTATATAAGAAGAAGTGATGAGCATTTAGGGTTTCAAACCTGATAGCACTATAATAAAAATAAATAAAAAGAACAAACACTTAATAATTGAAGAGCGTGTCATAAAAAAATGTTTATCCAGACCGTGTTTAATACAGTGTATTATTCGAATTTAGTTAAGTGTGGAGCTGCAAGTTCAAATACAAATGATTATTTATTCAAGTAAAAATGCATTACATACTGAAAAATAAAAGGAAAGATGAATTAAAACTTCATTTTGGCTGTGCATGAGGGGATAAGGAAGAGAACAAGAATATGAGGCAAAGGGTGAGTAAGGAGAACTAGTGACATAGGATGTGGGCAGAGAGGGCTAAATCAGGTTAATTAAAAATCTGTGAGAGGGATTTCAAAATTGTGGAAGACTTTTCCATAGAATTTGTATCCCAGTTTTGGTACATTTTGCCTTTCACACCTGACACAGTAAGAACCACATTTCACTTATCTTCCCTTTCCACCCTAACACCCTTTCTTTCATCAAGCTCATCAAAAAATGTACAGAAAGATCCTTTTCTGGAACGTTTATTCTAGGCTACAGAATCACCTAAGCCACCAGCCACTGTAGCTGAAGTGCACATACAACACTGCAAACTATTTTCTGGGGGGATCAGAAGGTTTCCTGACTCTATTTTAGATTTTTTAAACACAAAAACAGACAGTAACAAGACCAGAGTCCTTCCCAACACAGTGAAATAAAACAAGCCACTTCTCAATAATACAGCAAAATGATTTCTTCAACATAATAATAATCAATTCAGGCTACAGAGAAGTTGGCTACCACCTCTTCCCCAATAAAACTATACTACTCGCATCATCTAGTACTTAAATCCTGGATTTCCTAAAAAGATGCATTCTATAAAGAGTGCAATTTCAGTCCTTGCTAAGGTTGTAAAATGATGATTGCATGAGAGGACTTTTGCGAGTCACAGATGGCGTCATTAAACATTATGGAAAACATAAAATGATTTAGTTGAATGGGCAAGCAATACGACACAGAAAGAATTAGAGGTGGACTTAGCCAATAGTAACAAGACAGCAGGGTATAAATTGAAAAGAAACTGCGGAGTTTAAAGACAGCAGCGCAGACCAGCTTCAAGTTGGAACACGAGTGACAGACGAGTTCACCATTTTCTTTGCAGTTGTTAAAGAGTTCCTCAAGACACAATGCGATCTGTGATCTTGCCTGCACTCCTGCTTGTTATGCTAGCTTCAGCAGCTGAAGTCCAGGGTGAGGTTAAGGTTGTCAAGTTGTGTGGCAGAGAATTTATCAGAGCTGTAATCTATACCTGTGGCAGCTCAAGGTGGAGAAGAATTCTGAATGAAAAAGAATTGATGGGTAAGTCCATTGAACTATTTAATATGGACAAATGGTATTTAAATGTAAAGCACAATTGCAAGGCTGAATATTTTCACTTATTCGTGTATAATGTACAGGCTATTATCAGAAAATACTTAAACAATAAAATGTATATTAATAACTATGAAACTGCTTCCCGTAAAACTATTAAAATGTCTAAAAATCACTGGCAAAAGTTTCCAGATACACCAGAGTTCAAATGTTTTTCCTTTGATCTTTGAATGTGCTTCATTATACAGCTCTCTTCTTTATACATTTTTTGAAATTCAGATCTGCATTTAAAAAACAAAATGTACTGCATTTGTTTTGTGCCATTGAGAACAGGTTTAGTATATTGCATGTTTTCTTTTGCTGACCACTAAATGTATACGTTATCAATACCATATATTTCCATTGTCGATGAAGGACTTAATTAAAAGTTGTTTTGAGTAGCAGTCAGATTCTGCTCTTACCATGTAAACTACTTTATTACTAGTGCCAAATTCAGTTTTCAAGCAGCTGAACATCATTAACCTTTTTCCTGACATTATTAAAATTAATTAACATTAGACTGCTGAAAAACAACAAAAACAGAAGATGAAATGAGCTACAGAAGAGCACCTATTACTTTCAGACTAATGAAATGCCATCTGTTTACAGAATGGAAATGGATGCTGGGCTATTATTTACTGTAGTCTTGTGTAGTGTCTGGTGTGATTTGTTTAAACTGTTCCTGTCAATGTGCTTTTTTGTTTGTGAAAACCTTACAAAATATGTTTTAAGCCCTCACAAGTATACTTGTGTAATACAAGTATAAACATGAATTATGATTTAACCAATGAACAGCAAATAAAAAATAAAAAGGCACAAACATTCAAAATGGCTGCTATACTGCTATACTGATAGATATCTTCATCATTTATAAAATAAAGGATTTACTACAGTATATTCATCTGCACGTTGCACTTTGAAACAATGCACTTCTTTCCACTGTACTGTAATTGTCCAGGTTTGGCCAGCGACAACACTGATAACCTGGAGACCCTGGGGTACAGAGAACTGGCGGAGCCAGATATGGGACTCCGAACCAGACGAGACCTCAACCAGCTTCTCACCACAGCCTGCTGCCAGTGGGGATGTAACAAGAAAGACCTGAGCTCTCTGTGCTGAAGGAAGGATTATTTCCACAGCAGCACAGAGCAACAGCATGGAGGAAAGGACTTTTTCTGACCTGATTAACACCTGACAAAGACAAAAGTTAAAATTAAAACTGCCACTAGCGTTGCTTAAAACATTTTTCTTGATATGATTTTCATATCAGTTTTTGTTGAAAATCCTGTTGAATCTGTAGGAAACACATGTTTAAACAAAATTTGTAGTCATAAAAAAGCATTAATAAGAAATACACATCTAATGGTTAATCTGTCTTTGCCATTTTATCTAAATGGATTATATTGTGCATTATGATGCAGGTCTGTGTGCTTCATTTAGATTTTTTTGGTTTACAATTATGGGACATTTACCCAGGCAAAAGCATTTTAGAGATTCACTGCTAAAAAGTGTTATTTCCATCTTTTTACATTTTAAATCGCTCAGGTGGATGTTTAAAATGAGAAAGAAGAATGAGTGTTCATGTATAGTACATATAGTCATCATTGACTGAGATCCTAATTTCTTGGAGTTATACTTGGTGGTAAAAATCAGGGAATTACCGAAAACTTGCCTTAAAATGTGAATGTTTTAAATGTCCTGTATTTTTGCTATGAATAGCTAACAAATAATACTGCATATCCCTTAAAGCTGTCCAAGAAAATCTGAATAAAAACATAAGCCTGCACTGTACATTTTATTATCTCTAAATGTGTCAATGACTGAAGACTCACAATCTCAAATCAATAAAGCTTGAATACAAACCAACCATCTCAACACTAAATTGAAATTTTGTTTTAAATGCCATCGCCAACAAAAATGCAGCACCTACACATCACTGAACAGAATATGAAAAGGTTCTGCGCTTTTAGAACACTTCTGAATTGAAACACATCTTCAGGACTCTGTGACTTTAAGAGCTCATTCTGGCTCTAGATGTTGGTTTTGAAAAATTAAATTAAAATAAGGTGACAATGATATTGTATGTATTCAGAATGGTAATACAGACATTGAGAGTGCCTGCTCTACAGTACTTCAAAAAAGATAGCTAAAAATCAAGTGCAAATGCATATAGGAATTCAAGTGAGACACACCTCTTAGAGAAAAGTACAGAATTTGGAACAAACTGCACAGTGGTGTCATTGCAGCCTAAAAAGATCTTTCCAAAGATGGTTTTATGAAAAAACTACTGCAAATCAAATGCACAAGATGAGCGGCCTCCTCTTGTTCAACCCATTCTAGTCGGACATGACTCCAGTAAAGTAAAAGCAAATCTAAACCAAACTCTACTTAAGAGAAAGGTAAAGTACATATAATTTTTAATCATGATATCACACCAAAACAGAACAGAAATGAAAAAACACCTTTCTCTTACTCTGTGTTCAGCAAAACCGAGAACGAGTCAAGTGGCATAAAACACAAACATTTGTTGGTTTCCTAACAATCAAGAGATTATTCTTTCATATTATATTTGCTTTAACAAATTTAAAATAGGATCATCTTTTGTAACTTTAACAATCCTTTACCGTAGGACCAAGAGATTGTTAATTTCAATATGACAAAATTTGGGGCTGCTTTATGTAACATTTACTTTTATTGGGAGGCAATAACTTAAGACATAAGCCAATTTACCTGTTTATTTCTTAAACGTAACAAGCTCATGATTAATCCACATACCACGTATTCACTTCATACCACATATTCTTATAACATAATTTAAATCATGTACAAAATACACAACCACATTATTACTTACAAAATACTAACAATGAAAAATTGTTAATCTACTCAAAGTAAACAGCATAGACATTTGCAACAGCAAACAAGGAGTTGTTTTTGAAAGCATAAGATGAAAATGTGTCATTTGTAGGGTCCCAAAGACACCTGCTTCCAATACGCATGTTCTGGTCATTCAGTTGGCCAATGGTGATGAGAACAATTATCTTGTATCGGGGAATCATTAAATCTTTCACTCTGGCTTTTATCACCTAAAAAGCATTAATTATAAAATGTTAAACAGTGGGTTGATGTTTAATATTAATCCAGGTCAAGATAAAATAAACATAAATAAAGTTGTTGTTTTGCAAATCATTTTCAGGAGGATATTATACAGCAAGCCCATCCATTATTGACATTGTGAAGCAAATCTGAAATAGGACTACTTGAAATCAAAGCAGCATGTTTTTTTTAGGATTTGTTTTAGGATTTAATATTTCACTATTATAAGTATTATAGCATTCAAAGGTACATTCATCCTCTGAATGATCCCCAACAATTATTGAACTTTTAATGCTAAACTTCACCCTTGCAGAACGATATTACAAAAAGTACAACAGTCAACATAATATACTGTAGCATAATCAATTCTAAAGCAAGCAATAAATCATAAGCAATTGAAGGAGTAATGAGAACTAAATGTTAACCACTCTTTATTCCTCCTTATACTAATTTCCTTATTAGTAGTAATATCCTGTGCTATTTGCTTGCTTTATTGCATTCTAGAGCCCTGTTTTAACACTACATATAAACACCCACCAGAAAGTGGATGAGGCAAGAAGAATGTCTATCCATCCATTTTCTACCCACTTCTTCCAAGTTAGGGTCACCTGGAAGCCGGAGCCTATCCCGGCAAGCAGTGGATACAAGGCAGGATACACCCTGGACAAGACACCTGTCCATCGCAGGGCAGACAGACACAAACACATTCATACCAGGGCCGATTTTCCCAGAAGCCAATTAACCTATCAGTATGTTCTTGGACTGCTGGAGCACACTGAAAATGGGGAGATCATGCAAACTTCACACAGATAGCACCCCAGGGCTGGAAGTGAACCCAGAGCTCCAGCACCGTGAGGACGCAATGCTAACCACTGCACCACCATGCTGCAAGCAAAAAGAATCTGCTTAACATACTGTAAAAAACTGAAGCACACAATGGGCTAAACTAGACTGTGTGATTTAGGATATTAATATTGGTATTGACATTGTGGTAAGTGCTAATATTTATAGGTTTGTGATAAACCCCTTCAACACTAGTATAGCAGTTACAGTATTTTGTGGTCAGTTCCGCAAAAGGGGAATTCCATGCAAGGGGAACCAAAACAGGTTGCACAGAGATCGTATTTATCTGAATTGAAAGGAATGAACGTCTTTTAAAAACAACATATTTGAAAAATTATTTTTTCACTTTCATTGTGGAATGCAACCAGGAATCCTTCTCTCTAAAGCCATATATCAAAGGCAAATACTAGAGAAAGAGCACTGGTATGTACAGTAAATAGTGTTTGAGGAAAACTCCAAAACAAGCTTTAAATCTGGTCAACAAAGCAGTTTTCCATGCAATACAAACAAAAAAAATCTTACCTCAGATATTGTTTTTGTCATCTGTCTACAAAGTTCTGCTTCATACTTCTCCTCTTGTAGATAACTAGTCAGCACATCTTTTAAAATGTTGTTTACAGTGGCAACTGGAAATCTCTTTATAGGTCCTATTGGGACATTATAAACAAGGATACAATATTATAGAGTTCCACAGCTATCCAGCTGTATTCTCCCACACCATTTATAAAATAAGCACCAATTAAAAAAAAAAAAATCTTTTTAATGATGTCTCAGAAGAAACAGCTGCAATTTGCCCTGCATGCAGCAGATGGCAACTTGGGTTTTCAGATCATGTTTACCTGGTGTGATTGAACAATTTCCTAATTCAAAAGCCCCGTGTTCTGAGGAAAATCTAACATTGGTTGCATGTGTTATAAGAAATTTGTCTACAGTTTACTGCAAAAACAATTTAGTGATCAGACATGTACTGTATTACAAATACTCATGCAATGGCCTCTACAATGTCACTGACAGTTTGAAATTAAGTGTCCATCCAAAACATATATAAAAAGGCCTCAGAGAATCCCTGGTTTATTTCTAATTCTTATTTGTATAACTCTCTATAACAAAAACAGAACTGTGTGCAATAGCTTATTTCTAATGCTGCCAATGAGATGGAAATCCAAAGTACTATGGTAAGCGATTCTAGGGTTTGATGTGCAAGTTCATTTATATCCTAACGTAAAATAACGTATCCTTTAGACTACTTACTACTACTACATTGACATTTAGTGAATATGCTCCTCACCTATTTGATAGGTGTTTTCCATCTGCACAGCAGGTCTGGGAATGTCATCATGATGGCCAGGCTCGTCTATATAAGACACTGTACTCACTGAGCTAGAAAATACGGGCAAACAATTGGGAATTTAATAGTCACAGCATGGAAGCCCAGAATAATGACATGTTGTGCATTAGAAAGCTGTTTTGTTGTGGTTCTGCAGAGCTGGCTGCCACTCCCTGTTATTAAACCAATTGGAATTGTCCTGTACTTTCCCCTCCCCTCCTATTAAGATAATATGCAGTTGTTTGGGGTCTGTGAGGACAGCACAGTAATTAATGGTATTGTACTTAGGCTTCTTTAATTCTATATAGTTCTGCAGTAAATCTGACTTCAATATGAACTTCAATTTCTGTTTTGTTTTGTTCTATACAGGTGTATAAACACAAAACCACCAAAACTCATAAAGTAAATTGAGTGAATAAATAATAAAATAAACTTTATTTTATATAGCACCTTTAAAGGTGGCTTCTCAAAGCACTTTACAGGATGACAACAACAATAAATAAGAAGAATACACAAGATAAAACACAATTAGAATATATAGAGGAGACCGTGGATGATGGTACTAAGAAGAGCAGAGGGGTGAAGAATGGAACCAGTATGACCAGTCCACTCATCAATCCATTGGCATTTTGTTACAGGAGAGTACAGTACAGTAGGTATTAAATAGAAGAGTGGCACAGGCCTTACTGGTGTCACAAGGCTGCAAGGAGTCTCCAGCCAACTAATTTGAACCCTGGCCTCTCTAGCGTTCTGCCAATGGCACACCACTGTTTGAGGTCATTGAGTGACAGGACCTAGACTCGATAAGATGTTTAGATCGTAGAACTCAACATGTTCTCACAGCAAGCACCTTCTCTGGTTGCAAACCACAGGAGCAACTGACTGCTACGTTTGATTTCAACTTTCTATTTTTATTACAGGTAAAAAGAAGTGTCTCTCAAAAATGTCATACATAAATTATGCATACTCTTTGGTTTTCCCAGTTGTTTCCTTCGCTTTTACTTCATGGCTGCTGAGTGAAGAGATACTGCCTCTCTTCTTCAGCAGGCGAGCTGCTTTGTCTTTGGCCACATCTGACATTGTTGAGCCTGTCTCTACTGAATGGAAACCTTTTAGCATCCACACCTGCAAGACAGAGATCACATTGAAAAGGCAGGGACAGACAAGCTTTTGAAAATGATCTAGCTGTTCTGCACTGTGATACTGTTGTTAGAGAGGCCAAGGACACAAAGTACATCTGTCCGGTGACATGATAGCATACTGGACTGACTAATAGAAGGCATACAGTTTATCAAGGGTTTCACTTGGTTGCTGCTTTCACAAAAGGTGAAATTACTGGTAATCTTGGGTTAACACACCGTGTAGTGGAAAATATAATCTTTGAGGAGTTGTTGTCAACTACACTGCAAGCCTGAAGTCCTGTTTTTTATTCTACCTAAGTGCTTAATTAACCAAATGCACAAATCATTAGTTTAAATGGAACAATTTTAACAGCTAATGGCTGAGAGAAGTTTATAAACCCTGGCAGAGTGTAGCCCTTGAGGAATGGAGCATGGCACTTATGGATTCACATACAACCTGGCAGAAGACCATATCTTCAGCATTATATATATGATACCTTGAATTTTACCCCCCCAAAACACCATTGGAACAAAAAACTAAAATACATTTTAACTGTATATTTTAAGTGGCACTGGAAAAAAAGGACTATATACGCTCACAAATTAAGCTGTTTTAAGTGTAATACATTTGAAGGTTTATCTTGTGGTTTCACAGACCCTAATTATCACTAATTATGGAAACTTTAGTGTTACGTTAAGTAAACAATCCACGGACTATTGGCAATCAGGGACTGAAATCTTAAGCTTCCATTTCATAGGGAAATAGCACCAGGACGCCTTGTGTTTTACAGCCCAATTATAGTATACGATTTTTTTTATTGTTTTGCAAATTGTACCGGACGATATTACTTCTGTAGGGATCCTTCTGTGCTACTTCTTTACTTAAAAATGATTGAGGCGGAATATAATAAACTTGCTTCATTCATTGGATTACCAACTCTGCTACTAAGTGTGACTTTGTCCGCTGTTTGTCTGCTTGTGAAATTAAGCAAGTAACAATAGAACGCTGCAGTTTCCACGAACAGAAACCGAGCGTTTGCAGTTTTGTACCCAGATGTTAGCAAGCTACCTCTATACTTTTGAAAAGCTTAATGCATATCAATTCTGGTTTAGGTTCTCTTACCACTTCAAGACGAAGACAGGAACTGTACACCACACTAAACAGCAGGAGCGTTAGGTTGTCCTGACAACACTGGGGTTACCTATGCTTAAGGCTGTCCAAACAGGAGGAGCTTCAGCTTCGTCTCACCAATGAAAGCCTCAGTTTAGGCCCTTGTAGAAAATTGTTTAAGGTTTTCCTCAATGCTTCGTTGTTGCAATTTCTTACAGCTTTGTATCCCAGATAACATTCGCTGTTTGCACATAGAATACAATCCTAAATGCGAAAGGTTATCTAGTACTGGAGATTTGCGTATAGTACTGAAGAGAAGCTCATAGGTGCATCTTTGAAAACGTTACAGATTTTCGTGAACTTAAAATTAACTGCAACAATGAATTGAGTGTTTCATAATTGTTTCAAACCAATCTAAATAAATAATGACGTAAAACCTACTTTTAGGATTCCCTAGATTAACCATTGCATGCTAAATTATATATACAAATAAGTCATTCACCTAAAAGAATTCTAAAGAATACTATTAATAATGATTATGTCTGTTACCATTTAAGGGTTGCATTATTACAAAATTCCTAAAGTTACTTTAGACATGTTTTATAGAGAATTGATAGACAACTTCAACTGGGAACCAAAAAAAAAAACATTCAATTTCCTGTTTACACACAAACATTTTGATCATCATCTTTTGCAAGTCAACGTTCCAAAGCAAAAATATTAAAGAGCTGGAACAATTAAAAACATTATAAAGCAAGCTTTTATAAGTATTATACAAATTAAATGGTATTTTACCTTATATTTCTGTTCATACTGTAGACGTCTTTCCCTTCTCTTTCTGAATGAACATTGTCACCAGTCTATGTCATGAGATGTATTCCTTTTTCACCCTAAAGTAATGATTGCATGAGATTTTTGATCGTTCTTCCTCGATCGAACCCCAAGATGAAGGACCTTCTAATTGTAACATGAAGATCATGAGGTACGCAGCTCTTTGGAATCCCTTTATACTGTATAATGAAAAGGTGCTTTACAGATGTGTAATTAGCTTTTTCTAAAAACATTTTAAACAAAGAACTGTGTAGCAAGTACACATAACATATGTACACATATGATCTGTCCAAAATAATGGACACTTACCATAGCAACTTACCAAAATCATACATTGTCAGGACCTCCAATATCCAGTTACTCTTGAAGCATTATTGAAGTCTGTATCTGAAACACTGTGGTGGTGCATAACATTTTGAAATTTAGATAATGAGCGCAAAATACACCTCATTAACCTTTAATATTTGTCACTTTATTTCCAAGAAAACTGACAATGATTGACATCTTAAACAGGTATTACATTATGGTTATTCTGTTTTTATATTTTTAAAACTTATTTTTTAGATGGGAAAATTCAGGTTTTTTAAAAGTACATTTACATTAAACAATTGCATATTCAGTATTCTGTGCAATCGATAGGATGTAGACACAGCTAAATTAACATTTATAAAAAAGTAAATATTTACAGAGAGGGTATGATATTCATACATTTTATAGTAATCTATGAGGAGAATAACATTTACACAGATGACAGATTTTGTTTTCAAAGATCCTTATCACACATTCAGCAGCCAGTGAACAGACATGGTGCTATACTTCTTCTCTTCTTAGAATAGTATTCCAACCAGTAAGGCTTTTAAAAAGAAGCGAAAGCAAAAACATCATATTACTTTATTGCGACCAATAAGAGAATTCACCAGTAGGAGATAAATATATATTGCAAATGTAAAGAAGTACAAACCTTCATGTTTTATTGTTTAGTAGAGTAAGATTTAGAAATGGAGAGGAAACTATTTTAAATTTTAAATACAATTTGTTGAATTTTCCTGGGTCTAGAAAATCTAGAAATGCTCTGATGCTTGGTCTGTCATGGATGTTAAAAAATCATTACACATATTGGAATTTTAAGGTAATACTTTAATTATGAGTGTCAATGTGGCCAATTCATACCAAAAGAAATTAATTATTTTACACAAGAATAAGTAGAATTGTAATTACTCAAATCATACATTGGCAGGCCATCCAATATTCAATTGCTCTTGAAGCATTTATTATTTTAATATGTTGAAAACAAAATCGAAAGGTTTATACAAAAATATAATGAGCATACTTTTGTTTTTATGGAATTCATAGTACCATTCTAAGATTTTTTGTATTGCAAATGCTCTGTATTTTGCCAACCCTATGAGACAGTTCTAAACTGTATTTTTTCTGAGATTTTGAATAGGACCAAGAATACAATCTTGGCATGTTTTCCAGGTTTAGAATCCATGGAACACTGGAGGCTACTCACAATGTTTCTTTTTTTCTAAAATAAGAAAGGACACAGGACAGATGCACAACAGATGTTTTCAATACAGATAGCCCCTGCTGATGTTTTTTTTTTCTTCTCAGATAACTGGTATATAAGCTTTTGCAACATGTCCTGTAATTTCTTACAGGATTTTCTGAAACATAAGTTAGCAATTTTCCATAAGAACTCTGTACAGCACAGTTTTTGAACTGAAGATATGTAAGTTGTAACATTATAAAAACATATAAGGTGAAACTCACATGTAAAATTCCAGGATAAACAGTTTATGTATCAGGAATATTATACTGAATATTGCTATTAGTAATTATTCTTTGCCATTCACTAAATGGGCAAATGGGCAATGACCTTTAAGAAACTAAACATCTACTGGAACTATAAATGCCTAAAGATTAAAAAAAAATGTTTTCATACATTTTAGTACTAATCATCTAGATAATTTTATAATTAAGTAAATAATAAGTATAACGATGAGTAGCAGTGGAATAAAAGTTCCAAAGGGGTTTCCTTTTTTCTTTAAATAAATTTCTCTTCATTAAAGTAAAAGTACCATAGATTTCCCCCAGACACAGAGAAAGAGCAAACATGTAGATTTTACCAGAGATGTTGGAATTCCAAGAGCAAATCTTTAGTAAAAACATCAGAATATGCTAGGGTCTTTGTAAAATTGTCATAATAGTTTTTTCTTGCTGTTGATTAGAAATGAAGTCATGGAATGCTTAATAAAATAACAAAACGGGATCGTATGATTCATTGCATTAGGGAGACCAATCTGTCACTTTTGAAATTAGCTGAAATTTCAAGCATTCTGCAGAAAATGGTACTGCTGTCTCCCAGAGTTGTGCAATTTATACAATTTGTATAAGTCTGAAAGCAAATCAACTCAGCAGACGAGTAAATCTATTCATTTCAACCTTCATGTTCCATACTAACATTCGATTAATTGTTATGTCACTGTGGTGCAAATATGAAAACTTGTGGGTTAAAGTCACACAGTATTTTTAAACAATTACTTGTGTATTTAAAAATATTTTTTTTCTCTAGCTCCGGAGAACATCTTTAGTAAGCTCACAACTATATTTTTTTTACTGTATACTTTCTTCTTTCTCCTTACTAAATCCTTCTTTTATCTCACAGAGACCATTATGGATTGCAAAGTAAAAACAATGGATACAAGCACTGATTTTATTCTGATTTCATGCCCTAAGTGTTGAATAATACGCAGTGATAGAATCTGGTACAAACACGTTGATGGTCATGGATAGTGTTCACAATGTTCAAAGCTGACAGTCCAGATTATTACTAATTTTCAGTACAGATCTGAATAACACTGCTTTATTAAACACAATGCATCCAGTTACATATTTATTCTTTTTCCCCACCCCATTAATAGCTAAAATCTTTTGTTGCACTTCAGTTAAAAAATTATATCTGAAATAAATAAAAAAAAATTATACCTTGTCATTATACTGTACACAGTTTACCCATCTACACATAGAACAAAAAGAATTAAAATATTTATAATTCTAGGGATTCTAAAATGAGAAACCATTCAAATTCTAATCATATACAGAATCACATTTTTACAACAAATCCATATTATCATAAATAAAAATATAGTGTTGTAATGTACTTTGAATGCTAACACTGCTGTCTGTATAACAACAACAGAAAGCTATCTGACAATACAAGGAAACACTTTAGGATATATAGTACCAATTGAAAATTACACTTTTTACATTTTCAGGGAAAACATTTTTAAACATTGCAACTTGAAAATAATAATGAATCACTGAAGCTGCCGTTTAACTGTAAAGTTCACATCATATAATAAATATATTAAAAAGAATGTAAAGAGACCATTGATTTTTTTTTCAGTTTCAGAGACTCAGCCTCCTTCTGGTAGTCTTCCTTCTTTACAAAAATGATTCATAAATGAAGCATTGAAACTCACCTAAATCAATACTGCTAAAATATAACCTGTTTAATTGGAGCACATTTCTTAAAATACTGACTAAAAAAAACGTTGGATGATGTGATACTAAACTTACCAGATATGTAGGGACAAAAGTGTTAGTTACATTGGTTTATTTAGTCTTAAGGTCTCTGTAATCTTGGTTTTATACACACGTTTTTCTGTTACTCAAATTCCACTGGTTATTTTCAGGGGGTGGTAAACTGATTTTGGATTCGTTTAAATTAATCCCACTGCAGCACTTCCAAGAGATTAAATTTGTGAACAAAGGCAACTATTTGTTCCAGACAATCTTGGGCGATTGTCTACAATTACTATATACGGTAGAGCGATCTATTTCAATACATTTAAGACCGTCTTGGGTATCAAAGAAGGGTAATCTGAAAAAAAAGTTATTTTCTGATAAACCTAGGCTTGTATGTAAAAAAAGAAAATTTGGTTATTGTTCAAAACCCTTGAAACATTCTGATTACATAAATATCAGTGACATTCTAATTTATAGGCTCAGTATTCCCTTCATATCTCGAAACAGTGAAAGAAATGACTCTCAACTGACACTGTTTAACAAAAATAATACATTCACACAATTTTACACCAGATTGTTTTACAGCGTACACGGTATGTTATTTTTTCATACACCTGAAAGAAGAAGCTGTTAAAGCCTTCTCTTTTGGGGTGGGTGCCAGTTCATTCACCCCTATTTGGGAATTCATCTCAAATAATTGTGGACCTTCTTTGTACACAAGGGCACATAATATCTAGCAATGTACAACAGGCATCTAATTCTCTGATCTTGGATTTTATTTTTTTAACAAAATGCCATGTGCTGCACAAAACATGCTGTCCAGCTTATCCGTGTCTGAAAACCACCAGTGGATATCTTCTGTGGCTGTGCATCAGGAGCAATTAGGCAGCTGCAATGAGAGAGTTTCAAGTCTCTATACCAGGGTTCCTCACTCCAAGTCCTGGAGAGCCTGGAGTGTTTTATTCATTCCACCTTGAGCTCCTTGTGACTTAATTTAATCACTTACTGACTTTATTGATTGTTATCACAACAAGGTCTTTAATCATTGAGACGCATGAGTTCCCTCAAAGGGAGTGAGGAGCACTGCTCTATACAGTGTGTTTAAAGGAAACAGTTGCTAACTTTCAAGAAACCTAAATGTCTAATTGCCGCAATACAGATGTTCTGAAATGAATGCATATTACAAATACAATGATTACACCTTAAAACGGTCAACAATTCTATATGTAAGTAGTCTAATACTGTTGGATTGGCCTCCTTATGTTCCTTGTGGAATATAAAGGATTTAAACTTTAAAGTTTTCACGACTGTCCTCGGTTTTAATCTCTCACCCAATCCAATGAGATAATTTGCAGTGTATTGTTGGGTGGCGTTGAATATTTTAATTATCAGCCAGATATTTTCCTGGAAAAGAACAAACAAACAAACAAACAAACAAACAAACATACACAAACAAACAAACAAACAAAGAAATATTTTTATTCATCATTTGCATTAACTGAAGTTCAAATTCTTTTAACACCAATGAAGCTCATAACAGTTAGTCACCTTGGCTCTAATATAATGCACCTGCCAATTTGAAATTATAATTGGGAATGTATTTATCTGATTTTTTAATGCAAAGCCACTTGTACCTATTTTTACATTTGAACAATCTGAGTGAGGTACTTTGCTGAAGGTTACAATGGGTGAGACCCACCCAGGATTGGAATCCACAACCAGAGCCCTAACAACTTTTCCATACTGCTACCAAATAAACTAACCATTTTATAACCACCAAAAATACATATCGTATTATAATGTAACAAATATAATACTTTATTAAATTATACTGCATTATTAATCAGTATGAATATTTCAGGCCATTTTGCAGTAGATTTAAAATGATAGAATTTTAAAATCTATAGGTGTGCAGATATTTGCAATGGGTAACATTTTTATCTGTAGTTATTTTTTAGCTGCTTAAGTTAGCCTTAGATGAATTCAGAAGGCCTATGTCTGAAAATATTTCACAGTGGCCTCTAGAATCTCAAAGGCCTGCTCAGCAATTTATCATTTTTCTAAATCTTTGACTAATGGCAAGAAGCTTAGTTTAGCTTTACTTGGCGTGTAACTATGAAACCGAGCACCTACCTGCGGCAAATCTCTTCTTGATGAGAGAGAATCTGTAGCCAGCACCAAGCAGTTCGATATCACACCCTGACAAAGTGCTGCCTTCACTTGTGAACTGCACAGCTAAGGGAGACGGTTTACTGGGACCTTCAGTTAACTGAAACCTTGCAAGCAGTGAACCCACACCTAGGCAGAGCAAACAGAATATTTTTGGCAAAGGTTCTCCAAATATTTAAAGTCCCCACCTTTCTGGTGCCATTTATTCCTCTAATTTGTACACTGTATTTGTTATGTAATTAAATATTTTTTTATCCAATACAGGGCCACAGAAGAGCCTATCCCAGCAAGCAATGGGCACATTGATGTAATTAAATCATATCATGTACTGTTGGAATGTTTTCTCATTGTCGTCATTTCATATAAAAGGTAAAGGACAGTGTAACTTGGCTGTAGACAGACACTAGAGAGGTTCCTATTTATACAGGGACATTTCTGAATTTCCTGTTCTTCTGTTTGTGACTTGTGGACCAATATCCATTATTGGACCATTATTGCATTCCAAACATCTAATTTCAGTTGGAATGTTACAATAAATTATACGAAACAAAAATAAATCTGTTTTTATATTTCACTTATCATCCTCAAAAACAAAAAAAGGTGATTTTTTAACTTTACAGATAGTTGAGGTTTCTGATCCTTTCATCAAATGTTCTTCATAAGGGAGGAATCTTGAATGTCGTCTTACCTCCATTTTCAGACTTCTGTGAGATATCTGGGATCTTCCACAGGATTCTCTGCTGTTCTGTGTTCCTGGAGATTGTATACAATTATTTTAGGACTTAACTTAAACTTGACCGACAACCATATTCACAGAACACTCTTCCGATCAAAACTGATGAATGTTCCATCCTTGAATAAGTTTCGATAAGCACCCGTTCTGGAACAAAACACATGTTTTTTAGGCATCCGTATCCAAACCATCACAATGAATCTCTTACCAAGCAGCTGGAGGAAGTACTGCCTGAAGTTTGGTCACTCCTCCATCCACAGGAACTAGAAACTGAACATTGTTGAGAGCCACAGGTGTGGTCATTGCTTCCCCATTGTATTTGTAGTCTATTCTTAGGTCCGTGCTGTTGGGCTCACACCGCCAGCTCACCGCCAGGTTCAAGGGTGTGGACTGAATACCCTGTGCAGATACCTGAGGATTTGACATCTCAGTTTCAGTACACCATAAAATTAACAGCTAGCAATCTTGCTCCTGTAGTTTCATATTTTTAGAAATTAAAGATGTTAAAACACTATGAATAAAACTTAAAACGTAGCACAAACAAAAGATCTTCAACCTATGGAACTCAATAAACTCACTAAATAATTCTATAAGTCTAACTGTATTTTGAAATATATGGACTTGCTTATGAAATTCTGAACCATAAACTACTACAAAGCCTTAATTACTGTGCAATAGTTAATTAAATGTTCTTACCTGATACTTTAACATGTCTACATTGTAGTATGTTGCTTGTGGTTTCTGCTCTGCCACTTTCTTTAAATGTGTCATCAAGTTTGGCATATTCACCCAAAACTCCTTTGAGTTGGCAGGAGTGTGCGTGACATCACTGTGAAATAACAGATAACAGATTAATACAATCTGCTTCAATTTGTATTCTATTAATTAAACTGAATTGGCTACCAAGGCTGAATTGCACATGCAACAGCAAATAGAGCACAAATTTCGGGACAAAAATGAATGATGTTGATTGATTTCATTAACTAGATAAAGATCTGTCATCAAAATACTACATGACGCATGTTCAAAATCTGTTAACTGAAAAAAATGTTACTTGTCCATAATACAGTTACAAAATTTAAATGCAAAAATATCATGTCTTAGAATCAGCTACCATTTTGGACATAAGAAAACAGACATGCTTATGAAAATGAGCTTCAAGAGCTTTGAGATAACTCTAGCAGTTCAGTGTGTGAGCACTATGAGACACAGATGTGGCTTTAACCCAGATGTCTGAGGGAACAACAGCCTGTCTATAAGGATAAGGACATCAGCAACCTCCCTATAGCAAGAATGAGCCAAGGATCTGTTATAAATAATGGGATGGGGGAAGGAAATCAAAACAATGCAGGCTGGAAAAGGGATGTTTGCTTCCCATAGGTACAGTATACTGATTTGGGCATTGTAGAGGATAAGCCCTTGATCTCAGACTTATTTTATGAATTCCATTAATTTTCTTCCAGAGTTAAGCTATGAGGCACTGTTCAGAAGAGAAGGAGAATTGTTTTACAATGGTACGGATAACATTTTTGCAAGACTATTTTCTACATAGTTGATTTGTAAAACAGTATAGCTGGAAACGTGCTGCATGTTGGCTTGGTAATGTTCTGAATTTGATTCTTGAATCAGAATCTTCTGTGGGGAGTTTCTTTGTGTTGTTTTGTGTGGGTATTATGATGGACTGGAAACCCATCCAGAGTGTAGTCATGCCTTGCACTTCATCTCGTATAAGAACTGCGATTGCCATTAACACTATCAAACAATGGATGAATGGTTGAGAATTACAGATTATATGTATGCCCTAGTCATTAATTAGCAGGCACGGCTACGATATATACCATATGCTAACCGCAAACTGATTGCTGCAGTTGCCTGTCTCGATACACAAAACAAAAGATCAGACACACCTTTAATGATCTTATGTTTGAAGGGCAGATAGCGTACTTATTTTATTATCTGTCTTTAACTTACCTGGCAGAGGAGGTGACAGCATTGGTCATAAGATCAAGGCTAACAAAAGGACTGAAGGATGCACAGCTCTTCAATGATGGAGCTACTGATACAGTATGTGAGCTTTGCTTAACTGAATCAGTTTGGATAAGCAAGGTTTTGGAGGCACACCAACCAGAGAATGTGCTCCGTAGTGAGTGCTAAATGAAAACTGTGTATGATACAAGCAAGGGCACAAATTCAGCTAACAGCTGGAAGCAGTGCTTAAAAACACTAGATCAGTTTGGATCGGGATTCCATCCATCCATTCATCCACCTTGTTCTAACTGCTAGTTTAGGGTCCAATTTAGAGTCATGGGGGAGCCAGAGTTTATCCTGGCAAGCAACAAGTGCAAGGTGGGATACACTCGGGATGAAATGCCAGACCATCGCAGAACAGAGAGACACAAACACAGACTTGCACACGCTCAAGCTAGTGCCAATTTTCCCAGAAGCCAGTTAGCCCGTGTGGCGTTAGACGGAGCATGTTCAGTGTGGTGGTGGAGCCCTGGATTAAGGGTAACGCATTGCCTTAGCAAGCACAGCTGTCCTGGCTAATTAAAGATGAGCCGCAGCTGGGGAGGCCTTTTAAGAACCGACTGAGCACCTCCCCAGAGGGACAAGCAAAGCAGGACTCTGGTCCTGATACCCCATAAGGGGAGAACATTCCAGAAACAATCCCCGGCGGGGGGATTGTGAAGAGAGCATTGAGGCCATGTTTTTCCTTTTTTCCTTTTTTAATTTTCCTTTTCTTTTCTCCTGTCCCGCTGTGATGGGGCAGGTTGGGTTTTCTTTTGTTTTGGCCTCGCTCCTTTTCTTCCAGCCTAGACCCC